CCCCTCTTACCCTATATAATCGCGTATCTCTATTAGCTCTCTTCACTTGCTACAGTGATTTTGGTTGTAACAGTTCCTCCTGAAGACGGAAGCTCGTGTTGCCTCCGAAACGTCGTGATTTAATTTAGTTGTTTTTCATTTTTATTTTATTTTCACCTACGTGACTTTACCGAAAAAAACAAAGAGGATGTTAGTTGTCAGTGTTATATTTGCAGGCTCCCTGAATGGGTACACGGCACGGTACGTTTTAGATGCAGAGGAATCTGGCAGCTGTTCTTCGAATCGAGAACACGGCTTGGCAGGGTCGCGCCGCAATTTGTTTGTGTCTGCAGCGTCTTGAGAAGCTTTCGCATTTGCACGACCCGTAACTCAAGATTTCATTCGAATTGTACTCGGGTGGGTGACCAACGCCGAGGCTTGCCAGATGTTGCAGGAATGCCTGGTGAGAGGTGTGGCGAGGAGATGGTGGTGCTGAGTGGTAACCCCTCCTGCTCGCGCTGTGCTGGATCTGTGGGGTTTTTTTTCCTCTGGTTCTGGGTTTTTCGCTCCAAACTAAGCCAAGCTCTCATTCGTTTTACAGTTACAGGTCAAACATCTGCATGAAGCAGGACCCTCCTGAAACGACTTTACCGAGTCATTTATTCGCGTGGACATTGATTACAAAATGCAGTTTTAGCAAGGGCAAGACAAGTTTCTTCAAAATTAATGTTTTTTTTTTTATCAACCACACAAGAGGCTATTGAAAACGCATGTCTTTATAACAGTGTTGTTGTGTTTAGTTTGTTGTCCTTCCCCCGCACCTCTGATTATGTTGAACTATTTTTTTATCTCCGTACGTAGCCAACCGTGCGAATCGCAGGTGGCGTTGGCTACTCACGGTGCGAACTAAGTTGAAGATACACACGAAGAGTCGCCGTGGTGCCATGGTCAGCACTAAGGCCATCACACTGCGCGGCAGCTGAATCAGTGGGCAGGTTTTGTTTTTGTTTAAATTTCCTCTGCCTATGTCCACCCATCGCAAGAATAGTTAGCCGATCGGTAGGTCACGCGTGGTGAGGTCAAGTTGTGTTACAACCACCTCTTTCAAGACACGTGTGGAAGAGTAGGCCAAATAAATACCCCGCCTCTTGAGTGGCTCTAGAACTCCCTGTAGAGGAGGCCCTTTTAGCCAGCAGTGGCACGAGGCAGCAATTGGAGGACTGTACCTTTACATTTCGCATGTCAAAGTCAAACTCTCTTCCTACGCGAACGAGCGTGAAAACGAAGTCCCACCTCCGACGACGGCTTTGTTCCAGTGGTGGAAATTCCACATTCACGTGGCAAGAGGCAGTGAGTCCATTCGACAGGAAGATCCTGATACATTTCCCACAGAAGAGTCATGTTAAACTTACCAAAAAATACGCGTGCTTACAGTTGCTAAAGCAACATGGCGTAGTGTTTCTCTTTTCGTTTCAAGTGTATTTGCGTTGGGTAGAATTACGCAGATGTATTTTTGCGTGCAAGTGGGGGTCTGGGATAAGGGGACTGAGAGGAGGTTGCGGGATCGTTGGCCTGGGTGCATCCTTGTCTTGTCCAAGCTTAATTCCCATCGCTTCCCGTGGGGCTTGTGAGCAAACAAAAATATATTGACTTTAAGCTTCCGGGACTGCAGGAATTCATATTTGACCGGGTATCAAATGTTCAAAAAATGACACGCATGTCCCAGCGAATGCTGTTCTTGGCATGCAATCTCATCGGACCTCCTCGAGTCGTTCGGTAACTTGTGTTGGGTTGTGCGTCACTCCACCGCGTATCGCCCGATAACTCAAAGCAGCACAAGGGTGAGCAATGCCTCCAAACACAAAACTACAAAAACAATTTCCCCCCTCCAACTCCATCCGAAGGCGAATTTGTATTGGCGAGAGGCCCGCACCTGACCCCGCAGTGCGGGCACAACAACAAGCTTGGTGACCACCACCTCACTGCCATCTGTGAATCGCGAATGGACGTTTGGGAGAATTTCCATAAAGCACGCCACGTCACGTGGTTGGACTAGGCGAAGACGGGGATAGTGAGGATGGCATGCCACGCATTATGCCACTCATCATGCCACTCATCATGCCACTCATCATGCCACTCATCATGCCACTCATCATGCCACTCATCACGCCACTCATCACGCCACTCATCACGCCACTCATCACGCCACGCATCACGCCACTCATCACGCCACTCATCACGCCACTCATCACGCCACTCATCACGCCACTCATCACGCCACTCATCACGCCACTCATCACGCCACTCATCATGCCACGCATCATGCCACTCATCATGCCACTCATCATGCCACTCATCATGCCACTCATCACGCTACTCATCACGCCACTCATCATGCCACTCATCATGCCACTCATCACGCTACTCATCACGCCACGCATGATGCCACTCATCATGCCACTCATCATGCCACTCATCATGCCACTCATCATGCCACTCATCATGCCACTCATCACGCTACTCATCACGCCACGCATGATGCCACTCATCATGCCACTCATCATGCCACTCATCACGCCATCATGCCACCCATCACGCCACACATCATGCCACTCAACACGCCACCCATCACGCCACTCATCATGCCACTCATCATGCCACTCATCATGCCACTCATCATGCCACTCATCACGCCATCATTCCACCCATCACGCCACACAACATGTCACTCAACACGCCACCCATTACGCCACTCAACATGTCACTCATCATGCCACTCATCATGCCACTCATCATGCCACTCATCATGCCACTCATCATGCCACCCATTACGCCACTCAACACGCCACCCATTACGCCACTCATCATGCCACTCATCATGCCACTCATCATGTCACTCATCATGCCACACCAGGGCTTTCGGCTTTGGAGGCTTCAGATTTTGAGGGGCTGCGCCCCCCCTCCGCCCCCCCCCCGCCCACCCCCAAAAAGGTACTGTTTCATATCAGTTTAAAATATACAACAGTAGCACTATGACACATCCTATATGTAATTTGGTAATTAAATCCATGCCTCCACTATGTGCAACACTATCAGTTGGGTGCCGACAACACTCGTTTTGTTTATTTCACCTTTGAATTGGTTTTCCAAGTCGTGTATCACGTTCAAAAAATAGAACTGCTATCTCGAAGGCAAATATCGATGGAGTGTTTGGCATCGGGCGTGGATGTTCGTAATCCAGTCAAGGGAAGGAGTACAAAGGAGCCCCCCCCCTCACCCAAAACTCTATAATAGCCTCGGGCCCCCCATTAAACCTAATCCGGCCTAGATGTTAATTGTGAGCTGCAGCTGCATACACGCAATGAAAGACAATCCATCAATTTGCTCAATGGAGCGCCCCTCAACCCGTACGGGATCTGCGAGGCAATTACGCGCACACACGCGCATTTGAAACCTGCAGCTGTGCAGATAATTCCATGCGGTGAGAAATTAAGCACAATAGTTCATCAGGCTCATGTGCGATTGAAATTGCCGCCTGGCGTGTCAATTACAGATTGGTTTCTTATTCCACGTAGCGTCTAATTCGGCAGGGAAGCGACATCGGGGAAATTGATGAATGCAACAAATTATAATACTCTATTCTTCATCGTGTGTCTGATGTTGCTTGTATAGCAACAACTATCATATTACATTGAGGGCGTTGAGCCATATGATTGCGTCAGGAGTGTCAAGATGGGCGCCACGGTGGCGAGATGTTAACTACCTCGCCTGGTATATAGGAGGTCGTGGGTTTGATTACGACCCTGACACCGATATATTTGGAGTTTGCGTGTCTGTCTCCCCGTGGTCGCGTGGATTTTCCTCCGGCTTCTCTGGGTTTTCCTTTCACATTTATAAACATGTTTTAAGAGTATTTAGCTCCGATAAATGTCCACATGATAAGCAACTTCGTTGAGCTATCATTTGTGGCTAGGTCGCTTCTGGACAAAAGATCTATATGGCTCAGTTGGCCTTACCTAGTGAAATAAAAATGGTTTAGTCTGTTATTGATCACGAGTGTTTTGTTTAGATCCATTGCCGGGTGAAGATCTTTCCCCACCTCTGTAAGTCATTGCGGTTGTTTGACCACAGTGCATCGTGGCAATCAGGGCGGGTTTGTAGCACGGCTCGCCGCTGCTGTAAGCTGTGGTTAGGCGTTCATTGCAGGTCGCCGAGTTAGATAATAACAATAATGAATCCGGTTTTATATCACGAAATTCGCCCAAGAATATCTCAGGTTTTTTTATACCAAAATCCTAAGTTACGGAGAACGTCTGTTGTAAAAGCAGCTGAGTTATAAGACGAGATTTTAAAAAGCGTTACAGACTCAAACTCCACAATGGACCGAAAACGAGAATTTCCATAAACGCGGAGCCAGGTTGAAAAAAGCTCCGCCTCCCATAGAACACAGGCTGGCCTTGAGAATAATGCATAGGCATTCCATAATGCATCGGTATTATTCCAAAGAACAGCTCCCATACTGTGAGCTGCAACACCTTGCAAGCCCTCGTGGTCACCCACCCAAATGATATCGAGAACAAACTCAAAACATTCGTCAAGAACACTGCTTTAATATCAAATGTAATATATTTATAATGCGCATGTCCTATGAAGGAGGGTCATTGCCAGAAACGTCGCCTATTATATTTGTTTATTTTAAGGCCACAGTGTTATTCATGTATGTGTTGAGTTTAGTTTTGTGTTAGTTCTGCTTGTACACCACTGTCAACGCAACAGCAGCATCAAATAAAAGTGATAACCAGGCTCAACTTTCTTTACTTGCCAAGCTCCAACGAGGTGGGGCAGATTGGTGGAGATTTAATCGGAGCTGACCCAAGTGGCCATCCCTGGGGGTACGTAGGGGCTGCAATCGAGACAATGTACAGGGACACAATCCACAGATTCCATCGGACAGGTCTGTGCACGTTTTGTGTTGGGGTGGAGTTGACACACAGACAGATAGACTCTCGCCTATCCCACACTCTCCTCCCCACCCACCCTCCTCCTCACACACCCAGGAGAGCTACAAGGAGAGTCATCGCTCCCACCGCCACACGGCCAAGAAAGTCTGGGAAAAAGAACGCGGTCGCAAGGAGGAACAGAGTGCGCTCCGAACATCTGCGTGAGCGCGCGTGATATTCACCGAGTCTGTTTGTTTTCTCTTTCTAGCCTCCTCCCCTGGTGTTTGCATTGGACGCACTTGCGAGCGGGCCTCACAATTTCCGTTCAACTCGCGCGCCGAGAGTGGAAACGTTGCGGACAGCGGCGGGGGGTGGGGGTGAACGTATTTCGTGTGCGAGATGTGCTCGTTGGGTCGCGTCGCTTGTTGTTTTATTTTGCCTCCAGGGGTGAGCAGTTTCCAGAAGAGGAATGTCGCTCTACAGCCTGCAACTGGAGCCCATCACGTGCTATGCATGGAACGGAGACCGCTCACGTACGTACACACACACACACAGACAAAGGTCCCCCGTGTAGAATCATAATATGTATTCATACTGGAAGAACCCGATGAGCTATAAAGCTCTTTACTCTTTGGTTCTTTCGGTAAAGTCACATAGGTATAAAATACAATAAATTAAATCACGACGTTTCGATTACAACACAAGCAATCATCATCAGGTGGGTAAACCACAGCAAGACATTTTTTTGCGGTGGTTTTTCAGCAATTTTTTTTTCTTGCTGTGGTTTTCCCACCTGATGATGATTGCTTGTGTTGCAATCGAAACGTCGTGATTTAATTTATTTTATTTTTCACCTACGTGACTTTACCGAAAGAACCAAAGAGTATGGATCCCTGCGGTCACGAAAACTTAAAATCTAGATTATAAAGCTCTTTTTCACAAACGTCTAGTAGGGGCGGGTCAGAACGATACAACAACAAACAATACAAACACACGATATGAGTGTAAAGTATAAGAAAGGTAGACAAATAACTTAAAAAATATATAGAAATCAAACTAAACTGTTTTGTTTTATCTTACCAGGTAAAGCCCACTGAGATATTAGCTTCTTTTTCAGAAGCGACCTGGCCACAAATGATAGCCCAGCGAAGCGGCTTATCACGTGCAAATTTAAAGCAGTAAAATAATCTAATTCTAGATTTGAAGCTTTCGTGACTGCAAGGATTCATGCTCTTGGTATTTTCGGTAAAGTCACGTAGGTAAAAAACATTGAATTAAAATAAAAAAATCACGACGTTTCATAGGCAAGACAAGTCTCCGTCATCAGGTGAGACCGTCACAGCCAGATTTGCTGTAGTTTTTTTCTTGATACAGAAAATCTGGCTGTGACGGTCCCACCTGATGACGGAGACTTGTGTTGCCTCCGAAACGTCGTGATTTTTTATTATTTTATTTTATTAATTTTAATTCCATTTTTTTACCTACGTAACTTTACCGAAAAAACTAAGAGTATAAAATAATCTAAACGCACGTTTCTAAATGTGGAGGGAAAACCCTGAAGACGAGGACCAGAGAGAAACACAAATCCCAAATATACAGCAGGCGTCAGGGTTGGGATCGAACTCCCGACCTCCTGCATACCAGGCAAGGAAGATACAATCACAATGTTGGGGCAAATGCTGTCAGCGAGCATCGATGAAGGCCAACACGGCACACTCGGAGGTGGGATTGTCAGAACCACCTGTGTCTCTCTCGTACTTATGTTTTACCCATCGCACCAGGCACGCGCGTTCAGGTTGAGTCGATCTAGGGGAGGCCGAGGAGCGGTTCAAATTTTCGCCACTTTAACTATGAGCGGAGTTGTCGAACTCGGTTCGCCGGATGCGTAGCGCAGTGCACGAACCACTGCGCCACTGCTCCACAAACATCGAGCCATGCAGAGTGTTGAGACGTCATGTGGCGATTGTTTGCGAGCAGCCTTACGGGAGGCCCAGGACCTGTTCAAATGTCCGTCGCTGATATTGACCGTGAACGCCACTCAAACTCCCGTCACCGCGTTCGTAACGCAGCGCGCCAACGACGACACGGACTACTCTCGCAAGACAATAATCCACCGTATGGGGCCGTCCCTAAATGACGTCACGCACCTAGGGGGGGGGTGTCAGACATTTGTGACGATGTGTTACGACGGGGGGGGGGGGGGGGTTGAGAAATGTGACGTCATCTAAAAATGCGCAACATTAAATAAATATAGACAACACGTTCTACTTAATTAAGTTGACTTTTTAATAAATGTTTTCACCTACAACATCAAAGTGCAGCGCCACATTAAATACGCACTACAATGACAATAGTTTAAAGCGATTTGAAGCATGTTTATTTTTTGGGGGGGGGGTGGGGGCAGAGCTTTGTGACGTCATATTTGAGGGGGGGTCTGACTTTTTGTGACGCCGTGTGACTAGGGGGGGGGGTCAAGAATCGTCCAAAATCGCGTGACGTCATTTATGGACGGCCCCTATAATATTACCAGACTGTTGGGGCAAGTGCTGTTAGCGAGCACCGAATGAAGGACAACCACCACTACCACCTCCATCATCATCATCGTCGTATTTTCTTCTCACATCATCATCGTACATCTTGATACTGGCGAAAGGCCTCCATATCCATCATCATTGCACTGCGGCTGTTGTCATCATTGCTGCCGTCCCCGGTTAACCCCCCACCCACCCACCTGTCCCCCCAACTGCCCCCCACCCCGGCCCCACTCACACAGAGGTGGCGTTGAGTCCCAACAGCGAGAGTGTGCACATCTACCAGCGCAGCGGCGGCTCTGGCTGGATCAAGGTGGACGAGCTCACAGAGCACAGCGGCCGCGTCACGGGTACCGCTCGCATGATGCACCACGCGGGCGGGGGGGGGGGGACAGCTTCGCTGAGCCTCAACAAAGTCGGCTCTGGCCAATCTTCGTCTAATAATTAATTAGTTAAAGTAATAACTCTCTCTAAAAACCTCTCGCCACGGCAGCTTCCTCGACGACTTCGGCATTTTCTTGCTGTGGCTGTCCCATCTGATGAAGATCGCTTGTGTTGCGATCGAAACGTCGTGATTTGTTTTGATTTTGTTTCTAGCTACGTGACTTTAACGAAAGAACCAAAGAGTAAAGTAATGACTTCTAGCAATAGATGGCGCTAGCACTTCATGGTCACATAATATTAGCGGGTTAACTCGGGCTAATTGCTGCGGTGGATCGCTTAGCCCCTTTGAGGCTATCGGAATGCGTCGCGGTGCTCGGCGTATTGGCCAGTCGCTGCTTCGGGATGACAACAACAACAGGGCACAAACGCCAATAGGAAACGTGCAGTAGTAGCTGAGCGACCGCGTCGAGCAAGTGAACCCTTCTGCATTCCACATCGTTCAGATGAGGCCAATTTCGTTGTTAACGCTTCGGGACCCAGCTTAACAACGCGAATTGCAAAAAAACTCTGCCTCGTCCGTCCCTTCGTCGGTCTCAAACGGGGGGGCACATTGGCGACTGCCCATAAAAATGATCGAACGTGAACGAAAGATTACCATGAATTTAAAGACTTGCCACATACAACACCAGCAGGATTCATCAGAAAGTCACGCAAAAGCTTGGACACGCCAGCCTGTGCTAAAGGAACGACACGTCCACCAGTGCTAAAAGAACGTGTGACACGCCCACCAGTGCTAAAAGGGGTCACCGAGGCGTCCTGACCCTGCCGGCCGAGGCGCGCCCTCCCGGGCGGAGCCTCTCTCCGATGGCCCCACGGTCGTGACGCGTCCTGCGGTTATTACCGATTGCGCACTTTTCAAGATGCTGCTGCTGTTGTGATGTAAATGGTCAGCACACGTGACTCGCAATCCCAGAAGTCACCGCTTCAATCTCGGGTCGCAGCAGTTGAAACAAGGGCGAAAGTTTCTTAAATGTCTCTGCACCTGTCCACGCAGCAGTATAAATGGGCACAACAACAGTCGACGGGGCAGGTTGCATGCGGTGAGATAAAGTGTGGGGTTACCCTTAATTCTTCCCAAGACGTCTGGCCAGCGTGAATTAGCTGGCAATTTTATTTTATTTTTAATGATGGGGGGCTCTCCCTAGTGGAGGAACTCCCCGTTTGTGGAGCCCGCGTCACTAACAAGACTTCCCACGACGGAATCCTCCGCAGGGATCGACTGGGCACCGGGCACGGACCGCATTGTGACCTGCGGCTCCGACCGCAACGCGTACGTGTGGACGCGGCGCGGGGCACAGCAGCAGCAGCAGGGCTCTGCGCCCGCAGCAGGGGTCACCAGCGGCTGGGGACCGACACTCGTGCTGCTGCGTTTTAACCGCGCCGCGACGTGCGTGCGTTGGTCACCCCGAGAGGACAAGTTTGCCGTGGGAAGCGGAGCTCGGCTCGTGTCCGTGTGCTACTTCGAGAAGGAAAACAATTGGTGCGGATTCAATATCCTTCCCCCCGTCTTCTCATGTGCTTTACCCCCCCACCCCTGCCAACATCATCGGACATCAACTTCTGGGTTCAAGTCCAGTCTCGGGTGCCTTCCTGTGTGGAGTCTGCACTGTTTGTTCTCACCCTGTTGTTCATTGGTTTTATCGGTTCCCTCTTATCGAAAACGGAAAAAAAGATGATTTAACTGGCATTGGAGAAACATCACATTGCTGAAAAATTATCTGCAAATTACTCATTTAGGATTATACGCCGCAGCATGGCCTCCTATTTGGTAAAAGTTGGCAGTGCATTATTGGAAAAGAGTTGAGACTCACTGAGGCTTCCCTGGGTAAACAAGCAACATTATTAATCAACAGCAGCCATGGTCAATCCACTGTTGGATGAAGGCCTCCCTAAGTCACCGCCACCTGTTATGATCCCGCGATGCTACAATCCACCCAAGCACCAGCACACGAACTGATTTCATCGCTCCATCTCCTCGGTAGACGGCCCTCTCGGACGCGTTCAATTCCTTGGCTTACCCTCCATCATCCCTTACATCTACAGGTGTGTCCTACGCAAACAAACTTACTGACGATCGCAATAACCTACGTGTGTCCTCTTATCGTGTTTTACTCTCTGTGTCTCTCACTGTCTCTCACTGAAATCCCATACTCTTTGGTTCTTTCGGTAAAGTCACGTAGGTATAAAATAAAATAAATCGTGATTTATTTAATTTTTCTACCTACGTGACTTTACCGAAAGAACCAAAGAGTATGGATTCCTCCAGTCACGAAAGCTTCAAATCAAGATTGAAATTCCATGCAATGTAGTGAGGTGCTTCTCTGGTTTAATTTAATATCCCTGAACTAGGTAATGCTGTGCATGAAGATTGCATGTAGCGATCACGAAGTAAGCCTTGGACGAAACCACCTGGGATGTACCAGATTTCAACAGATCTCGGAAGCGAAGCAGGAAAGAGCCTGGATAGTGTATGGAAAGACGACCACAATGAACAATCCACAGGCGTTGCAGACCACAGTGAGGTTACATTGTCCGCATTTAGTATGTTGAACTTCTTTCGCACCGTGCATAGCCAACCGTGCTAATCTGAGGTTAGCACGGTTGTTGTGCTCATCTATGCTCTCACGTCCAATGTTCCGTGCCTTCGAATTTACCAGCGTAGTGAAGTATGGTCAAATAGCCCCCACGCGCCCATCCAGCAGTAGATAGTACACGTGTGTGTACACGCTGGTACGTAGCACGTGCATTCACACAAACAATCGTAACCGCCAAGTATTCGTTTTCGCGTCCGCTGGTAAAGTGCCTGCCGAGTGCGAGAGACGGGCACGAGGTCGGCACGCACCGCGTGTCTGCCTCTCCGTCTCCGCCTCTCCGTGTCCGGCTCACGACGCTTCTGCTCCACGCGAGTTCCAGCGGCACCGATCCGCGTCTCGCTCGAGACACGACCAACACCGGACAGCGACGCGCATGCAACGTGATCTCATTATTATGATTCGTCTTCCTGGCATTTACCCCCCTCGCGTGGGGTCAGGCCACCTGTTCTCATGTTTCTCCGCTCGCTCCTATCCGCAGCCACCGTCTCCACGTCCACTTCAGAGTCCTTCACATCCCGGTTCACCACGTGGAACCACCCCTCTCTCAGCCCTACCTCTCGATTTCCACCCCTGGTTTTTCCACTTTCGTCCCATTTCTAGTTCATCACTTTGCACGCATTCATAAGTGCTCGTTAACACCACTTTCCCCAATAGTCTATAGAGGCTATGCGGGCGATATATGTCTGTGCGCGCGTATGTGTGTATGTGTGTCCCACTCATACACAACGAGCGGAGCACCAGGTGGCTGAAACAACAAGTTGGCACAGTAGAGGGCACAGGTGGTGCATCGGCCAGTAATTTAAGTAATTCGACCCTGCCAACGGGCATTCGATACTTCACGTGGCCTCAACGTGCACCTAGCCTGGCACTAGCGCCACTTAGTAGCGAATGGCGGTTGTTGTTGTTGTCCCAGGTGGGTAAGCAAGCACATCAAGAAGCCCATCAGCTCCACCGTGCTGAGCCTGGACTGGCATCCCAACAACGTCCTCCTTGCCGCCGGATCCTGTGACTTCAAATGCAGGTGGGCCGAGTGTGACAGCAGCCCAGCAGCGGCGATTCTCTCTCTCGACTCTCCCTCGAGCTCTCATATGGCACACTCTGTCCAGCATACTTCCCGTTTCGATTTAAAGCTTTCGTGACTACAGGGATTCATCTTCATGGTTCTTTCGGTAAAGTCACGTAGAAGGGAAGTAATACAATAATAAAAATAAAACATAATACATTAATTCTCACGACGTTTCGGCCACAACGCAAGCAGCCGTCCTCAGGTGAAGACCAGGTCTGTCGGGTCAGACGCTGTCTCCCCGACAGACCTGGTCTTCACCTGAGGACGGCTGCTTGCGTTGTGGCCTAAACGTCGTGAGAATTATTTTATTATGTTTTATTTTTATTATTTTATTACTTCCCTTCTTCGTGACTTTACCGAAAGAACCAAGAAGATACTTCCCGTTGTTTGGGTTGTGGCTATTCGTCACGTGCCACGTCCCAACCTGCTAGAATATTATTAATCACAGTTGCTGGAGTTCAGACCCAAAAAACATGCTAAGCGCCCGTCAACTTACAGCACTATTTAAATGTAAACAGACAGAGAGTTAACATGGGTTATGACAGCTTGGGAAATTGAAACGATGGGAGGGAATTCGAAAGTTCAGCAGTGCGAGGGAAGAACAGATGGTGAGTGTGTTGTTGTTGTGACCTTGAGTATGGTTAGTTGAACACAATGTGCAAATGTAGATTAGATAAAACAGTCAGTCTGGTAGATCATTGCCCTTCTACTCAAGGTGTCATCGCTGTTGGGCACAGGCACTGGCGTAGCCACCAAGTGGTGTGTGTGGGTGGTTGGTTAGCGCGCTGCGCTACGAACCTGGCGACCCGGGTTCGATTCCCGCTCACGGCCATCACCAGTGACGATTATCTGAACCGGTCCTGGGCCTCCTCTAGGTCGACTCGGCCTCAAATGAGTACCTGGTGCGATGTGTAAACATCGCCACTAGGGAGACAAAGGCGGCCGGGCGTGGTGTTGGCCACCGACCCCCTCGTGTGCCGTGCCGTCCGTTATAGGTGATTGCTAACAGCACTTGCCCCTAAAGTCTGTTAAGGCTATACGGGAGATCTTTGTTTTTGTTTTAACTGCACCGTGGTCAACGGACCAGAGAGGCCCAGTTCCAGGCCTATGCTGAGCAGCGATATTGGATATGCCACTTCTTGTACGGGGCCCATGCTAACTACCTTGAAGCCACTGGGCTATGCGCTTTGCACTCTGAAATGAGACCATGCTCTCGGTTTCATTAGCCAAAAGCCGAGAAACCAGATGATCTGGATGTCACCCGATCTCATGAGATTTTGGAAGCTAAGCAGATTTTATCCTGCATCGTGCTGGGATGGGCCTCCACCGTGTGTGTAACAGGTTAGTGTGGGCTACTGCTGGACCACGTGGTGGGCAGCAGAGGGCAATAATTCTATGCTCCTCGTTTGACCAACCCGCAGTGACCAGCGCGGTGAAGCATGGTCCAATAACCCACCCACGACCCACAATGCACACTGCTAATTACGTACTCTCTGAAGACAAGGGAATATTGGAACACATTACGCAATCAATAAAGAAGTTGATTACGCGTTGCCGTGAAGCAATATGGGTAAAAGCAAATACAACCCAAAGGTCAGTGTCTCTACATATAAAAAAATATGTCACTTGTACCGTAGTCCATGGGCCAATTGGCATTCCAGACCAGCATTAGCAGCATTTGCCTAAGAAAACTAATTCTGGAGAGGCTTCGATTCTCCGGTTCTCAACAGAAGTCAGGCGTAATTAAATGAAGAGCAAATGCTGCCGGATTGCCATATGATATTGGCAAAAGCACTCCATCTAAAACTAAATGAAAAGAACAGATTGTTTTTCTTCCGAATCACGTAATCAACTCAGTATTTCCAGAGCCCGCAATGCATGTGCTGGACACGAGACGGTCGTGCTTTGTAAACGACGTCACGAAGTGGGTCCTTAGAGAGCGGCGCACGCGGCTCCAGAGCTGCAGGTTACTGACCCCCCCCCCCCCCACACCTGAACTTCTCTCTCTCTCTTTAGTGCTGCCTAACGGCGTGTGCGACTTCACGATGATAGTGGTCCCGGTCTAGCACGGCGTGTAGAGTTTGTGCTGTTGTTAATTAAGCGTTGGTGTTCGGTGTTTTTTCTGCAATATTTTTGCTGTCTTTTCTTGGATTTTCTGTTTGCACTTAGTCACATATTCACTTTAAGATGTTTTTTGTTCATGTTTTTTGTTTTTTGTTTGTTGCGGTTGCACCCGATTCAAGAGCTGAATGGCTCACAGGGCTATACCTAATAAATGAACTTGAACTTGAATTGTAGCCATGTTTTGATGTTACTGAGCCATGTCGTTTTTGGCCGTCCTGGTCGTTTTTTCCCTTCGATTTTTCCTTCCAGGATTTGCTTTAATAGCTGGTATTTGTGGTCGTTTCGGGTAATGTGGCCTAGGTAGTAGCACTTCCTGCTAACTTAACGATGCTGAATGTAGAAGGACCCCACTTGCTCGACGCGGTCGCTCAGCTACAACTACACGGTTTTTTATATTCTTTGCTTCTTTCGGTAAAGTCATGTAGATTAAAAAATGAAATTAACAATAAAGTATTCTTCAAAACTCACGACGTTTCGATCGCAACACAAGCAGTCGTCATCAGGCGACCGCTTGTGTTGCGATCGAAACGTCGTGAGTTTTTAGTTTACATTTTTTATTTTTCTTACTTTATTTTTATTAAAAATATATTTTTATTTTAAATTATTCTATTTAATTAAATTTTATAATTTTTATTATTTTAATTTTATTTTCTATCTTCGTGACTTTACCGAAAGAACCAAAGAATATGAATTCCTGTAGTCGCGAAAGTTTTAAGTCAAAACTACACGTTTCCTTTGCGGGCCGGGCAGTGCCATTGGCGGTTGTGCCGAGTTGTGTTGTTGTCACCCCGAAGCAACGTCTGGCCAATCCGCCGGGCTCCGCGATCCACCGCCACGATTATCCGGATTTAACCCGCTAATATTCTGTGACCATGAAGTGCGAGCGCCATCTATTGCTAGAAGTTATTACTTTAATTAATAACATTCTTTGACGAGGATTGTAAGCTCATGGTCCCACCTTAAATCGCATCCTGCACAAACCACGACATGCACGCATACACAAATGGAAAGTTAAAAACTCTCCAGTGTGCGACTGTGGTTCCGACCACCTCATTGTGAAATTCTACTTGTTAATTTCTCTACCCCCCCCCTCTCTTTCTCTAGGCCCCCCTTTCTCTCTATTTAAGGCCTCGACACAGAAGCGTTGTTTCTCTGTGTGCCTATGTGTGTGTCTTTCTCGGTGTGTCTCTGTGTTGTCTCTCTCTGCTTGTGTGTCTATCTACGTGTCTCCGTGTCTGTGTTTTGTCTCTCTGTCAAATTTAGCAATGTTTGGAGGAACGTTAATCAAACAGGTAGGGTGTTGACTGTAATGTTAGCCGACTCACTGTGTGGTATCACATTATATTTCTAAGTTTACCCAGTTTGTTTCCTCTTTCATTTGTACCTGATGATGATTGCTTGTGTTGCAATCGAAACTTCGTATGCTATTATTACATTTATTTTTCTTTCTACGTGACTTTACCGAAAGAACCAAAGAGAAATTCTACTCGTTGCACTGCGTCTGCATCGGCCATACGAGAGAAGAAGATTTACCATCGGTCGTACCGAAAATGTTGTTACGTGCTAATGTCGCCGGCGTTTATTCTGCTTTGTCCTGAGATGCACGACCAACATCTTTTGCTACCCACCCGTGGGTTGCAATTCACGTATTTGGGCACCGCTGGTCTAAAAACAACGGTGTCTCTATTTAAAGCTTTCGTGACTGCAGGGATTCATCTTCTTGGTTCTTTCGGTAAAGTCACGTAGAAGGGAAGTAATAAAATAATAAAAAAAAAACATAATAAAATACAATTCTCACGACGTTTCGGCCACAACGCAAGCAGCCGTCCTCAGGTGAAAACCAGGTCTGTCGAGGCGACAGACCTGGTTTTCACGGTGTCTCTCTCTGTGCGTGTGTGGTCCTCCTTCAACTGAGCTCCCACTCGACGCTGTGCCGTGCGCGCGCGCCCACAGGGTCTTCTCGGCGTACATGAAAGAGGTGGACGAGAAGCCCGCGCCCACTCCGTGGGGGTCCCGGATGCCGTTCGGGGAGCTCATGGCAGAGCTCACGGGCTCGCACTCGGCGGGGGGCTGGGTCCACGGCCTGTGCTTCTCCCAGGACGGCAACCGTCTCGCCTGGGTTTCCCACGACAGCACTGTGTGCCTGGCGGACCCGCGCCTCGACAAGGAAGCGCCGTGAGGACACGGGGGGGGGGGGGGTGACTCATAGAACCATTGGTGCTATTTGACTGCCCTCTGCTGCCCACCACGATAGCGCGCAGCCTACAACACCTGCTTTATATCAAACACCATCCAGGCTCAACCCAGCCTTGCTTCCGATAATCTGACGCATTCCTGGTGCGACACGATCAACGGCAATTGATATATGAACCTGTCCAGGATCTCACCTAGGTCAATTTATCCTTAACTTTGTAGCCAGTGAAATGCGTCTCCAGCACAAGGCGCACAGAGGAAACCGGACATGGCGTTGTCCATGCCACTCTGTCACGTGCCATGGTGACTGGAATAGGTGCTCGCTAACATAAGAGCCTTCATGTCTTGGCAGGGTGGGCGTGCTGAAGACGGACTTCCTCCCACTCCTCGCCATCACTTTCATCTCGGACAACAGTCTGGTGGCTGCGGTGAGTCACAGGCCAACGCCAGACACATTTCTCAGACATTACTCGGTCTAATATCAAAACTGTGCAGTTATTGCTGCCATAGAGTTCAACACAATATCAGCAGATGTCGGCACAAATGAATTCTTGCCATCCGAACACAGATGTCAATTCCCAGACTGCTCGAGTCAAATGTTTTTGACAGCGTCTATGCATCACCTCTGTACATCGGTCTGTAAACACGGGGTCACGATCACCCGAGTAAAGGTGATCCAATATGAACGAAACTTCAGTAGAACGTCGTGGTGCTATCCGCGACTTACCACGAAGAAAACGGACCGCGTTGAATTCCATCTCGATTTTATTGCAAAGTTTTTTTTTTCTACAGCGCGTAGTACTGTAAATGTCAATATCTTAGCTGGAATATTCGTTGTCATCTGCGCTCCATCGACGCAGGAGGAACAGCTGAAATACGCGAGCTCTCTTGAAGCCCTCTCGCCGCGGCTGGCAGACCTCGGCGTTGAGCCCCTGACCATAATTTCGCCACGCTCAAGGATCGAGTAGACTCAGGCACAGGCCGTCGCAGTGGTGCGCCACTCGAAGCGTTACGCGAGCCACGCGTGTCCGTGACTTTTCTCCCTTTTGGGCACGCTTTGACCCCTGCCTCCCGAAGGGTCACGACTGCTACCCGGTGCTGCTCACCAGCGAGGCGAGCGGCGCTCTGCGCGTGGCTGGCAAGCTGGACCGCGGCCGCCAGGGGGCGTTGAAGAACCTCTCTGCCAGGGACAAGTTCCGTAACATGGACAAGAAGGCGAGCGCAGAGGAGGGCGACAGCGCTTTGGACTCCCTGCACCAGAACAGCATCACGTACGTGTGTGTGTGTGTGTGTACGGCGTGTGTGTGTGTGCGCGGCGTGGCGTGTGTGTGTGTGCGGCGTGTGTGTGTGTGTGCGGCGTGTGTGCGTGTGTGTGTGTGCGGTGTGTGTGTGCGGTGTGTGTGTGTGCGGCGTGTGTGTGTGCGGCGTGTGTGTGTGTGGGGTGTGTGTGTCTGTGTGTGTGCGGCGTGTGTGTGTGTGCGGCGTGTGTGTGTGTGGTGTGTGTCTGTGCGGCTTGTGTGCGTGCGCACGTCAATGTGCACCTAATCTGGTGCACACTCGGGAGCGGTGGTGCAGCGGTTAGCGCTACGCTGCGCTACGAACCCGGCGACCCGAGTTCGATTCCCGCTCGCGGCCAACACCGGTGACGATTATCTGAACCGGTCCGGGGTCTCCCCAAGGTTGACTTAGTCTCAAATGAGTACCTATTTGCGGTGTGTAAACTTCGCCACTAGGGAGACAAAGGCGGCCGGGGGTGGTATTGGCCACTCTCCCATTCGTGTGCCGCCAGTATAAAGTCTTTATATTTGTTGCCTGTTGTGTGTCAATGCCTAGGGCGTGTTTGTGTCTGTATGCATGTGTCAGTTGTGGTTGGGGAGTGGTGGCGCAGTGGTTAGCGTAGTGTGTTACAAGCCCGGCATCTCCAGTTCGATTCCCCGTCCTGGTCAACGTCAGTAGCGACTCAGCCTTAAATGGATACTGCATCTGGGTTCAGTGTGTAGCATCAGTACTGAGGAGACAAAGGCGGCCGGGTATTCGTGTGCCGTGCCTGTTAATAAGAGGTGTGTGCGCTAACACCACTTGGCCCCGACAGAATGTCTATGACGATACGGGAGATACGCGTTTTTCGTCAATGTGTCCGACTTTGCGTTCGTTTGTTTTCAAATAATCACGTACAACCTTGAGCCTCGGGAAAGCTTTCCTCGATGAATAAATGGCATTATTATTATTATTCAAATGGCATTGGGCAGAATGTCCCTATGCAGGAACCATCCTGTTGCTCAAAATTTCTGACCTGCCCCTGCCGGGCATCTGTGGACAAAAATGTATCCACAGCTCGTGGGATTGCTCCAGGATGAATGCAGATTCCGATTCGGAGGAATGTTGTAGATAAATGTAGTCATGAATGTAACCAGAAGTGATGGGAGTAACAACACATGCGATGCTGACAACTACAAACCCCGTCTCGGGAGACTTGGGTTACATTGCATAAACCTGGCCCGAACATCATCTATTCTGTTGAGAATATATACCGCGTCCAAACAGTCCTCTTTCCTTGTTCGATGTTTGTTGTATCTTTTTAAACTCACGGCGAAAACACGTGTTTATTTCACGTATAATAAGTGTCAGGGTAGGGTACGTATGACCTCCTTGCTTGCATTTTACAATGTGCGCCACCACCGCCCAAACGAATCACGTAAAGTCACAGTTAATTTATCCGTGACATTTCGATAGCTCGGCAACATGACGCACATCATTGGCGATAATTTTGTTTCACATTTGACTCACCGTGCACGCGCCCATGGTTTGCCCTCTCGCGTCATGGGTCAGGGTTTGGTTCTTTGAGCTTTTGGGATTATATCGTTCAGAGAATTTGCATCACTTCTCCTTGACATTTATATTTCACAATGACTTGCCGCGGGCGGATAGGTTACGTGCCTTGTTTGATCAATCAATTATAAGGTTCCTCCTGTCTTGAACTCTACATCGGATCGTATGTAAGGACACTGAACGTGTTTTTTTTCTGAAGTTGCAGTGAAGAGCACCATTGTTTAGCGCGGGTTACATTTACATGCTCATGCCGCTGAGTGTCACAACCGTAATGGATAGTCTGTCGTGTGAGATGATAAGACCACAAACACATCATGATTGCCATCATCACCATCATCCATGACCCATATGATCATCCGAGATCGTGTCATCAAATCACAGCATTAATACGTTTTGGTATTCATGCCATTCTTATCTTGCAATGCGGTCCTTTTTTTATTCTTGAAATTTGGACCATAATGCCAGCACACAATGGGCTACTCTGCTCCGAATAACATCGCGGGATCATTCACGTCCACCGTGAAGCAGACTGCACTTTTTAATTACGGTTAAAACACCCGCAGTATGAATCAGTGCAGCCACTGGGCTCAAACCACGAACTTTGTAGCAAGCAGCAAGCACAATATCATTGGGTCGGCCAGGCCACCGACAAATTGAAGTAATCATTTGTCATAATCTTAATCAGCGGTAACCATCATCATCTTGGGTAATAATCATAATTTTTCATTTAAAATAATCATCATTTAGGAACATGCATTAAGAGTATTTGGCTGATATAGATTTCCACGTGATATTTCCACTTTGTTGAGCTATCATTTATTGCCAGATCGCTTCTGCATAAGACCTATTCATAGGTCAATATGACTCTCCGCGAAATTTGCTATTCGTATATGTATGTTGGACTTCTTTCGCACCGTACACAGCCAACCTTGCTAATCGGAGGTGCGAGGGAATGATAACAAACTGAACACAAAAAGCAGTTCTAAAGAAATGAGTTTTCAATCTAGACAATTCACGAGCATCTCCGGAATGTCACCCTCGCGAATAAGGAGGGAATACCGTAGTTTATGTTTATGTACAGCGCTTTGCAATACTTCAACATGAAAGATGCTTGAAGAATAGAGGTTATTATGAATCTCCGTGGCCCCCTCCACCCTGTTCTACCAACCATCTCGTTCCCTGTCTTCTCCCTCGCTCTTGCTGTCTACTCTGCTCGCAACTTCGGGGTCATCTTCAACTCCTCCTTCTTCAACCACTACCCACCACTCGCCGATTTCACCGATTCAACATTCTCAAAATCCGTCCCCCTCATCTCTCTCTTTCTGCCGCTCAACTCCCGGTTCACCTCCCTCGTGTTCGCTCAGCTCGACGACTGTTATTCTCTTCTCCTAGACCAGGGGTCGGCAACCTACGGCTCCGGAGCCGCATGCGGCTCTTTACGGGCTGCTTCTTGACGATGAGTACGTATGTACAGTATGTACTCAGATGCATTGCGGCTCTTGAAATACTGAATTTTGTACCGAATTGGAAAGAAATGGCTCTTCTTGTTATTTTGGTTGCCGACCCCTGTCCTTTACCCTTCAATGCCCACGCCTCCTCTGCAACGACAGATACAAAATGCCTCGGTCCCAGATCAATTTTAACCTGCACCACAATTCGCGCACTTCTCCACTTTCCCCAACTCCGTTTAACACGTCGTAGGCTTTTGCGACCCATATCATTCACAATAACGATATTTACGTGGTCTAACACAAAAGAACGTGTATAATTAGTTGCACACTAAACCCCATAGGAAATGCTCCACGACTCTTGAGAATTAAACCTTTTTTTATATTCTCAGGTTTTTTCGGTAAAGTGCGAAAGAAAACGTCGTGATTTTTATTTTATTAGTTTAAATTTTTAACCTACGTGACTTTACCGAAAAACCTATAAATATGAATATTCGCGTCACGAAAGCATCACATCTAGAATTAAAACCTTTTTTTTAGTTTCATTTCGGGGGATAGCGCGAACGCAGTCCCCCAGTACCACAAATTATACAGTCGAGTTTCCCGCATTTGGGGAAATCGCAGGGGTCAACCCACCCGCAGTGCAATGGATGAGCCTCGCCTTGGGAGGACCACCTAAGTGATCATGGTGCCTACCCTGTCAGGTAAGTATGAGTTGGGCTGCTACCACTATCCCTATATGAATCAGAATATGATACCTTTACTCTATGGGCCCTTCAAAAGCTTTTACATGGCGATAGTTGGAGACGTTTCATGAATAAAAACCATCGCTTTACAACAAGAATATTATGTTAATGAAACATGTACTATGTTGCAAAGCAAAGTTAACATGCATGTTGTTAGCTGAAAGCATTATTTATTAGAGAAATCTCCAATGGCATTATGGGTAATGTTGGCTGAATCCAAAGATCAGTTACCATATTAGAGGTTTTACCTTCAGTTCTGGAAATAATTGCAATAATTATCAAGCTAATAATATGCAGTACTACAACAGTAATCAGTCACTCTAATTGTTATGAGATCAATTACTTCACGAACCCGATAATACGAGGATAGTGGGGAGGTAAATCCCACCTCTTCCCATGCGTGTTGCTGGACGGGAGGTAAACTATGCAAATATAAGAATAGGTTTTACCCTTTCTGGCAATAAAACTGTTGTGTTAAGATGTTGAAACACCAAATATAATCATTTTGCAAGGATTCAAGCCTGCATTAACCACACGTACTTGTGTTGAACGTGCATACAAAGATGATTTGATAATTACAGATGCATTGCTTGAAACTGATTGGGCTACACCAGAGGCTGCTAAAACGCATTTTACCCCGAAAGATGGTGTAGACCAATCAGTTTAAAAAACAATGCCATATATAATTATCAGATCATGTTTGTTCAAGTTCATTTAAGTTCATTTATTAGCACAATATTGCAGAAAAAATCACCGTACACCAACGCTGTGTGCAAAAATCCCAGTGGGATGCAAGTCAAACAACCAACAACAACCACAAGACAACTTAGATTAAGGCCATCAGTCTAACTCTGTACTACAACAAACAAACATGGCTAAACCAATACACTTTTCGAAATCACCAAAATAAAGCCATGAAAGCAATGAAACAGTGATCATAGGAACTGTGATGGAATTTTCACAATAAATGGCATAAACAACATGTACCACCAAAACCCTGCAGCCATAGCTGGCTGCATGAGTCACTCCACAACAGCACAGGTACCGTGTGTGGTTAATGCACACTTTATTCCTTGCGAAATGTTTATATTTAATGTTCGAACATCTTAACACCTGTTTTATTGCCAGAACGATTAAAACCTATTCTTATTTTTTCATACTTTGATACTTGCAAAAAAAGTGTCATTTTGTGGGAGGTAAACTAAAAGCTATTTCACCAGGTAAAGCCCACTCGGCTATATGGCACTTTTTTAGACGCTACCTGGCCACAAATGATAGCCCAACGAAATGGCTTATCATGTGGAAATTGATAAAAGCCAAAGTACTCTAAACGAACGTTTCTAAATGTGTCGAGAAAAACCGGAGGACCCGGAGAAAAATCCACGCGACCACAGGGAGAAAGACACGCAAACTCCAAATATACAGCAGCAGGCGTCCGAGTCGGGATCGAACCCACAGTCCTCCTGTATACCAGGCGAGGTAGTTAACATATCATAGCCACCGCGGCACCTAGCCTCATGCTGTCACGTGTATTCTGGCTTGGTCAGGGGTTTTCCCCACCTTCAACGAGGCGCAATGTGGGTTCAGCCGTAAATAGTTTTTTTTTTTACTAAAAAAAAATCATCAATTAATCGACCCAAAATGACTATATTCTTGCTAGCTCCGCTAATTCATCATCCTCATCACCTGCGGTCATAATCATCGGGCCTAGATCAAAATCGGCGTCGCATCCATCCACGCCCGGTGCGCTGTCAATCCACCCGTGGGCACGGCCCTGTGACGAGTCCGTGACACGTCACGTGCTTCCCAGCAGCAGCAGCGTGTGACCCGGGGCGAACAAAAGAATGGAAGAGGCAGTGACCGGGGCCTGGGGTTGGTTCTCTCAACCAGATTCCTGAGATGAAAACGACAAGAAACAACCCCAACGATACAAAGAAATAAGCCAAACCACGACCCAAAATGCCGATGTTCACTAAAAGGAGTTTTATCGCCGGTGTTACACTCGGCAGGGGTTTTTTTGTTTACACAAAAAATTGGTTTGGTATTCTTTTTTTCCTATGCTGTAAAGAATGCACCCTGTCTCTGGAGTTGACGTGACACGTTGGAGAAGGGGTCGGTGTCATGGGTGGCTTTGTTTGCCCTTCTTTCGATGCAAACTTTCTTGAAGAAGTTTAACACGTAGGCTTTCGCGACCAATATCATCCATAAGAGGGTTTTTTGGGTTAAATCGCATAAATATGTCGTTCAAACCCACCACCACCCGACACAGCCAATTCGTCAGTAGTACAGCACACCGGTGTGTTAGAGAGGCAAGCCGCAACATTTACAATCTGAGTACGACGTTTCGCCAGTAATTACAACTAGCTTCATCAGGCGACAGCCAGATTTGTGGAGAAGTCCACCTGTTTATTGAAGAGAGCTTAAACTGGGAAATTGGGAAAAACAAAAAACGGGAATAAATACCAGCGCGTGGAGGGTGTGCTACACGTGGCAGGCGGTGGAGGTTTTTCCACCTGAACCTTCCATGACACAGGAGGCAAGGCCTCGCGGTAGCTGAACCGTAGCCAACCTCTCCACATTTCTCAACAAAAACCCCAACGTAACTTAATTTTCATCGTCGTCATAATTTGATTTCCAGCACTTTCGCGACTTGCTCTCAGATATTGGTTCGAGTCTTTTCGCGCACAATCTATTATCAGCAGTATGATGAACTGAGCTTGGTATTTTTTTGTACACTGGTATATGCGTGTCTACCAATGCATAGATGAATTGATTTACATCGGTACGAGCGAATAAAGTGCGTGAGACCACTGCTGCCATGTAGAGGCACTGCTTGCACAAGACATGTGTTAAGTTATGACTGTATGTGATATCTTGAATCGCCCTTCCTAAACAATGATGCCTTTGGTTGTCCTGTTGGGGGAGGCAAGTCTTTACAGGTCTAACACACAGTCACTTGTATACTTGACACCACATACCTATATATAGCTGCTGTTTGCCGACAAAATATATTTACCAAATACGCTCTAAATAAATGACATGTTCTCTGATGTCACTGCTGGAAATGCCATTCGTCACAATGAATACGCCTTGAGGTGCAAGACTGAGCAGTTGCCACGGAAAAAAAAAACATTAACACCCCTTCGCGTGTGCCACAATTGTAAATCTGCTTGTCGTGTTGGTTACCCACGTCCGTGAGTGAGTGAGTGGGGCTGGCCACCCACTCCCTCGTGCGGTGTGTAAACGTCGCTACTATGGGGAGACGAAGGCGGCCGGGCGTGGTGCCAGCCACCCATCCCCTCGTTCCTCGTGTGGACCTTGATAGATGCTACTCGCTAACAGCACTTGCCCCAACAGTCTGGTAAAGACTATACGGGGGATATTTGTCTGTGTACCCAGGGCTTAGTTACATCAGGTTCTTTTCAGGCTCGTGAAACAGAAATGATTCCCATGCCAGGCACACCACCACATCCAGTATGCTTGCTGTGGCTACCAGCGAGGTGGTACCTCCTGCCCTCATTTAGTGTTATAATTATATTTGTCACGTTTGCACAGCACAGGCCCAAACATCTCCAAAATCGCCCAGGGTCCGACAACACTCGGAACGGTTGAAGGTGCAGTGGAGCAGATTTAATGGGTTTCTGGAATTGAGTAATGAGGGCGCAATGTAAGTTGGGGAAAATTGATGATGGGGAGGGACACTTAATGGTTGAGCAAGTGCAAGGGAATATGGTCGTTGATCGAGAGTGGATCCAGAATTATTCTGGCGATGACCGTGCGTTGCTAGTCACGTAGCGCATCCTAGCCGACTATCCCCGTCTCTTTTATTTACGATGGGTTGCCGAGCACAAGCCCAAAAGGCTAAGCAAAGAGCAACAAGTAGCACTAAATATGAGTTACTAAGAGTTACTACAGTTCTTGAATTAAGCAAGGTTACAAAGAACGTCGGGGGGAAAGGGGGATGAGACGATGAGGGGGATTCCAAACTTGAGTAGCGTGGTGGTCAAACACCATACAGATGACACGACAGACACCCTGGAAGACGGGAATGTCATTTCCAGATCTGCGAGCGACCGCTCAATCAATAAAACAAATAATTCAGTGAATAATGCATGCTTGTGTGTATGTGTGTGTCACCCATGCGTCTTCTGTGGGGAGTGGCAGCGTCGTGGTTAGGGCACTGCGCTACGAACCCCGCGATTCACTCTCGCAGCCAACATCGGTGGCAAACATATGAACCCCTTCTCGGCCTCCCCGAGTTTCACCTGCCTTAAAATGGGTACTGGACCTGGTGCGATGCGTAAACGTCGCCATTGGGGAGACAAAGGCGGCCGGGCGTGGTGCTCTTCCACCCACGCCTTCATGTGCCGTGCCGGCCTTCATAGGTGCTCGCTAACAGTACTTGCCCCCAATAGCTACACAATGGGAGATCTGTGTGTGTCTCGGTGTGTCTTCTCCCTACAGGCAGCTGTCCGTGTTGGAGGGAGACAAGGCAAAATGCAGGGTCCTGTGCAGCTCAGGCATGGACGGCTCCTTTGTCATCTGGAACCTGGAGGTGATGACCTTGTGGCAAAAATCACGGGCAGCATCAACTGCCAAAGCGACCTTCTCCTCCCACGCTGCTCGCATTGCAGGGAGGTTTTTTTTTTCTTTCCTCCTAAACGTTATGAATATGCTGCTTGTGTCACGACGGAAAGAAATTTGCATTGCAAACCTCTGGCAGTTAGAGAATGTTACATAACTTCTTTTGAAGCCACATTTCAGCGTCAGGTATGCGGAAAGAGGGTACTTTTTTTTAAGCATTACAAAAAATTTGAAAAGAAAATAGCAGCCTACACACATTGGTAGAAAAACCTCACATTTTCATTTGTTTGCTTTGTGCTGTGAATAGGAGCCATTATTATTTTATTTGAAGGCCACAGTGTTGTTGGCAAGTGTGTTAAAGTTGTTTTGCTATTTGTGCATTCACCGCCAAAGTGGCAGCATCACCACATCATTTGTTGGTGTCGCGTACAGTTGACAAGAAAGAAGCTATAAACGTGCACGTAACAATCCGCTTCGTTGAGCTATTATTTGCGACCAGGTCGCTTTTGAAAAAGAACTGCAGTCCCGAGAAAAAAGTTTGTGAACCCCCTTAGGATTTTCACATGATATCCATATTTCAAACCTCAAATGTTATTAGATCTTAAGCGGAGTCATAATAATAGATAAAGATAACCGGATTAAAAAAATTACACGAAAACATGATACTCTTTCAATATTTATTCATCCTCAAATGATTCTACATTCAATAACCACGTGTGACGAAATGTGAACCTTTAGATTCAGTAACTAGTAACCATTGGTCAGTCCCTCATATCGGATTTGGGTATTCTTGGCCCATTCCTCATGACAGAACTCTTCAACTGGGTGACATTTGAGGGTTGCCTTGCATGGGACAGCTCGCTTCAATGTCCTGCGACAACATTTTGATTGGTTTTAGTTCTGGACTTTGACTCGGCCGTTGTAAAACGTGGAATTTCTTCTTCTGCAGCCATTCTTTTGTCGATCTGCTTGTATGTTTAGGATAATTGCCTTGCTGCAAGACCCACCTTCGGTTCAGCTTCAGCTCACGGATGGATGGCCTGACATTCTCCTCTAGCATCTTCTGATACAATGCAGAATTCATGGTTATGTCAATGATGGCAATCCGCCCAGGTCCTGAGACAACAAAACAGCCCCAAACCATCACATTCACACCACCAGGCTTGACTGTAGGGATGAGGTTTTTCTGTTCAAAAGCAGTGTTTGGTTTCGCTAAACATAACAATCATCATCGAGGCCTCAAAAGTTATACCTTTGACTTGTCTGTCCAGAGATCATTGTTCCAGAATTCGTGTGGATCATCTATGTGCAATTTGGCGAACTTCAGACAGGCAGCAATGTTCTTTTTGGAGAGAAGTTATGTTCACCTTGATATCCTTCCATGAACACCACTCTTGTTCAGTCCTTCTCTGATAGTTGAGTCATGGATACTCACATTAGCCAAGATGAGTGGCCTGCAGATCTTTCGATGTTTCTCTGGGATTCTTTGTAACTTCATTGATGATTTTCCAGTTTGTTCTTGGAGAGATGTTGATAAGACGACTGCTCCTGGGTAGAGTGACTGTGGTTTTGAACTTTCTGCATTTGTAGACGATCTGTCTGACAGTGGATTGGTGGAGCCCCAGATCCTTATAAGTGGTTTTGTAATCCTTTCCATACTGATGAGCATCAATAACTCTTTTTCCGAGGTCCTCAGAGATTTATTTTGATCGGGGCATGGCTTGTTTCCACACAGCTTTATGGTGAAGACCAAACTCACAAAGTGTATTATCTTTATATAGGGTGTGGCCTCTCAAACTCACCCATGAAGATCTACCTAATTATTTAAACACCCGATTTTAATTATTCCCGTAATGAGCTAATGAAACCAGGGATTCACTTACTTGTTCACATACCCTGAACCTTAATTCCTAAAGACATGGAATTGGTTAGTATAAATCCTATTGGATATTTAAGAAAATGCCGACTTTGATTCCAGAAGGCTATCATGGTAAAACTATGGAATATCCATCATTATCATTGGGGTTCACACACGTTTTCTCGGCACTCAGTGGGCCTTATCTGGTAAAAAAATTAAAAATGTTTAAGTATGATCCCGATTTCCCTTGAAAAGTATACCCCCTCATTGGGCCCTCAATCCAGCACAAAGTAATAAAAAAAATGTGCGACTTTTGCCAGAAATAAAAGCGCGGTTAACGCACGACGCCACGTACTCGTCAATTTGAACTCAATTCGTGGCGGCGACAGCAAAAAAAAACCACCATGGGGCGGCAGGCGACACCTTTGAACCAGCCTCGGGCACCGATCCCGCATTGACCAGCGTAGACAACGACAGTCAACTCCCACAAGGGCTTCTACAGCGTGGCCCAGATAATCTTGTGACCCCCCCCCCCCCCCTCTTCAATTAATTGACCCCTAACATTGTTGTTCTTTGCGTATTCACTTCTCTTTTAAATGAACCTTACTGGAACACATGTGAAGTTTTAGAGACTTCAATCGAGCTCACAAAACAACTGGACCACTTTGTGCATGGGGCTGTACACTACTAACAGTATGCCACAATATGTTGGTGTGTATTACACACACACACACCTCATACCAGACGGTATTACGTGCGCACACACACACATTCGGGCCTTTATTCAGCACACTCGTGTGGGACGGAACCCAATACGTGTCCGTATGAAATGCGAGCAGACAGGTTTGGAGCCAAGCCCTCTTTACTCTTTCATAACAAGGCGATGCAAAGCTGCGCAGGGCGAGAATAGCTCGGATTCTTGGCCCAAGTAGTCACTCAACATTTTTCAAGTGACCGCATTGGCAACGGTGCACAGACCAAAAACAAAAAACCCTTCGCCTCACCTGTGTGTCTTGAAACTTCCGTGCCTCAACACCTGGACTCACAAAGCTGCCTTTCTCGCTGCTTGTGATGACACCACTCCCTGTCTCTCTCTCTGTCGCTTCTCTTTATTTTCCAGCCTGCCTGCATTTGGCCTGTGGTGCCAGGTGTTTGGCTTTCACATTGTTGACAGAAGGTGTTGGACTTGAACTTGTTCTCTCCGCTCTCTGCTGCTGATTACAGCTGCCTCTCCTCTCATGCTGCTTATATAACATCGCCAAAGACAAACACAGATATTGCACGTATAGCTTTCACATGCTGTTGGGGCAAGTGCCGTTACCGAGCACTGATGAAGGCCGGCACGGCACGCGACAGCGTGGGTGGCCAACACCTACGCCCGAACGCCTTTGTCTCCCCAGTGGCCATGTTTACATATCGCACCAGGTACTCATTTGAGGCTGAGTAGACCTAGGGGAGGCGCAGGCCCGGTTCAGATAATCGTCACTGGTGTCGACCGTGAGCGCAAATCGAACGGCGACGCCACCGCTCCCCAAATAACATCAACAACACACGCGTACAGACCTAGACCTTGGGAGTGGCCTTAATCGGGTGTAATTAAGGTGTTACTTGCGTCTTTTGTCTCTCAAGTGACGAGGCACGCTTACTCAAGCCAATACAAATAATACGTAATATTTAAAAATATTTTTTTAAACACGCTTTCATGAAATGAACCGTACTAGTAATGGCAGAACTCCACGACTCCAGGAAGTGGCCCCGAAGCTTGCCACAACGTAAGGGGGCCGTGGTGATTTACAGCCAACGTCACTTGACCGTGGACAATTAGACCCAAGCCGAAACATAACATATAAAAAAGATTGTTTACATTTTTTATTTTTTTATTTTTTATAATAGAATATAGTATTGTCACCAGTATGACATAAGCATACCAAGTTTGCAGTCGATACGACATTGGGAAGTGGGTTAAAATTGCGTTACAAGATTTGAGGATACGACAACAGACAGAGTGAGTTTATCAAAAGCGTGTAAGAGAATGTTTTAAAATATATGTTTTAGATTTTTTATGATAGAATATAGTCTTGTCATCAGTATGACATAAGAACACCACGTTTGCAGTCGATAGCACATTGGGAAATGGGTAAATATTTAGTTACAATATGTTTTGAGGATACGACAACAGACAGCGAGTTAAATAAAAGCGTGTAATAATAACAAAAATCCATGCTCACATCGTTCCTTCTCTGTGGAGAAGCATGCTTATTCACCTTTAATTTCCCTTCCTTTACAGAAAACTCCCAAAGTTCTCCGCAACTTTAAGCAGCACGAAGAAAGCAATCAATGCCCCTTCTCCATCTCATTCTGGTTGAACCAGTTTGTCCTTATTTCAGTGTTGAAAGTAATTGCGTTTTAAGTCTGGCATAAAATATCAGCTACAGTTTACTTTAGTTAGCACATTCCCCGTAACTAAATTTTCCCATTTTATGTTTAAATTAGATTATGGCCACACCACCTCTGCTTTGGGGTCAAGATAAAGGAATAATAATGTTTTAAAAATGACAAATTATCCACAAGTTGGTGATTAAAAGATTATCCCCAACCCACGAGGCTACGGCTCAGCTTTGAAGCCAATTTCCTGGTCTGGGCTCGCGTCGCCTCGCGACAATGTGCCATCGTGCACAGGGCGCCACGGTGGTGAAATGTTAACTACCTCGTCTGGTATGCAGGAGGTCGTGGGTTCGATCTTGACCCTGACGCCCGTATATTTGGAGTTTGCGTGTTCTTCCCGTGATCGTGTGGATTTTTCTCCGGATCCTCTGGTTTTTATCTCCACATTTAGAATCATGCGTTTAGAGTACTGCTGTGCATTTGCACATCATAATGCCACTTTGTTGAGCTATTATTAGTGGCCAAGTCCCTTCTGAAAGAGCTATATAGGTCAGCGGGCCTTACCTGGTAAAATACCAAATAGTTTACTTTATATCTTCTTGGTTCTTTCAGTAAAGTCACGTAGAAGGGAAATAATAAAATAATAAAAATAAAACAATAAAATAATTCTCACGTCGTGAGAATAATTTCATTATGTTTGATTTTTATTTAATCATTTTATTATTTCCCTTCTACGTGACTTTACCGAAAGAACCAAGAAGATGAATCACTGCAGTCACGAAAGCTTTAAATCGAAATTTAGTTTAGTTTATAGTAAAAGAGATCAAATGAGATTGAACTGCTATGGCCTTTACATTCAGTAAATGTAGGGTGGCCACTTGTAATGAGTTTCTTGTGAAGATAACTGCTATTCTGAGAAACCTGTAGGAGTTCCCAGAACATTAAAAGTCCCTGTTTTGCCAGTTGTATAAGAATAAAACAAACAAAAAATAGCAGGCCACTCAAGCTTACGTGTAATGTGGGATACCATTCTTCTTATCGTGATGACCCAGTTTACTGGTGGGAACGACGCTGTGCGACCCCATGTGTTCTTTTAAAATAAATGTAACAATCTTCGTGCCAGATTTTCTACCGATAATGTTCACCTCGTATTGTTTTTCAGACGATGGAGAACATGATGGAAGGCCTCGTCATAGCCTGAACATGAAATGCTCTCCGATTTTAAAATTCCACGCAACACCTTTAAAACAATTTTGTTTGCATTCCCTTTTCCTGGGTGCTTTCCTCTTTTTGCAATGAAGCTGCTCATATCAGATATATTTTACGCTTAATAAAATGACATTGCGACGGGCATTCAGCAAGAGTGCGGTGTGTGCGTGTTAATGAACGCGTTGCGGGCGACACTGGATCACCGTGAGCCAAAGTCCATCATCTTCTCTCGAAAACCAAATTCCTGATCTGTTGCGTGAGGCTCTTTGAGGCACGGGTGGAAAGATGATAACCTTTACCGAGGGTCAGAGAACCTTTTAATACCTTTGGTGGCCCACACAAAGATCACATGCATATCCTCAACGACTGTTGGGAGGAAGTGCGGTTTGCGAGCACCTATGACGACCGGCAAGGCACACGAGGGGGTGAGTGATCAGCACCACTTCCAGCCGCCTTTGTCTCCCAAGTGGCGTTGTTATACATCGCGCCAGGTCCTCGTCTGAGGCTCAGTCAACCTAGGAGAGGCCCAGAACCGCTTCACATAATCATCACTGGTGTTGGCCGTGAGCGGGCAATCGAACTTGGGTGACTGGTTTCATTACGCAGTGCGCTAACCACTGCGCCACCGCTCCCCATAACACTGATGGCTGATACTGTTAGGTTTTTTTCGGTAAAGTCACGTAGGTAAAAATAAATAATAATAAAATAATAGAAATAATAATATAAATAAAATAATAAATCACGACGTTTCGGAGGCAACACAAGTCTCCGTCATCAGGTGGGACCGTCACAGCTAAATTTACTGTATCAAGTGAGGTGCAGTGATTACCTCCTGTAATTACTTAAATTAACTCACTTGATACAGCAAATTTAGCTGTGACGGTCCCACCTGATGACGGAGACTTGTGTTGCCTCCGAAACGTCGTGATTTATTATTTTATTTCCATTATTATTTCTATTTTTTATTTTTACCTATGTGACTTTATCGAAAAAAAACCGAAGAGTATGAATCCTTGCAGTCACGAAAGCTTCAAATCTAGAACCGATGGCTGAGTTCTCGCTGGGCACGCCTCTATTTGGGTCACACCCGAAGGCGCGATCACACACCTTTGCGTTACTCAATACCTCAGCACATTATAAAGCTTCCATGCGGACCGAGTGTAAAGAGGCCCCTTGCAGTTGTGCTGGAAATGGGAGGTGCGAGACTTGAATGTCATACAATTAGCAATGCAGGCTGCTGGCTAGGTTAACAATAGTACAGTACTATTAACCTGGTCGCTTAAGTTCGATTCCCGGCCATGGCTAACATCAGTGGCCGGTGTTATCCGAATCGGCCCTGGACACACGCCGTTTTCCTTCAGGCACCTACACCGACCAGTGTGGCGAAGTATGGTCAAATAACCTCCTGCAATTACTTAAAGTATCGTGGAGGCCTTAAGTCACGGGTGGATTGATAGCAACCTGATAGTTCAGGGAAGTAGTCGTAGCAGCTGTTTGCACACTGCACTCGGCAACCTGCGACCCGAGTTCGACTCCCAACATCAGTGGCGACAGCAGAACAATCCATTGGCCCTCACAACCGGCACTGACAAACACATTCCTGCGGAGGGAGCTGGTAGGAACGTTGGGTTGCTCGGTCAATGGCCAGGGTCAACGGCGGCGTGGTGTATTCCGCAAATATGCCCGACTGTGAGGGCGGGCACAAGCCGGCGTGAGTAGGTTAAACGTTGAGTTTTATAAGGGCACCACGGGGTGAGCAGCCCCTCCCCACCCAGCCCCACCCCTCCCAAAACCCACCCAGCCCCTCCCTCCCCACCCAGCCCCTCCCCACCCTCCGCTCTTCACCTAGCCCCACCCCTCCCATTTTTGGATGCACGACGGACGGACGCATAATAATCCCCTGTGGGCTGGTGTAACCAGGTTACTACCAGAATTAATGGTGAAGTGTGGTCACGTTACCTCAATGGCTTACGTGGTGTAAGATGCCTTCATACAGCAGTCGATTAACAAAAGGCAGTTGTTAAATGATAATGTATTAATTCAAATAGTATACTACACATATGCACTCCACAGCGGGGGGAAAACAAAAACGCAGATATTGATCCTGTAGTAATGTTTATTGCTTTGGTAAGGGAACCACACGGGAATAACTACTTAATTTATATGTCATCAATAATTTTAAATACTTATGTAAGAGGACAAGATCAGGTTTATTCATTTAATAAGCAAAGACACACCGAATAATATCGCCATTTTTTGAACCTCCGCAAAACACTCCGACTGCTCAAACACCACCCACAGGGCCTTACATCAAGACGAGTTCACAGCGAACGAATCAAGATCTCAACATTCAACGTTGCTGGGATCTAAATCGTCCACCGTACTTGTAATTCACAACACTAAATTCGCCACATGTGCAATCCATGTCGTCGACCGTGTTCTCCAGGTTATACAATCATCCGGAAAGTAACATGCGCCCCACACATATTGCGCCCCAGTTGAAAGAGGAAGGGAGGGGGGACGAGATTAAACGTATAATCTGGAGAATAGGGAAAACGTTGCACACAAAGTGCTTAAGATTAAAAAACTATTTGCTCACAACCAAAAAAAACTATTATTCGTAGCACTCTCAGATGCGCGCTTCTGCGGCCGTCTGGAACGCTCTTCCTTCCGATATTAGGAAGCCACTGGAGCTATACACTTTTTTATCTAGATTGAAAACTAATTTCTTTAGAACTGCTTATTGCTTTTAGTTTGTTGTCCTTCCACCGCACCTCCGATGAGCACGGGGGGCTACGGACGGTACGAAAGAAGTTCAAACATTCATACATCTAATCGGGGATTTGGACACAAAACCTGATCGCACATTATTGCAGTGTTTATTATTGCGGGTGTACCGATGCATCAATCGCTATGCTGCCGGATACAGGCAAAGTGTTTCATGAAGCGCAGCCGTCATAATTCTCGGTAAGGTCATTAACATAACACCCGGAGATGGGAGAACGTCTCACTCGCTACACGATTTCATTTCGTAGGACGTAACTGCGAATTTACTCAGCTGCTCAAACCACCGCGCCTATCAAATATCCAATTTGGTATAAACAGCTTAACGCATATTTAAGACCCAAAACACACGCATGTACATACATCCCCTCCCCCAATGGGCATTTGTCCATGGGCAAGCGCTGTTAGTAAGCACCAAATAAGGATGGAAGAGCACACTAAATGTTGTTTCTAGCCAGCGTGCTGCCAATCTCCCTTTGTCTCTCCAGTGTTTGCATCAACAAACGCACTTCAGCAATTCTGAGCCAATGATGACACAGATCAGCCAGAACTTTTTTTTTTCACAGACTAAAAACAATAAGCTGTTTACACAGCACGAAAACATAACCAGCGCATGCTTAGCTTTTCAACTTGAGATCGTGGCCTTTCGTGCGTATATTCTGCACACAGCCCATGATAACATCCAACTCATATCGGCTGAAATTGGGAGTGTCTTGGGCAAAGTCAAGCGAAGAGGTTCAGGCCTGGTTCACATTCTAGTTGCCACTGGTAAAAAAAGATGTGTACAACTGGGAGTTGAACCCTGCATCGCTGAAATCGTAGTGCAGTTCCATTAATAATTTCTGCCCAGCAACAATAACAACCTCCATTCACTACCAAGTAAACAGAAAAAAAGGTTGTATTTTACCAGGTGATGTCACCACGGCTCTTGTGCCAGGCTCGGTGCACTTTGTGGCTACGTGAAGTGTCTAAGGCTCACTACTCAGCAGGAGGTTACGGGATAGACTCAGGTGTTATGAGTTAACTGCCCGAGATGACGGGCAGATGCACACTGACACACACGTGTGTTTACATGATCACACACACTTAAGTTCACATCAAAATACAAAATTTAGGTGTAATAGCGATTAGTGATAATTCATTATTTGCAAACACGTGAACTTAATGTCATAACAGTTTAAAATTACGAAAAAAAATATGTACCATACCTATATTTACATTTTATAAATTGCATGAGTTCCCCAAAATACAACAATCTTGTTGTTTTTTTAAATCAGCTATGATTTCATATTTTGAAGATGAATATTTCCATTATTACTATTTTATAACCATTAGGGCGCTTATGTATGCAGGTTGCACTCTAGAAGCACAAATAATGACCGGACAGGAAGTACATCTCTCCAAGCAAAATTAAATGTCCACCTGATTATTGGTCTCGGGCACCGAGTTTCTTTGCTTTGTTTGTTGAGAATTTGTTTTATTGAAGGCAGACTCTGGCCTGGCTTCCACATCGAGGGTGCACACCTGCAGGCCTGTTGAACTGCCGCCGTTCGCCTCGATGTCACACGCGAGGCGATGCGCGCAACATTCGAGCTCTTCCGTGCGTTTTCGGGGTTGTGCACAAATCAAATCTGTTGTGCTTTGAGAGCGAAACGTCGGTACATCGCGTCGAACAAGGCGCGCGGTGCAACCCGGAAACACGTTGGTGAGCTGTGGAGCAGCACAACCGTGAACAACCCATGAAGTAGAAATTACTTAATTTACCTCTGTGGAAACACTTCCCGGCACACTTCATTGCCCTTTCACTATTCGTGAGCTATGATCCCCCACCGCAGTGCAAGGAGAGTTTTTATACAAGGTGCACGTATTAATGCGATACAGTGGGATGCAATATAGATTGCGGTTGTTTAGGCCATGCACTGGCTCATACGTACTCATGGGTATGTGTATCACAACAGAAACAAGCACAGAGTAAAAACAACAAAAACATGGATGGATATTCCTGAGGGTTTTGGTGCTTTGATAATATTGGGGTTCATCTTCTTGGTTATTTTGGTAAAGTCACGTAGAAGGGAAATAATAAAATAATAATAATAAAACATAATAAAATAACATAATAAAATGTAATAAAATAAAAAGCATAATAAAATTATTGTATTATGTTTTTTATTATTTTATTATTTCCCTTCTACGTGACTTTACCAAAAGAACCAAGAAGATGAATCCCTGCAGTCACGAAAGCTTTAAATCGAAAAATATTGGGGTTGGTGTGCATGGGGGGGGGGGGGGAGGGTCACGGAATAGTGACCCAGTAAAAGTGGAACTATTGGGCCAACAATAACCCACGGTTGGCCCAACGTTGGACCCAAGGTTCCAACCACGAGCCAACGTTGGGCCGACGTTGCACGTTCACTGGCGAGGTTCTTTAAGCCAACAGCAGACCGAGGGACGGCAACAGCAGCACAGCCACCATCGTCAGCACAGTCGCAGACAAACCCTGGGCTCCACCTGCACACGGCAGCAAAGAAAAAGACAAAGATCCCCCGTATAGTCTTAACAGCCTGTTGGGGCAAGTGCTGTTGGCGAGCACCTAATAAGGCCGGCAAGACACACAAGGAGGGTTTGGTGGCCAGCAACATGGCCGGCCACCTTTGTCTCCCTCGTGGTGATGTTTACACACTGCACCAGGTACTCATTTGAGGCGGAGTCGACCTAGGGGGAGGCCCAGTACTGTTTCAGATAATCGTCACTGGCGCAATCCCAATTGAGTTATCCGCTAGTAATGTTTCAACATCGGGATGTTAGGCCAAAACAAGTTACATATATTTGTTTTGCTGTGGGAGGGAACCGGGAGAACTCGGAGAAAACCATGCAGAAGGGCGGCAAACATAGTAACTCCACACAGAAAAGGCGTCCCGGAGGAATGAGCATTACCACTGCACCGCCACCCGGCCAGCCTTCACCCTCCAAACACACGGCATCATTACGGATGGTGGTGATGCACTCTGTTTTGTGTACGCGACGGAAAAAAATACACTGGATTATCCCATGAAGAATCCAAATTTGCTCAGACTACCGAGATCGTTACATTCAGAATTCCACTGAAATGTACAACAGTGTAGGGGCAACTTTGAACTAACAGTTTGCATATTTTGCGGAACAGTCTTACACATAAGCACACAAACAAAAATACAATTCTTGAATTGTTAGCCCGAAATCTTTACGATTTTTCCAAATCTCAGAGGTGAGCGGAGCAGTGGTGAACCATCATGTGCCCACGAAGAGCCAAGTTTACTTTTGTTGGACTACACCTTGAAGGTTTCTCACCTGCTGGGGGGGAAGGTGCCTCCACGTACCCAGGCCCAGGTAGGTTTGGCGCCGTGTATGCGACAAAGGATGCGAGCCTCTGCGCGAGAGCGCTCTGTGCAGCGATGGGGAGCTGGTTGTACTGACTGTTGCTTATGCTCAATGCGGAATCTCGTGAAAGAGAAGTCACCGTATTCGCATTCAAACCCTGAGTCGTCGCAGGAGAGATGTGAGGGAGAGAGAGAGAGAGGATACAATATTATATATATGCAAATACAATATACAGGGTGATCCACTTATAGATACAAGTTTAATGTGCAGCCTTGCGATTAATTGGTCAAGCTACTGAAGACGGAAGGCAATTGACTAAAGGTAGTTCTGGAGAATCTCTGGAGGGTATTTTGTCCGACTCGCCCACAAAACCACGCAAATATATCGAAATGCAATGCTTCAGTCTTGGAAGCAGTGGCGGCTCCTGCAAAATCTCTCAGGAGGGGCAAATGTCTGGATGATTGATAAGGATAAGGTCCACCCATGCAATGGATATATTAACAGCTTAAGCATGTAAAGGGAACTTCACTTCTTTAATATTAATGAAAAATAAAGTGACTCTTACAATACATATTGTTTGTTTCTATACTCATTATTATTACAATCCACTCAGTTTCTTTTATTAAAGATTCCACTAGGTAGTGACAAATAATATTGTTGACTGAAACGTGCTTACGTATGATGACGTAAGCACGTTAGTGCGAGCCCTCCCGGAAGCCATAGAGAATGCATTGCAGCGCCCGCCGTTCGAAAAAAAATTTCTTTGAATGTAAGTCTATGGGAACACTCGGGGCGATTCTCAGCCAGAGTGAAATCGCCCAAAAAGAGGCGGTACTCCACAGAACGTGACATGACGCTGATTGGACTATATCCAGAGGCAAAGTAACGGCTGAGATTGGTGGTGCGTCGCCCAATCGCCCTAATGAAGAAACCACCCCTGCTTGGAAGAGGTTCGGCGTGCCCACATTTTACTCCACCACACACGACCTGTCGATCGACTAACTGTGGTGTAGCTGGGTGGACAGAGGTCGAATAATTGGAGAAACTTCCCCATTGGATTAATTGGAGATGGAATCGAACCAGCAATCTCTGGATTGCAAGTCCAGTGTTGCTAACCATTACACTGCAGCAGCATGAATACTATATTCTTGTGACTTTACCGAAAGAACCAAGAATATGAATCCCTGCAGTCACGAAACCTTTAAATCAGCATGAATACTGTTTACACGTCCATATTGAATACACTAACATTTTTCCGTAAAATGTATTGGCTAAGTGATTGACCTAACAACGTTCATCATGCAATCAAGTTAGGGGAATCATGGGCTGTTTGTAGAATATCCGCACGAAATGCGACAATAAAAAAAACACGTGAAACGCAAACATTATTAATGTGATCATCGCACTATTAGGCATTGGCAAGTCAAGTCAGCGGTGAGCACTTATATTCACTCACCGCCTTGCCAGCACGAAAGAATGTGTGAGAAATGGACTCACCTTGAACACGTTCAGGGGGATGAGAGGAATTGCCAAAGGCTTAATCTCACCAATCTGTGATGCACCCAAATTATTAATTTCAGCGGCTGAGGCTCCAGCTGTAAAATGTGAGAACAATTTCCGACAAAACCAGCGTTAGGTTGACATGTTTTGCCACTTCCTTACCAGAACTGCCACCAAGACCCTCAACCATGCCATCCTCACAACGAGTCGTCCACTGCATGTCTCTACGCTATGGCCTCCCAATAGAACTCGTTGCCGACATCTCAGATGATCCAAAATTCTACTGCCAGATTGCTGACCCAAACTAGCAACTGAGACATCCCATCCCCCTATACGCCGTGCCCTTCACTGGCTTCCAATCCAATCACCTGTCAATTCAACATCACGCTCACCATCTTCAAGAGCATCCACAAAACTCACTCCTGTCAGTTTAACACGTGGGCTTTCGCGACCAATATCATCCATAAGAGGGTTTTTTTTGGGTTAGATCACTCCTGTCGACCTCTCAGCCATCTCATTTCACTCCGCTCCACTCCACGTGCTTGCCTACCTCTCATCTGGCTCTACTCTCATTTGACACCCTCCACACTCCAGCAACCAAGGCCTTCTTCCAAACCCCCTTCGTCAATCCTCACTCATTTGGTGGTCGCTTTTTCTCCTCTGCTGTCCCCTTTGTCTAGAACTCCCGTCCCCCAGACATCAAAGTCCCTTGGCTCAAAATCTCTCTCTTATCTTTCTAGATTTGAAGCTTTAGTGACTGCAAGGATTAATTTTCTTGGGTTTTTTCGGTAAAGTCACGTACGTAAATTTTTTTAAATTAATAAAAGTAAATAAAAATAAAAAAAAAATCACGACGTTTCGGAGGCAACACAAGCTTCCGTCTTTAGGTGGAACCGTCACAGCATGATTGCTGTATCAAGTAAGAGAAATTTCAAGAAAACAGTCCTTGATTATATACTAGTATGTGAAGACGGAATCTTGTGTTGCCTCCGAAACGTCGTGATTTTTATTTTATTTTTATTTTACTTTTATTAATTTTAATTAAAAAATGTTTACCTACGTGACTTTACCAAAAAAACCTAAGAATATGAATATCTCTCTCGTATCCTCTGCCTGTGACGGACTAAATATGTCCACCCCTAACCCAAACCCCAAAAGCTCCATATAAACATTTGAACAATCGCACACCGACATGACAACTCGATAAACAACAATCACCACGGTGTACATAACACAATTATAAAGTGCCATTCGCGATATCAAAGTTTTCTAGAAATAATAATAATACGGCAGTCTACGGGTTTACAAGCTCGACACGTTCACATTAAACTGGAATCAGTGACGTTGATCAAGTTTGTGCTGCCCGTAATGTCCCCATAACTTACCGACAACAGATCCGATCTGTGTGATGGCACCGTTTGAAAATCCACTAAAAGATGAATTCGCTTTTATCCAGAGCTTTGTGAGCTGGTCTGGACTGTATGCCGCCACGTTTCCGATGGACTCTGCCGCTTCCCTGTGTTACACGCACAGAAAATAAATACTACAAATGGATCTCGGCTTCTCATCAGGCACGGTATACCTCGAGAAAATAGTTTAATTGACCGTTTGGATTTGCTGTGTCGTTATGTGTATATATATAAAGCATAGTGTTAAGGATGTGTGAATGTGTGTGTGTACGGGGAGCGGTAGTGTAGCGGTTAGCACTCTGCACTACGAACCCGGCGACCAGAGTTCGATTCCCGCTCACGGCCAACACCAGTGAAGATTATTTGAACTGGTGATGGGCCTCCTCTAAGTCGACTCAGCAGCCTGAAACGAGTACCTGGTGCGGTGTGTAAACATCACCACTGGGGAGACAAAGGCGGCCGGACGTGGTGTTGGCCAAACCCCCCCCCCCCCGCCCACCTCCTGTTCTGTATCGACCTTCATGGATGCTTGTGAACAGCACTTTAGCCAACAGCTTGTGCAGGCTACACGGGGGATCTTCGTCTTCAAATGAAATCATGTGCATATGTGTATGTATTTGTATATGCAGACAGTTACAAACGTGAACTCTGAGCGATAGTTATCATTCTTATTTCATGTGGGGGTCATTAAAAGTGGCGGTGTAGGTATGGTGACATGAGGACAGGTGGAAGTAGTTGACGAGGGGTAGGGGTAAGTGATAGGAGTGGGAGTAGAACTGGTCATAGCCAGGTGGCTGGGACAGGCAGTAGCAGTAGGACGGGCTGGGGAGAAGGGATGGTTGGTTGTTTTACATTGAGGAACGGAAGCAGGGCAGTGAAGGTGATTGCTTCATCACCTTCACCAACCTGCTCGCAGTCTTAACCAGGGGCAGTCGCAGGGTTCGAAACGCAACGAGGTTCCTCCTCAAGAGCCGCTTGTAAAGGTCGTGTCGATCCCTCGTGTGTCATGGTTCTGTATTCCTACTCTTAGTTCTTTCGGTAAAGTCACGTAGGTAAAAAATGAAAAATTAATAAAAAATAAAACAACATAAAATAAAATATTATTATTAATTTTAATTTCATTTTTTACCTACGTGACTTTACCGAAAGAACTAAGAGTATGAATCCTTGCAGTCACGAAAGCTTCAAATCTAGAATTCTGTATTCCTACGCCTACGTTGTTGAAATTATATCTATATATTTTTTTTATTACTGCTGGCTTGCACAGCATGGCTGGTATCTTACTTGTATGCATCGTTGTTAATCTGCCCCACATCTGAGAGCCCGGACACAAACACTCCCAGGGACTTGAGGTCAGAAGACGTGAGTTGGGGCACAGATTTCACGGTTTCGTATTTCGCTGCCACAGCCTTGATCTGCAAAACGTAAGTCAGGACGCCGTTACGATTTTCAACAAAAGACAATAAAGATAACGGAAGATGAAACGGGTTTTTTTTTTTTACCCAGCTCTACATTGACGTCAACTCTCAAAAAACCTGTATAATTACGCTTTAACTTCATGCAGAAGTAGCAGTGCCAGGAGCCGCAGCGACAGCAACAGCAGCAGGAGGGGCGGCAGCAGCAGCAGGGGCAGCACAAGCGGCAGCAAGCAATAGCAGGGGCAGCAGCAGCAGCGGCAGGGGCAGCACTAGCGGCAGCAAGCAATAGCAGGGGCAGCAGCAGCAGGGGCAGCACTAGCGGCAGCAAGCGATAGCAGGGGCAGCAGCAGGGGCAGCACTAGCGGCAGCAAGCAATAGCAGGGGCAGCAGCAGCAGCAGGGGCAGCACTAGCAGCAGCAAGCAATAGCAGGGGCAGCAGCAGCAGCGGCAGGGGCAGCACTAGCAGCAGCAAGCAATAGCAGGGGCAGCAGCAGGGGCAGCACTAGCGGCAGCAAGCAATAGCAGGGGCAGCAGCAGCAGCAACAGGGGCAGCACTAGCGACAGCAAGCAATAGCAGGGGCAGCAGCAGCAGGGGCAGCACTAGCGGCAGCAAGCAATAGCAGGGGCAGCAGCAGCAGTAGCAGGGGCAGCACTAGCGGCAGCAAGCAATAGCAGGGGCAGCAGCAGGGGCAGCACTAGCGGCAGCAAGCAATAGCAGGGGCAGCAGCAGCAGCAGGGGCAGCACTAGCGGCAGCAAGCAATAGCAGCGGCAGCACTAGCGGCAGCAAGCAATAGCAGGGGCAGCAGCAGCAGCAGCAGGGGCAGCACTAGCGGCAGCAAGCAATAGCAGGGGCAGCAGCAGCAGCAGCGCCGACACTGTCACCAGCAGCACTGTGGTCGCTGTACCTGGTCCGGGCTCCATCCTGGCGTCTGGGCCAGCTTTGCAACGGTGTCGATGCTGGAGAGGTTGAGCTGCTTGAGTTCTTCAGGAGTGTACGCCTGGGCCAAGGTGCCCAAAATTAATAGCACGTCCTGGGGAACTGGCGACGGTAACACCTGGCAACAGAGAAACGGAGACGTTCAATCAACGAGGGCTGTTTGAATAGTTCGGGATGATCTAGACATAGCAAAAAAACGTGATATCTTCAAGGATGTATGCTGTTGTGTATATATATATACTCAGTTTAACACGGGAGGCTTTCGCGACCAATATTATTCGTAATAAAGGTTTTTGGGTTAGATCGCGTAAGAATAAATGTGTCGAAACCCTCCACCACCCGACACGGCCAATCAGTAAGGGATTTGTCTATTCTGGCAAATCGCCCGATGATGCTGGATGTAATTACCAGCGGGATGTCGTACTCAGATTGTAAACGTTGTGGATTCACTCTTCAACACGCCGGTGGGCTGAAGTAGTAACATATTTGGCGTTTTGTTTACATGACAAATCCCTTGTTGATTGGCCGTGTCGGGTGGTGGAGAGTTTCGACGCATTTATACTTACACGATCTAACCCAAAAAAACCGTTTATTATCATTTGACCTCCTTTGCCTGTACAAAAATATAATAATAGGGTTTTTCCCCTTTTTTTGTTGCCAGAAAAAAGGGGAAAAACCCTATTATAATATGTTGGTACTTGGCAAAGGAGGTCTAATGATGTAGATGCTCACCCCGAGCCCTCATTACTTTGATAGTGCAGCATTGTCTTTGAGCTGTACGCCTATTGGCGTTCTCTGGTCGAGCACCAATTGGGTCGAGGCTCAAAAGAAAGCCGTCCCTTGGTGTGGACCAATGAGTTTCAAGGACAATGCATATATTATCATAGTGTGTTTTTTGTTTGCATTTTGACTGCAAGTATTGTGGTTAATGCAGACGTGAATCCTTGTTAAAAGGTTTCAGTTTTGTTGCCGGAAAAAAGGGGAAAACCCTATTATTGATATAACCTTCATTATTTGTGTATATACTATTGTGTATATATTCGTATAACCACACTGTGTACCATGACATTAACGAAGGCCAAAACTCTTACCAACTTGAGCTTTGCCTTCAAGACAGTCAGCTGATCGGGAAAGAACTTGACCTTTCCCAGATCCTCGATGCTCTGACTGAACACGTCGAGTGGCAGGCAGGCATCCAGATTGGCCGCCGTCATCAGAGCCAGCAATTGTTTCTGATCGACGATGCTGAGTCGTGTGAGGTTACCACCTGGGCATGCTACACAGGTAGAATGTGAGGTGTGTTGTTGTTAGGAAAGCTGCGCAAGGTTGTATAATGTCCATACTGTAAAGCCGAGTCATCCACGTGGAAGGACGCACACACACGAGATGAACTGTACAAATGGATACATGTGTTTGCCATCGCGTACACGTACACCGTGCTTTACATGCTGTAGATTTTAAAATTGTCTGTACATGTGCCATTACCCCTTTTGCTATGTCTTTGTATTTTCATTGCATACAGAAACAACCTGTTTGTCACTACACAGCTGGGCATGGGCAGAGTTTGTGGGGGTTGGGGGGGTAGTGCCCCCCACCAAACTTGACACCTTCATTAAAGGTGTCCCAGGACACCTGGGATTTGCGATTGACATATTTCACGAGATTTGTTCATTTTGTTAACGCAACCCAAAACATTCCCATCAAAATGATTCGTCCAAGTCCAAAGTGAGATGACCCGCCCAAAGTCGGAAGGTCCCAACCCCACCCACCCACACGGGATGACCTTTCCGTTCGGCAGCGAGAGATCGTCGGTGCAAGCGGGCGGCCGGTGTGACGCGACACGAGGTGGGGCGACTTACTGTCGGTGGCGGCGCGCTTCCTCCGTGCTCCGCCGCCGCCGCCGCCGTTGATCAACGCTGCCAATCTGAGGTTGATCAACGTCACGTTGGGAGAGAAATTAAGTCGAGCAGGACCCGTGTACGTGACCTGTGACAGGGCAGTCACGTAATCCTTGAGAGGCGCCAGCTGGGACTGCGCGAGAAGTCGAAGTGGGGGGGGGGGGGGGGAATGGGGAGGCAGTTGTGGTCAACAGCTCACCGACGGAAGTCATCACCGTTTCATGGCACCGTACATGATTCAACGGTGATGCACAAGTCAGTATTTCGTGAGCCATGGAACCCGTTATATTGAATGAATCGTCACGTCAATACAGCCCCCCACCCCTCCCCCCCCAACACACTGCCATGAGGATGTGAAAATTCGATCACACGTTCATGTTTGTCAATGGCGGCAAGGCCTTTCACTTTGTATCCTCCTTTACACCCTCCTAGCTCCCGGAGCCATTTCTCCACAATACTAAATGAACCTCTCATTTCTCGATTACATCAAGATAATTTCCATCCGGCCTGTAAATTAAACACGTGTATCTTTATGACCCATAATCTGTTGAAGCAAGTGAATAGTTGCTCCAGAGTGGTACATTTTTTTCACCATTTTTATTTTCGGAGCTCCTGAAATAGAACCGGGTAAACTTCGGCAGAGTACAAAGTTACGGGGATCGTGGCTGCTGTGTGTCGATTGCCCGTTCGGTGCCATGGTGAATGCAGAACTGAGGGCAGAGCGAAGCCCGCAGCCAGCAAGAAGATTCAACAGGCAAGCGACAGACTCCTGGGGTTCAAATCTAACCCACCTGCCCGGCAAATATGGCACACGTGTGATCATAGATGCCTCGGCGTTGTTTTTTTGTGTGGTTGTGCTCTATAGGTCTCCGATGAATTTCCGGGTTGTGCCGCGTTTTTTTTGTTCAGCTTCCTGAAGAAGCTCCCAGCAAGGGTGGAGAGAAATGTCGGACATGGTGCCAAACAACAAATGCGCCGGGAAGTGGTGTGGTTGTAGATGACATTTACTTCATTGATGGCATAGAGCGTGGTGGTGCTGAGGGTGGTGACCATGTCGCCCATTTCTAGGAGATTCTGAGATGTCCACGTGGAAGAATCCCTGCAAGGGAGACAGACAAAACGCACTTGAAATGCTTAATGTGCAGATTTTAATATTTTGCCCTGATCTATTCTACGGCTGAGTGATTTGTAGTTTTTGTCCCATGCTCCATTTCCTTTGTATTTGTCAAATGTCATGTTTGGAAATACGCACTGATTGAAAACGTCCTTCCTGAGGCAGATTGGTACGTTGCTTTTCGTTATTGAATTCAATGTTCTGAAAGCACTTCATCATTCTCTCACTCACCTCAATTTCAACATTTTTTGTTAACCGGTGGGTTAAATTGTATTGGTAGGAGGGTTGGTTAATGGATGAATGGTTGGATAGATGGATGAAGGAGTAGATGGTGGGGTATATAGATGGGTGGATGGATGAATGAATCATTGGATGGATGGATTGATGGATGGGTTGAATGATGTATGGGGATGAATGCATGGTTTGGTATATATACACACACATGCAAATGGATGGGTGAATTAATGGATGAGTGTATATATACAGTAGGTGGGTGGGTGGATGGATGGATGAATGGATGTGTAGTGAGGTGCGTAGATAGATAGATAGGTGGGTGGGTGGATATATTGATAGATAGATCGGTGGACAGACAGATAAATGGATAGATATATATCGATGGTAGATGAGCGAGTAGATAGGGAGATGGGTGGATGTGTGGGTAGATCGCTGTACACACTTATAAAATACGATGAGCTTTTCCTGGATGCTGTTGGCTTGAGCATCTGTGTAGACCCTGCACTGACTGAGATGCATCAGGATGCTCTTGTCAGCGTTCTTGATCTGGTTGGCGCTCAGCGTGCATGACAGATTCCCGAGGACAGCGATTGAATCTGCAGTCAGATTCCCCTCTGCAATATTCTGTGAAGGCGACAGCATGGCAGAGGATGAGCTTTGAAAAACCACAATGACATACACAGGAGGTCCTGGAAAATCGTCGGGGTTACGCTCTTGGAAAGTACCGCAAAAGCCAAAACATTAAATACTTAAGCCTTGCCTAAATAATGGGGTGAGGTACATGGCAACCAAAAAGACACGTCATCATTTAAATAAGCACTGTACTGTGCGCCAAATAACCTCAAAATACATCATTGAAATAAACGCGGTAAAATCACATTAACAAAAATAATTCCTAGACAATAAATAGAGTATAATTACTGACTAAATACTGTACTTACCAATGATGATGATCAAAAGTGGGTGTGTGTGCGCAAGTCCACGAGTGGGGAGCGGTTTTAGCGCACCCAACATCAGTGACGATTATTTGAATCGGTCCTGGGCCTCGTGTTCGTTATGGAAATCGACAGGCCATGAACCGTGCAGTCGGATCTTACTGTCCCTGTTGTTAGCGACTTACGTTTGTGTCCGTGTAAGACCAGTCAGGGGAACCTAGCGACCCTAGTTTGATTCCCGCTCATGGCAAACACCAGTGAGGAGTGTCTGACCCGGTCCTGGGCCTCCCCTAGGTCGACACAGCTTCAAATGATTACCTGGTGCCGTGTGTAAATTCATCACTTGGGACACAAAGGGGGCCGGGCGTGATGCTGGTCACCCACCCTCTTGTGTGCCTGTGCCACCCACCCCCTCAGTGAGTGTCTGTGGGTCTCCGTTACTTTAGGGGTCCCATCGGTGACTCAAATGAAAACATCAATAAAGATGAATCCTTGATTCCTTCTGGAATGCAGTCGGCTTCCAATTTCTACTCCTGTCACGGCATTCCGGCCCATTTCCACCACTGCGCACTCTAAGCCAAAACGTGACCGTGTATTAAACCATTACACAATGGCAGCTTCCTGTTGACGAGTGCGCAGCGTTAGTCGGGGCATGATCGTTCGGCCGTGTGTCCACCTGGGCACAGCGCACCTCTCCTCCGACCGTCACTGCAGCTGCGCGTGCGTTCCCTCGTTTGCTTTGGTGTGCGGTCGCGGCAGTTGACGTAATGATGCAAGTCTCTTGAACCGCCCCCTACAGCCCCTGCCTATCCAGCACTATAATTGAATATGGCACAATCGGTGGCATATGATGGGGGGGGGGGGGGGGGTGGTATAGTGTGGGGACTCCCAGCTCCCCCAAGACGGTATGGCTAGCATGGAGGAGTTGACATTCCGCCAGCTGTAGTGTGAGCAAGCACTTGCATGGTTGCAACTTTCTTTATTGTTTTGTTTGCCACAGAACTAGAGCCGGTAGCAGGGATAAACTGCAACGAAGGGGGGGAGGACCTGCTGGGTACATAAACTCCGTGGACTAAAGACCCAACTCAGCACTCCTGGGTCCAGAGATGGGAGATAATCTGGGCTCACTGCCCCGCACACGTGGGGGGGGGGGGGGGGAAACCAAGGGAAGGAGGGACAAAGGCGGGGGTGGGGGGGGGAGCCTGCTCGCGAACACCGCAATGAACTTATTATCAGAAAATGTCCCGCGGGGCAGTGACCAACTCCCGTGTATCCCCTAAAAGGGGGAGAAGTAATAACCCCAAGCACTCGTCTCCTCCCCCCTGACCCCACCACACACACACCTTATGGTAAGGTCCGGAGAAACGGGGGACCATCTGTCTGCAAACTTCCACTCTCCGCCTTTACGCTCGAGACATTAAAATGTTCTGTTTCCCCATTAGGCCTAAAACGGGCGGCACGTTTTCTGCGCCTTGGCCTTTTACTCGCCGAGCACCACAACGCGACGCGCCCTTCCCCCCCGCCACGCGGCCACCCACCGGGCACGACAGGGCTTTGATCAGAAGATTGCTCCTGGTCTTGTCCATGGGCAACTTGTTGATGTTTCCCTTGCCCATTTTTCTGAACATCTTTTCGCAATTCATACCAAAGTCCTGATGCGACGCTCTGTAAAAGCAAGGGATCATCACACGTCTCTCTGTTAATAACGCTCATGTTTGGATGCAAATCACGGACTCAGACTCCAAACAATCCATAAATGTATCATCCTATTATGGGTACTGGTGGTGTCTTAGCACGTATGTAACCCAGCACTTTAGGGGCGAGGGTGGGTGGATCGCACACAAACTCGTGAAACTCCCTCCCTACTCGTGGGCGTCGAGGTCACCGTTTCCTGGCTTACAACCAGGGTATGATGGCAGTACAGCAAGTGGGTTAATCTCCATCTGTACGGGGGTGGAGTGTTACCTATCCCGTCAGATGCAGGGGTTTTTTCAATGTGATCCAGTTTCCTCCTACATTTCTAAACATGAGAGTTGCCCAAAACCCCAACATAGAATCACAGAGCTTGGACAATTGTTTGCATTGGTTATGGCTGCCTTCCCACTTGTATGTGGTTTCCCACATCTCTGAATCACTCTCTTGCTCTCTCTGAAAGTGAACGGAAATGGTGTGTATTATAGATTCCCAATCATCATTATTATTACAAAAGATGTTAAACCTCCCTCACTTACGGCAGCAACATGAGGACAGTCGAAGGTACAGATTCATCCGCAGTAGATGCCAGTCTTTCGGCCAAGCAACTCTCCTGCAAGAATAAAAAAAGGTTTATCAGGCAAGGCATTTGAGGTGACACATCAAAGCCCAATTCAACGTAGCCCAGTGCATCACAGCCTGATCACCAGAGACTCAGAGGACAGCATTGTATTGAAACAGTATATTTAGCTGCCTACTCCATATCTGTACTTTAGGAGGCAGAAAGCAGCTGAATATAAAGAGAGGATGGCAGAGATTGGACAATTGTTGGCGCCGGTTCACCGGCTGACTGCCTTCCCACTTGGCTGTGGCTCCTCGTGCCTCCGAATCGCTCTCTCTGTGAGTGACAGAGATTACTGTGCGGTGCACGGTCCAAGTTCAAACGGTCATTCCACTCTCTTTAGATCGGTTCAGTGCCTACTTGAATCGATTGTAACGTTGCAGGGAAATTCCACACGACGACTCGAATCTCCTCGCCGCTGTTGACATTTATTGCTTATTAAATAAAAAATATGTAGGGTTACCACATGCACTAGGAAATCTGTCAATCTTCCCAGGACATTAAAAGTTCAATTTTTTTTTTATCAGACAAGCAGTGATAATCCGCGACTCAAGACAACACAACTGTAGTTCTCCCCTCTTCCGATATTGTGAAACATTTTTCTGCTTCTTCCCATGATATGTGCTAGTTTTATTATGCCTCAGGGAGGTGGCAATTCTACCGATGAGCCACAATACGTCATAGAAGTCATTAATTCTAGATTTGAAGCTTTCGTGACTGCAAGGATTCATACTCTTAGGGTTTTTTCGGTAAATTCACGCAGGTAAAAAATAAAATTAAAATTAATAGAAGTAATAATATTATTACTTCTATTAATTTCAATTTTAATAATATTATTACTTCTATTAATTTTAATAATATTATTACTTCTGTAGGACTCGTACTCCGGTTCTATTAATTTTAATTTTAATAATATTATTACTTCTATTAATTTTAATAATATTATTACTTCTGTAGGACTCGTACTCCGGTTCTATTAATTTTAATTTTAATAATATTATTACTTCTATTAATTTTAATTTAATTTTTTACCTATGTGACTTTACCGAAAAAAACCTAAGAGTACAGAAGTCATTATTCTGTCAACATGATCTCTAATCCTACAGCAGGCAACGTCCACGTTTCCCTGATGCTTCTCCGCCAGCGTGATCGGAATGGCTGCGACATTATTCGATCATAATTACAGACGAGGTCCACGTGAGATGGAGGTCGGTGACTGTGCCTATGTGTTTTTCTCATGAATTATCATAAACACCTGGGATGCGGTCAGTTGGCCTTTGACGGTGGTAACTGTTTTCAGGAAGTTCTTCACGTCATCAGATGCATTAAGTTGTCCACACGAAAACCCTGGCAACAGGTTGGGTGCTCCCCTGTCAGATCAAAACAACATGGCGTAACACCACAATTATGGCAAACCACAATGACAAACCACAATAATGACCAAACACAAACATCTGCTGCATGGCCTACACACAGGCTCTTTAACGACAATACCTACTATAATCACCCAGGAATGTATGTCCTTAACGCTCATGACGTCCAGCCCCCCTTATTAATATTCATGAACAGGTGACGTCCTGCAAATGGACACCCCCCCCCCCCATTATTATTACCTACTATAATGAGCCAAGAATGTGTGTGCAATGCTCGTGACGTCACTCCACGTCGACCAGCCCCCCTTTTTAATAATCATGAATAGGTTACGTCCTCCAAATGGACACCCCCCGCTCCATTAGTAATAATTAGCGGCTGACGTCACTCCACATGGGGGGGGGGCCGAGGTGCCTTCTCCCCCCTCCTCAGCATCAACTCACAACCCTCACTACAAAGGCAGAACCCCCACGTCACGCGATCTCCGTAACGCTATTGAGACATCAAAGTAAACAGGACATCATTATGAACAAGGGATTATAACCTTCAAATGAAATAAGTCTGTGTCACCGCGCCCTTACAAAATGCACACGAATGGATGCAATGAATATCACGTCGCGGTCTGCGTTTCGCTTGCAAGTTTCAGATTTCATGCAATACACCCGTCCTTGGATGGGCAAACGGCTCATAATACTAAGATTAACGATGATGCAATCTGTAACGCGCACAATATTTAACAGACGCAAATGACCGTAACTCTGTACGGGGCAAGTGCCGTTAGCGAGTGCCAATGGTGCAGCGTACGAGGGGGTGGTGTGGCCGGCACCATGCCCGGCCGTCTTCATCTCCCTATTGCGGATGTGCACATACGGCACCTGGTACTCAATTAAGGCTGAGAGGAGCGGGGAAAGGTGTGGGGGAGTTCAATGAGATATTCGCCACTGATATGGGTGATATTGGGCAAAGTCTCTTTCTTCACGACAGAGGGGGTTGGTGGGCAGGGGAAATCACATTAAAAATGTATATATATCGTTATCATAATATCAACCATTTGTGAATCCACTGCTGGATAAATAACTCCTCATGCCATGTCAATCATGGGGCTTGTATGACCATACTTCCCCCTATTGGTTAGTGCAGATTTGCCGAAGGGGGTGGGCATTGGATGGGCATTGGATGGGCATTGGATGGGCATTGGATGGGCATTGGATGGGCATTGGATGGGCATTGGATGGGCATTGGATGGGCATTCAAATCAAACTCGCGTCGCCAGGCTCACAGTGCAGTTCTCCCCCCACCTTGGCCACTACTTCCTCTTTGTACAACAGCATTGTAATGTAAGTTCGTCTAATTGGCGATGCTCTGAGCAAAAATTGTTCCGTCAAAGGACCGTGAGTGATTGGCAGTGGCTTAGGGAGCTCCTTCATCCTGGAGTGGATTTGCCATGGCCATTGATGATGATGGACTAAATATTTGCTGGATCTGCCCAATTAAGCCCATGTGACATCAACAGACATGGGACAAACGCACTTACGTAATGATAGATCCAATGTCATTATACTTTTTCAATTCGTCCAACAAAATCACAGCCTGAAAGAGAAAAACGAAACAAACAAATATGATATTTGTGCACGTGTCCATATTATTTAAATCAATGTTTAAATGTTACTTTGCAGAGAGTTCATTCACTGCTGTTATGTGACTTTCAACTTGTGAAAGGAGTACCAGAGAATACCCAGATGACGAGATACTATTAAAATCTTTGCACAGATAGATGAAAGCATCTACTGCTGCACTACCATACCCTATGCCACCGGATATTATCCGACATTCTCCCATGCTAGTTCAGAACCACGCTTAACCCTGCCTAGCTTTTGGAATACAATGAAATCAGGTGCATTCTGGGTGCATTTGTCCTCGGGAAAATTTCAGATCCCTCTGAGGTCAATGCAATATGTACCACCTTTTGCGAGGAGTTCGCAGTGGGTTTTTTATGCTAATACACTCACTCTCACCACGGAAATGTGTAATTTCCACCACTGGCTAAGAGCTGCTGATAAACGTGAGTGGAATCAAGAGCCAATTTGATCCAGGGGGACACTTGCACGGGCCCAATTGCTGAAGTGGTAAGGTGAAGGTTGCATTGCAGGTTGTGTGCGATTCATCTCACCTGGCCATCAGTCCACTGTCCATTTGAGAAGATATTATTACCGCCCAAAGACCTCAGACGTTCGGGTGGAATTTGTGTCACAGTAGACGGAGGCAGTTGATTGATACAGTCCACGATGGAAATTTTGTTCTCACCAAGCAACTGCAACAACAACCAAAAATAAAACAAGTGCCGCCAGTCTCAACCGATTAAACCTTTCATAAAAGCACACTTGCACATGCATGTGCGACTGTTTCAGCTGAAGAACAATGTCTGTACGAGCCGGCGGTGTTGCACCACGTATTCACGTGTGTGACTGCGCTGTGATGCTCATGTGCGGGGGCCTTGGTGGTCTTGTTTCTCTGCTCCCGATTGTAATTGTATCCGACATTGTACAAACGTCGACTCAACACGTTGTAGATTTCAAAATGTCCGTGTACACGTGGTTTTTTTTGCACACGTGGCGCTGGACGCCCTGCATGGACAACCTCCCAAACGAAACGTTCCATCCCGAGGTGATTCTTACAGGTTAAATATCTGAATTAATAAGTGAATACGTTTCATTGTCTTATAACATTAACCCCAATAAAACTGCATCCGTTATTAATTTATGATAGACGCATGCTAATTGTGTTATAGTCATCCATCACGAGCTTTTGTTACAAAGGAAAGACACGTGTGAAACACAGTGATTGATTGAGGACACAAAGCCCCCAAGGAACGAGGTAGCAGGAGGCAATGATGGCTACACTCCACCGATGACTACGAACAAGGGAGAAAACTGGAATACGATTGCGCTACTGCTGTTTAAAATAAGTTTGACTCTCTTGAGGTGTCAGCCCAAAGCAAGACTGTGTGCATTCCATTTCGAGGTGCGGTGTGATTTTGCTTAAACCCGCAATCTCACCCTTAGCACTATCGAACAGTTGTTGCTGTTCACGGTATTTTCTGTTCGTGATATTTAACCCTGTGCTGTCACAGTTTGCTCAGGTATGTATGTGACATGTTAATGCCTGTTTTGTTTCCAGAAAAGGGAAAAACCCATTCTTATTTTTGATACTGGCCCTATCCGTGCTATAAATGCTCTAATACTTGCGTTGTCTTTGTACTGTTTGCCTTTTAGGGTTGTCTGGTCTACATGGTGAGACAAGGCCATGAAGAAGGCCGTCTCTGGTGTAGGCCAATCCGTTTCAAAGACAATGCGTACATTATCTGACCATGCTTGTGTGCATGCTTTGCCACAAGTATGTGTTCATTATGCAGACTTGATGCCTTGCAAAAGGTATATATTTGGTGTTTGAACATAGGCAAAACCTATTCTTATTAGGTTTGTTCAGGACCTGTTTTTGTTGTGTGGTGGTGGTGGTGGTGAAACCGCGGGTGAGATTTGCCGCACTGACCTTGTTGACAATGACCGACTGAATGCCGGGTGGCAAGGTCTGGATGTTGACACTCATGTTGGAATTGATCATGTAGTCTTTCAGCTGGTCACCGTTCATTTTTATGAAGGTGTCGCTGGAAACTCCAGACACCAGGGTCCCCAGGTCTTCCAAGCTTTTGGAGCTGTTCACCTGCACGGGACACACGGACACAAAGGTAAAGGCGCCTCACCATATGCACGACAGAAAGTGCTGGGGCGAGTGCTGCCACCAAGAGGCTAACAAGGCCAGCACAGCACACGAAAGGCTTGTGGCGCGACCACCGCTATGCCCAGCTCCCTTTGTTTACCCAGTGCCGCAAGTTAAACACAGCACTAAGCGTTGCTTTCAAGGTTGAATCGAACTAGGGACAGGTCTAGAATTGATATCTCTGGTTACGGATGGTAGCTGTGGCGGAGAATTCAATTCAGGTTCCTTGTTTTGTAGTGTAGGGCATTCACCCTTTCACCACTACTCCCCAAATGTGTGGATGCACACACAAAGACAAATATCCCATCGTGTAGTCTTGAACTGACTTTTGGGGGAAGTGCTGTTCGTGAGCACCTACGAAGGCCGGCACAGCACACGAGAGCGTCGGTGGTCAACACCACATACAGCGGCGTTTATTTACCTAGTGCCGATGTTTTTACACACCGCACCAGATACTCATTTAAGGTGGAATCAATCTAGGCGAGGCCAATGACCGGTTCAGATAATCATCACTGGGGTTGGCCGTGAGCAGGAAATGGACTTGGATAGCTGGGTTCTTAGTGCAGCGTGCTAACCACTACATTATCGCTTGATTGACTCCACTTCTCGATAAAGCCCCCCCACAAGCCACCACCACCCCTCATGATCTTGCGATGGAACAATTCATCCAGCACACGAACCGAGTTCATCACTCCATCTCCTCGGTGGATGTCCTTACGGGTGTGTTCCATTCCTCGTTTGCCACTCCGCTATAATTCTTGACCATCGAGGCAGCCCTCCTTCCAGCCATGACATGCCCTACCCAAACCCAATGATTTTCCTTAACAAGTTGGATGATAAGGTTGCACTCATTACACACAAATTAACCACAATGCCTTGCTGATTTCGTCAAGGAACATAAACCATCACACGAACTCTGGTCATCCTCGTAGCGGCTTTTTGGATAATCAGCAAACAAAGATGCTTTCAAACGTGCTTCTGCAGCCGTCTGGAACGCTCTTCCTTCCAATATTAGTAAGCCACTGGAGCTATGCACTTTTAAATTTAGTTTGAAAGCTCAGTGCGAAAGAAGTTCAACATACATACATGCCATTAACCTCTGTATGTTGTTTCATCCACGTGTTCCCCTTTATGTCTCTCATTGTAGCAATGCATTGTTTTATCTCCTGGTTCACAAAAGGATGCGTATTGACATGCCGTCGGTGTAAAAGCTTTGGTCTAATCCCTTTTGAGTACTCACTGGATATTGGTCGCCCAGCTTCTTTAGGAGTTGGCGTGTCTGTCCCAGACTCCAGCCCGACTGACGTCCGAGTTGCGGCAAAGTGTTCAGGACCAATTCGGATGTGAATTTTTTGTCGATGTCGGAGAACGGAACTGCAACGACGGCGCTCCCCAGGCTCTTAATCACCTCCGGCGTGTAGTTCGTTAATTGGCTCAAAATTATCGCGTTCAGCTGCACACGCGCGCACGGCAGCCAGGGAGACACAGACAGGACATGACCCGGGGAGTGACGTTTTGGTTTTTGGAAAACAAAAAAGAAATATATGAAAAAAATGTAACTTCATGAAATCATGAATGTATCCTACATTATGAAATGCATCCCTTTGTGTTCGAGAATGCCTCAAGAAAGCAGATGTCACAGAGCTACCCCTGAGATCCCTTCAACTGACCTCTGGTTCACACAGTCAAGGGATCAACACACGCTCACCCTCTTTGCATGCGAGAGTAATGTCCATCACATGCCACTAAGACTGGCGATCGATTATGAGAACTGGAATTTAGCCAAATTATGCGTAGAAAAATAGGGAAAAAAGAGTGAATAGTGACCGGCTGAGACCATCCACTCACGACACGTGAGCACACCGGTTTATCACGACTACCAAGATCCTGGATTTGCACTCCACGATGTCAGCAATGCCAGCCGGAGTGCTCTGACCTCTGAGCCTCATGGCCACCTCCGGGAATTATATATTTTTAGACTTATTTGTGGGTTTGTAACATTTTCCCAAAATGTTAGTGCTGTGTAATATGCCCTCCGCCAACATATATAACCTCTTGCTGTAACTGCTCTCCCCCCACTGTGTTCTTCCTGGTTCAGCAGTTCCATTGCTGGATTATTTTTTCCGCTTGAGGACGACCGCTTGTGTTGCGATCGAAACGTCGTGATATATTATTTTATTTTCATACGTACGTGACTATACCGAAAGAACCATAGAGTGAGTATGCGACAGATGTGTTTTACCTTGTCCTTATCCTTGGGGTTTGTCAAGGATGCTTCGCATGTCGTGAGATTTGCCAGCAACACATTTAAATTGTTCGCGGTGAGTTCAGAGCTGTATGCTATCACGTACAAGCACAGAAGCGGATTCGGCACACTGGCAACGCACACGAGCACACAAACATCCCACGTTAGTAGTGACAGCTGGCAAGAAAGTGCTGTTAGCTAGGATTGCATTAACTCAACCCGACGGCAAGTTGATGTTTTCCTAGGATTCAGGTTCGTGATTTGTCTCAAATATCAATACTTTTTTACGCTTTTCATCTAAGGTTGAAAGCATTTGTGCTTTAGCTCTGTCTGTCTGTTTGTAGTGGGACAGGGGGGCTGGGGGGCAGGTGACGGTAATTACTCTCATAGATACGATGCAATATGACTTGAGCACGAGGATAATGTTGTGTTGCTGCTAGGAACTCATTCTACAGAAAACTGGATTCATTTTTCCGAGGGTTTTGCCAAAGACATGGAGATAAAAAAGAAAACAGCGCTACATCGATTATTATTTCCGCTCATGACGGCCGTGCATCACGAGCCGTGTGAACTCCTCCCGTTCGGCTCAGGAGGTTGCGTTTTTATTGGTAAATAAATAATTCCGGGGGACAAGCACATGTTGTAATCGTTACAGAATCCATACATACGCATTATTTTTATTCCGCTTTAACCCCCCCCCCTTCCCCTCCACACTGCAATTTCATGAATAGTCACAATTCAGGGTCACAATTTTGATACGTTTGCTTCAAAGGCATTGGGCTGTGGTCAACCTTTACATGTTAATGGATTGTATTTAATTGCAGGAGAACTCCACTGAGTCTTAAGACTGAGGTCACAGGAGGTTCCTGCATTGGGATATTTGTCCAATTCCATAAATGAGTGTGTTTTGCATTCGAGAGGAAATCAGAGTAGTTGGAGAAACCCGACACATATCAGGGGATGAAACTGGAAAGCAGCATATAGGTTAATTCAAGAATGCAATGCTGTCCTGCCAACAGTTTCTGAAAAAGCTTGTAGGATTGACCTGCTACACACACTAGTCCCAGCAGTCTACTATCCAAGTGCTAACCAAGCACCAATCTGCTTAGCTACTGAGACCTGGGGGAGATGTATTATATTCAGGTTGACTTGATCACAGGAAGACATGAGGGTAGCATGGCTTATAGATAAAACTCACCTCGTCAAATTTATCTTTCCCGCATGCATTTGCTGCACCAGGTAATTGTTCATGTCAGTGGTCAGGTTGTTTGCATTTGCGAGTTGGTCCAGGGTGCTCTGATGGATTAAGAACTCCACTAGCTGCACAGAAACAAGGAAGACAATCAGGAATGTGCATGGATTCTGTAATGTGTTAAATACAAAAAAACAACAATGCAATCGACAATAACGACCCTTTGATCAATTTGGCCGATCTGTGGTAAAGTCTGTCATAGCAAAACAATGCTTTACTTAAGTTTCATCTACACTGGATCATCTTAAGAAGCATTATCGTGACCTTCCACTATCGACAGACAAACATATTGAACGAGAATAGGTTTTCCCTTTTTTTTCTGGCAACAAAACAGGTGTTACTCTGAGAGTGCAATGTCTTTGTACTGTACGCCTTTTGGCGTCCTCTGGTGTAATACCGTTTTGAGACGAGGCTCAAAAGAAAGCTGTCTCTGGTGTGGACCAATCAGTTTCAAAGACAATGCATCATATTATCAGGGTATGTTTTTTCTCTTCTTGGTTCTTTCGGTAAAGTCACGTAGAATGGAAATAATAAAGTAATAATTTTTATTTTACTATGTTTTTTTTTATTTTATTTTATTATTTCCATTCTATGTGACTTTACCGAAAGAACCAAGAAGATGAATCCCTGCAGTCACGAAAGCTTTAAATCGAAATTTAGTATGTTTTTTGTTTGCATTCTGACCACAAGTATTGTGGTTAATGCAGACATGATTCCTTGTAAAAGGTTTGAGTTTGGTGTTTTAACATCTTAACACCTGTTTAATTGCCAGAAAAAGGGGAAAACCTATTCTCAGATGGAACGAGTTACGTTTCCATTTTCAAGTATGTATTGGAAGGGTGGGGGGAGCATACAACCCACGGCGACACGATGACTACAGCTTTGAAACTGCTCGCAAATAATATTTGTACGTCACTGCAAATGTCTGGCAACACCGTGTTTCTAATTTTACCACGCTCAGTAACCTTTTTTACTGCAAGAAGCATCTTTATACTCAGTCGACAGGCATGTTCTTTGTTGCCTTATAGGTGTGTCTTTGTTAGTGCATGACCTGCCGAGCATATCTGAAAGTCCTACTAAATGTATGCACCACTTGAAAAGCAAACACATGATGCATTTTTTTGGTCAAATAACCTTTGTACCATTTCAGATTCACGTAACAAGACAATAAGGGGGAATATGCTCCCGTGGAGTAATGGGTAGCACCCTGGAGTTGCAATGCAGACATCGCCAGTTGATTCTCCTGGCACGCTAATCAAGACAGTGGTGCAAGTCTATTAAACCAACCCCCCCCCCCCCCAGCCTCTGTCCACCCAGCAGCAAAAATGGGTGAATAACAGTCAAGTAATGGAAGAGTAAAGTGTTGGTTTCAAACACGTAATTCTAGATTTGAAGCTTTCGTGACTGCAAGGATTCATACTCTTAGGTTTTTTCGGTAAAGTCACGTAGGTAAAAAAATGTAATTAAAAGTTAATAAAAGTAATAATGGAAATAAAATATTATAATAAATCATTATTTCCATTATTACTTTTATTAACTTTTAATTTCATTTTTTACCTACTTGACTTTACCGAAAAAACCCTAAGAGTTTCAAACACGTAGGCTTTTGCGACCAATATTATCCGGAATTAATGGGGAGGGGTTTGGGGGGGGGGGGGGTTGAGATGGCGTAAACAGAAAGTGTGGATACTCCCGGGATAACTAAGCCGACAGTGCAGACCACAGCACCGCAGAGTGCAGCTCTCTGGAGCTCCCTCCACGAGAACCCCTCCTGCTCGCAGTGGCGTGAGCAAACAAATCCAGGGTTGCACCTTCACCGTTTTACGTTTCTCAGCAGATGCCAGAGGTCGCAACCGGGTACCCGATACCCATACCCTACCCGATACCCGATACCCGGCTACCCGTACCCGGCCGGGTACGGGTACCCGTTTGCGACCCTGGTGTGGCCGAGTACGGGTACGGGTAGGCCGTGAGTCACTGGTGAGTAACCGTTTGTCACTCATTTCGGGTAGGGTACGGGTACGGGTAGGGAACGAGTACCCGTACCCAGCTGGGTACGGGTACTCATTTGCGACCCTGGTGCGGCCGGGTACGGGTACGGGTAAGAAATCAAAACCCGTTTGCGACCTCTGGCAGATGCATTGATGAAATCGTTTCAGAAGGAAACATATCACGATGAGACCTACTTTACCTTTAAGCCCCACGTGTGCTTTTGTCACTCCGTTCGCATTAATGTCGCCTCCTGCGCTACATTATAAAACACGCAGACGTTCGCCTGCTGGATGTCGTGTTCATTGGACAGAGCGTTACCTGACTATTATTGGTGACCAGCATCTCCAGCTCAGCTTTGTTCGTCAACAGGAAGTACTGCTGCAAGTTGTCCGTGAGATAGCTCTTCTTTTCCACGTAGCACGGCGGTCTGGATGCTATTCGACAAAGTTGAGAGAGAAAAAAGGATTAATTGAAGCAACATCATCATTGGCATTGACAACAGTACTTCGTCTTTGGAGGAAAATACATCTTAACATCCTCAAACGTGGCATGAAGAAGCCTTTATGCATTCGTGGATTTATAAATGGCTTTCAAAAAAGCATGTGTTTTGTCGTCATGTGTTTTTCATGCATTTGTAATGCGGGCGTAAACGGCCTCGCGGATGTGACGTCACGGGGGGAGGAGTTAGGTCACGTGGGAGAGAGGGATCAAGTCTTAAGGTGGAGAAACCGGAAGAGCAGGAGGAGTTGTTGGAGAGAAATATAGAGTGAGGCCACGCAGGGCGGAGGTTGGAGGGTGGCGAGATCGCCACACACCCAGGATAAGTCTCGGCACCGTCGGCCAGCGGTGACCGAGCACGGAGGAACGGGGAGCCGGTTGAGGCTGCAGTGAGGGCAGCCAGAGGCCTGCACGAGGAGATCAGCAGCGGAGCTGCATCGGAGTGGAGTGAGAGGCTACGGGAGCGACGGCAGCATCGGGCTGCCAAGCGGGGGAGTCTCGGAGAGAGAGCCGTGTGGGGCAAGTGTAAAGAACCCGAATAAAGGACAACGAAGACAGACACAGTGGTCGAGTCCTTTATTACACATTTGTAACACAATCTAATTGACACGATGAAGACTGAGAAATCTCACTCACCGCTCGTACGGTTGAGATTGGCAACCAGCCAATCATGCACAGCTATCCTATTGTCAGCCGTCAATTTGGTGTAGATGTTTTTAAATGGATCCACACTGAAAGGCAAAAAAACACATGGGAGCATTGCGTCATCGGTGCAAATCTGCCAGACAATTGATGAGAAAGCAACATTGCACATTATTTAATAATTAATTGGGATGGGTGCAACAATATCCAAAACGCAACAGTGAAATATATAAAACAAACACCCTCCAGCCTCTCACTGTCATTACATTGTCCATATATTTTGTCAATCCACTGCTGGATGAGGGGCTCCCCATGCCTTTGTTGACCATGGGCGGTGTTTAACCATACTTCACTATGCTGGTCAGTGCGGCTTGGTGAAGGTGGAGGAAGTGTACAGAACGGAAATAAATTTTGCTACACTGCACTCTCCTGCCTACAAAGCCTACTACATCTGTTTCATGCACACTGTGGAAGTCACACTTATGAGGTCACGTGAATTCTGGGTAATTTGGTAATACGCCCCCACTGCGTAGAGATTTGTGAGCTAAAGTGACCTCCATTCACTCTCATAGGAGATCTGTGAACTAAAGCGACCTCCATTCACTCTCATAGGAGATCTGTGAACTAAAGCGACCTCATTCACTCTCATAGAGATCCGTTAGCTAAAATGACCTCATTAAATCTCATAGAAAATGGTTAGCTACAGCAACCTCATTCACTCTCTTATAATCTTCTTAGGATTAGCATGGGATGCATCACAGACTGGGCATCTATTACATAACCAAATACTGCAACACAACGGAAACCTTAAATTTCGATTTAAAGCTTTCGTGACTGCAGGGATTCATCTTCTTGGTTCATTCGGTAAAGTCACGTAGAATGGAAATAATAAAATAATAAAAAGAAAACATAATAATTCTCACGACGTTTCGGCCACAACGCAAGCAACCGTCCTCAGGTGAAGAACATGTCTGTCAAGGAGACAGAGTCGCAATTCAGTCTTCTTCTTGACAGACTTGTTCTTCACCTGAGGACGGCTGCTTGCATTGTGGCCGAAACGTCGTGAGACTTATTTTATTATGTTTTTATTTTATTATTTCATTCTACGTGACTTTACCGAAAGAACCAAGAAGACAACGGAAACCGTTCGCGCGTAGGACACCCCAAACTTTCCACTGTGCCTCTGTGCCCCTGGTGCAAATCCACTCACGCAGAGGCGTAGATTTTGCAGTCGCTTAGGGAGACCAAATCCAGCGCGCCTTTGTTCACATCCGGCAGGAACATGGGCATGTACGTCGAGAACCACTTTGTGGACGTCACATCGTTGGGGCTGCTTTTGAGCTCTTTCCCAAACCTGCCGAACGCCGAGGTCACCACCGCGCTCTTCACCGCGCCGTCGAGTGAATTGTACGACTGTTGACAACCACGAGGAGGACAGGCCGAGCATGTGCAACATGGTTATTATCATCATCGGCCATGATCAATCCACTGCTGCATGAAAGCCTCTGCAAGCGGAACAGCCCAGAGGTTCCTGGAGGCCCAGGGCAGAATGCTATGTTGGGACCTAATTATCGATTAGCGACAAAAAGAAAAGAGGTCTGGTTAAGGGGCTCTTTTTTGTGCATTGCCATCCCCCCCCCATCCCTCACCACTGCTGAGTGACCTCTGTGCCCAAGTCGTTACCAATTTCAGTGTATTTTAAAGGTCATCATTTTCAGAATCTTTATTTAAGACTGGAAGAATTTGATGAGCATTCGATGTCAGCATTTTATTATATATGCTATCAACACTGCTGTGATATTTTGAACATCATCATTGGTTGATGCAGCACAGGTCAATGATTGAACATTATTCGCAAAAAATTGCATTTCTTTTCAGAAATTCTAGTCAATCATTGACCTGAGTCGCCTTAACAAAATTTACTTTGTCCCAATGGGTTATATTAAAGTTTTCCAACTTGTGGTATTCATTTCCAAGGCAACCCCGGTTAATCTTCCGAGATAATAGCGTGTGATCGGGGTGCATTCTGGTTCATTTTCCGTTCCATCCGTGAGCCTGTCCTCTGTCAGAAAGTGGCCATCGTGAGCTCCCACTCACGGTCGAGAAGTTTTTGTTGTAAGCCTCGAGCAGCACGTCGATTGGAGAGTAGTTGTCAAACAGCTGCGTCATCGCGCCCGAGTAGTTGGAAAACGTCGTCACGTTGAGCAGCGCAAGCAGCTCATTGGCAGGTACCTGAGATGCGGAGCAAAGCAAAATGATCATCATTTACTGCACGGTAGAGTTTCCGCTGTTGTGCCGCGTGTAGCTCTCCCCGGTGCGTTTTCATTGCCCTTGAAAGAGGAGACTTGCCTTTTACGAGTAGGGGTTAAATTGTGCTTGCTAACGCCATCCAAGCACTGACCGGTGCTGGGAGCAAAGCTGAATTCATGCAGTTCTCGAAAAAACTCCAGTACGTGGAGGTGAAGCGTCACAAAACACGCCCAAACAACATTCGGTACTAACAGGAAATGCATCAGAGTATTAATCACCATGTACGTGTTTGGGTGCATGTATGCAGCATGTTTACTTGTGTGCGAGTGCACTCACGTCTATGGCAATGTACCAATCTTAATAAATGTGATTTCAAATCGCACCTCCCCTAGCAACATAATCAACGAATGGCGAATTAATTGTGCATTGATTGCATGGATTGTGCAGGAATTGCACATGAATTGCACGTGGATTGTGCATGGATTGCATATGAATCACACGTAAAATTGCACTGGCATTATGCATGGGACTCTGCATGAATTGGGCATGGATTGTGCAGGGATTTCACATGGATTGCGAGTTGATTGCGCATGAATTGCAATGCTCATGCCAAACGGTAGGAATTTTTACGCACGATGCTTGCGTTGTTGTTCAGGATGGACAGTAAGTCGGGCAGAATGAGGTTGCTCTTGAAGCCACGCAGGGAGGAATCCAGCCACTGGGTGTTCGTGTTCCCAGGGGTGAAACACCTGGGGCTGGAGCCTGCAAAAACCATTAGGTACACAATAACAGTGATAATAGAAATTAATAATAAAAGTTTTAAAGTGTATCAAATACAAGCACATCCAGAAGACATTGCAATGTGCATTTATATACCGTCCAAATGCGATGTCATCTCAAGATGCTGTACAGAAGCAGTGGACATTTATTTTATGAAGAAAGGCAGGCAGTTATAGGTGGAATAGAGCCCTCTCTAATGGCAGCAGGGGTCAAAGTAACCCATTATCTTGGTTCTTTCAGTAAAGTCACGTAGAAGAGAAATAATAAAATAATAATAAAAATATGAAACAATAAAAAAAGATATATATAAAACAATAAAAAATAAAGAAAAATATTATTTTATTATTTCCCTTCTACATGACTTTACCGAAAGAACCAAGAATATGAATCCCTGCAGTCACGAAAGCTTTAACTCTAAATTTAACCCTTTACCTACAAGGTATATGTTACGGACAACCATCGGTTATTAAATGTACAATTAAATTCAAACCCACATGTTCCATATATATTGTGAGTAAATAACAAAAATAGAAAACTCTGTGAGACGCTCAAACATGTTTGCTTCGTAAACATGGTTTGGCTGCTCGTCAGCCTCCCGGCATGATCAATAACACCTGCCCAACAGGGCCAGGTGGTTTATATTCTAAAATTCTCGGAGATTTCGCTGACACACACACTGCTCGCTTCCCGGTGGTGTAAGTGGAATTAATGTCTTTGCGCTGAGGATTTACCATTCGATGACAAATATTTGATTATCCATTTGTACGTTGAGACCTTTGACTCGTTGGAGATCGAGACACCATCCAGACTTCCAACACTGATTCGGAAAAGAGAACACACACACAGATGCGTTGCTTAAATGGACAGTCTCTCGCAAGAGTGTATCACACAACAAATTAGGAACATATTCTTGGTTCTTTCGGTAAAGTCACGTAGAAGGGAAAAAATAAAATAACAAAAATATAAAACAATAAAATTCTCACGACGTTTCGACTGCAACACAAGCAATCATCAGTCGAAACGTCGTGAGAATTTTATTGTTTTATATTTTTGTTATTTTATTGTTTCCCTTCTACGTGACTTTACCGAAGGAATCAAGAACATGAATCCCTGCAGTCACGAAAGCTTTAAATCAAAACATTATGAACAGTTTTTAATTCACTTTCGGCCACAGCATTATTATTAACAATATTATATCATTGTTATATAATATACAATCTACGGCTGTATGAAGGCCTTCCCAAGCAGTGTCAATCACGAAGGTTATTAGACACAAATGTTTTAAGTTTGCGGGAAATTTAATGCCGTTCGTCGGATGTCTACAGTAGTGTGCTAACCGCTGCACCAATACCACACCCCCCAATATTTTATGCTGATCAAGAGTACTGATGCATTGATACACACTTATATTTACTAAAAGTACTGATGCATTAATATATTACAATATACAGTACTTTCACAGCAGATGTGCGACCGAGTAAAAAGGAGGAAATGAACAGTTACATTTTTTGTTACATTTCATGCAGCCCTAAAGTTGCTTGCTCAGACCCCTATTGCAAGTATTTGGCCTACTCTTCGATGCTGGCAAGATGTCTTGGAACACCTGGGAGTACACACACTTTACATCACCGCACCTAATACAACCTGCCGATTGGCTAACTGTGGTTTACCGATCGCTGTGTTGGGTGAATGTAGGAAGACGGATTTAAGAAACTTGCACCATTATTTCAACTGCCGTGGCAGGAAATCGAACCTGCGAACTCTGGAATTCAAGTCCAGGGTGCTAACCACAACAGCACGGGGGCATCAGCACATTAATAGCATGCAAATCACCTTGTGGTGAAAGCTAAATCTTGGCATAACATCTGGTAATAAAATCCTCGTCTAACATGGTCATTAAAAATAACTTTTCAAGTTTTGTGTAATTTTAATCTACTCCAAATTAATTCAAACCAATAGTCCACGAGTATACCGCTGCTTGTATTTGTGAACCGGTGCACAGGACTAGGAAGAGAAGTCACTCTAACTCGTTGGAAGCTCACATGCTCGAGAACACGGTGCAGTTGAATTGCGTGGGAAAGGTGGCCAAAATCGCAGGAGTGATGCCCGGCAGGATGAGAGGGGACAGCCTCTGATTGAACCACGTAGACACATCTGCGTCAGGCATAGCGGCCAGCGAAGGCCCCAGCTGTGTCCACACGCCGGTCATCACCACGGCCCGGGCAGGGGCATCAAACGACTTGTTTGCCTGTGGATGACAAGAAAAACGCCTCGCTTGATTCACAAAAAAACGACTCTCCACATTCCTCATTCTTGCTGCCTTATAATGAGTTTGGAGGCCACTCCAGGACAGGAACAACCAGTGGCGGCTCCTGCAAAATCTCTCAGGGGGGGCAAATGTCTGGATGATTGATAAGGATAAGGTCCAACCATGCAATGAATAAATTAACAGCTTAAGCATGTAAAGGCAACTTCACTTCTTTAATATTAATGAAAAATAAAGTGATTCTTACAATACATCTTGTTTGTTTATATACTCACTATTAAAACAAACCACTCAAGTTTATTTTATTAAAGATTCCACTAGGTAGCGATAAATTATATTGTTGGATGAAACGTGCTTACGTATGATGACGTTAGCACGTATGATGACGTAAGCACGTTAGGGCGAGCCCTCCCGGAAGCCATAGAGAATGCATTGGAGCGCCCCCGTTCGAAAAAAAACATCTTTGAATGTAAGTCTATGGGGCCACTCGGGGCGATTCTCAGCCGGAGTGAAATCGCCCCAAAAGAGGCGGTACTCCACAGAACGTAGCATGACGCTGATTGGACTATATCCAGAGGCTGGCAGTGACGGCTAGCGTGACTGTGGTTGAATGACATTGGTGGTGCGTCGCCCAATCGCCCTAATGAAGAAACCGCCCCTGGGAACAACTATGGAAAGGCAGGAAAGGAAGACAATCCAGGAGTCATTTTGCACATCAGTGGGGATTCAATGACGAGGACATGAAATGCTTCAGCCTAATGTACAGGATAAATCAATCGGAGGACTATAATTTTGATTCATATTTAATCAAGGTAAGCTATTGAATAACCAATGGATTAAATGTGTTTCAAGAGGGGGTCAAACTGGTGATCTCTGGTCAACAATGCCAGTGTGTCCAGCTTCAACAGCACCACACTATAGTTCTAACGCGCGTCCCGACGCACTTACCACAACGTTAAAGCGATCCACGAATGTTGCCATGTTGTCGGTGCCGTTGATGTTGGGGAAGATCGCTGACAGCAGGATAGAGTTATTTTGCACGTTGGGCTTGGCAGCGTAGTCCGCCAGTTGTACAGGGGAAAGAAGGTTCAGGACTTCAGCCTAGAGCCATCGGGAGAAACCGTCATGAGATCAGTTGCACACTCGCACTACGTGCTTACGTCACACATCCAAGAATTTACACTTGACGATTTTCACCAATTGTATGGAATGTATGCGCCAATGTTGCTTTTATGCAAATGAAGCAATTTAGGAAAACTAGACTTTAAATTAAAACAATCCAAATGACTGACGGAGCGAAATGCCAGGAGAAAACAAAAAAATTCTTAAATAATTGTTCCCAAAATGATGAAAATTAATCAAAGGCTAGAATTGAGGAGGTTGCGGGGGAGGAGGGATAATTCCATGCGGAGTGATTAATTTGCGATCAATTAACAAAAAAAATAACGTGTAAAGGTGTATACACCTCGAGTACAAATTCATGTGATCACTAGTTTTAATGTAAAATACTCTCAGCCTTGTCTAGACCACCAACTAAAAATAGAGGTGTTTGTGAGAACACATTTGCATGATGTATTTTTCTTTGTGACCAGTCTGCAGGTATTTTCCTATTTTTATATTTGTTATCACGATGTACACAAAAGATCTGCATTTGAAAAATTGAACGCATCACATTCCCAAAAACCATAATGCAAATAGTTCATTTCCTTAACGCTAACATTGAATGAAATCGGTTTTGTTTGAACACGTGGACAGTTTACGCATGTGGTGTGTGACGTTACTTACGCCTTTAAAAGCTGGGGAAACTTCAAAGTCAGAATAATTGGCAAGGGCACTGAATCTTCCAAAATAGGTGTTGAGCAGCGTGGAGCTGTTGATGTTCTGTGTGCAGTTCTTGTTCATCGTTGTCACATCTGTGGGAATTTACAAGATGGCTATAGGTTCATTGTTGTAATTTCATAGAAATGAGGTATAAATAAGTAATATTAAAAAAAACGCTTTCATGAAATGTACCGTACTAGTAATGGCAGAACTCCACGACTCCAGGAAGTGGCCCCGAAGCTGGCCATAACGTAAGGGGCCGTGGACAATTACAGCCAACGTCAGTTGAGCGTGGACAATTAGACCGAAGCCGAAACATAACATGAAAAATTATGTTTGCAAAATATCTATTTTTTGATAGAATATAGTATTGTCATCAGTATGACATAAGTATACCAAGTTTGCAGTCGATACCGCATTGGGTAGTGGGTTAAAATTGAGTTACAAGCTTTGAGGATACAACAACAACAACAGACAGAGTTAAAAGAAAATGTGTAATAGTCATGGATGTATCAGCTTATTTTAAAAAAGATATAAATTAAGCATTTGACCCACCTGCGACAAGGAAATTGTTGATTTTATTCAGTGCTGCAAGTTGGATATCTTTTTTGATAGTTCCATAAACTCCACTCAGACTCTGTGAGCTGTGCAACAAGAACAAGCAAGAATATTTTATCATAAAATAGTCAAGTAATTAGAATTAAATATGAAAGAAAATGTTACGTTGTGTATTCATGTAGACGTTACAGAGTTGGAGATGAGCGAAATGTAATCTACATTTATATTGATTTCTTGTATTTTAATGAAAATACAATGACGTACTGTATGTTCTTCATAGGTAAGAAATCAAAATTTATTTTATTTATCTCAGCAGGAAGTGCCCAATAAGCTGTTAGGCTCTGTTTAATGGGCACCATGTGATGGTACAGATGCCACTTTGTTCTGTGAATGCTGTTTCATATAGTACTGATGCATTAATTTACGCTATAATACAGTTTCACAGCGAATGTGCACACTGACACAAAATATATTCAAGTTATGCAAAATGTAGAGAGCATTACATGAAAACGTGTGAGACATTAGAACTGCCTAATATCTTAGAATACCACACTCAATCTGTTATGAAGGATTTTTTAATTACTGCGATAACTTTTTTTAAGACAATATGAGATGTTCCATGAAGTTCCTGAAAAAGCAGCCAGCACGTGGTGTTGAAACATCGGACATCATTCCAAACAACATGCGGTCCAACCCAAATTCACATCGTGAGCTAACACAATGATCCACGAATATGCCACCTTGCCACACAAGTGACTGCGTAACGTATATGACGCTCACATGCTTGCAAACGCAGTGCAGTTGAGTCCCGTAGTAATATTGGCCACCATCTCAGCAGTAATGCTCGGCAGGAGGAGAGGGGGCAGCCTTTGATTGAACCACGTGGACACATCTGCGTCAGGAATAGCGGCCAGCGAAGGCCCCAGCTTTGTCCACACGCCGGCCATCACCGCGGCCCGGGCAGGGGCATCAAACGACTTGTTTGCCTGTGGATGACAAGAACAACGCCTCGCTTGAATTCACGTAAGAACAACTCGTCACATTCCTCATCACCGCTGCCTTATAAAGATCTCGGAGGCCACTACTGGATAGGTACAGCTGTGGAAAAGCAGAAATGAAAAAAAATCTGTGAGTCATTTTGCTCATCAGTAGGGGAGTCTTTGACGATGACATGAAATGCTTCGGCCTAATAAACAGGAGAAATCCATCACAGGACTACAAGATAAGCTAATAAATTACCAACCTTTAATTTAGTTTTCACAAGGGGTCAAACTGGTGGCCTCTGGCCAACAATGCCAGTGTGTCCAACAGTACCACACTATAATTCTAACGCGCGTCCCGACGCACTTACCACAACGTTAAAGCGATCCACGAATGTTGCCATGTTGTTGATGCTGTTGATGTTGGGGAAGATCTCTGACAGCAGGGTAGCGTTATTCTGCACGTTGGGCTTGGCAGCGTAGTCCGCCAGTTGTGCAGGGGAAAGAAGGTTCAGGACTTCAGCCTAGAGCCATCGGGAGAAACCGTAAGGAGATCAGTTGCACACTCGCACGACGTGCTTAAGTAACACGTCCAAGAATTCACACGTGACGAGTTTCAACAATTGTATGAAATGTATGCGGCAATGTTGCTTTTATGCAAATGAAGCACTTGAGGAAAATTCAACTTTAGATTAAAACAATCCAAATGACTGACGGAGCAAAATTCCCTGAAAAAACAAAAACATTATTAAAGAATTGTAATTTGTTCCCAAAATGATGAAAATTGATCAAATCCCAGAATTGAGGAGGTTGCAGCGGGGGAGGGTTCATTCCACACGGAGTGATTCATTTGCGATCAATTAACAAAAAAAAAATAACGTTTAAAGGTGTATACACCTCGAGTGCAAATCATGTGATCACCAGTTTTGATGTAAAATGCTCTCAGCCTTGTCTAGACCACCAACTAAAAATAGAGGTGTTTGTGAGAACACCTTTGCATGATGTGTTTTCTCTGTTACCAGTCTGCAGGTATTTTCCTATTTTGATAGTTGTTATCACGATGTAGAGAAAGGGCTGTATTTGAAAAATTAAATGCATCATATTCCCAATGTCAAAAACCATCATGCAAATAGTTCCTTTCCTTCACACTAACATTGAATGAAATCGGTTTTGTTTGAACACGTGGACAGTTTACACATGTGGTGTGTGACATTACTTACGCCTTTAAAAGCTGGGAAAACTTCAAAGTCAGAATAATTGGCAAGGGCACTGAATTTTCCAAAATAGGTGTTGAGCAGCGTGGAGCTGTTGATGTTCTGTGTGCAGTTCTTATTCATCATTGTCACATCTGTGGGAATTGACAAGATGGCATCGGGTTCATTGCTATAATTTCATGAAAATGAGGTATAAATAGTCATTAGATGTTTCAGCTCATTTTTTAAAGATGTAAATTAAGCATTTGACCCACCTGCGCCAAGGAAATTTTTTATTTTATTCAGTTCTGCAAGTTGGATATCTTCACTGAGAGTTCCATAAACTCCACTCAGACTCTGCGAGCTGTACAACAAGAACAACAAGCAAGAATATTTTGTTTGAGATTATAAAACACAGGCAATTTAAACAACATTTTACGTCGTATATTTATGTAAAAGTGTGACACAGATGGAGATGAGCGAAATGTAATCTACATTTATATCGATTTCTTATATTTTAATGGCAATATGAAAACGTACTGTATGTTCTTTTTTGGTGAGCAATCAAGATGCATTTATTTATTTCAGCAAAAAATGCCCAATAAGCTGTTAGACTCTGTTTAATGGGCACCCTGTGATGGTACAGATGCTACCTTGTACTGCGAATGCTCTTTCAGAGAGTACTGATGCATTAATATATGCAATAATACCGTTTCACAGAACATTTGCACATTGATACAAATTATTTTAAAGTTATGCAAAATGCAGAGAACATTATATGAAAAAATGCAAGCCATTGACACTCACTACCATCTTGGAACATCATCCTTGGTCTGTCAATAATAATAATAAATTCATTACTGTGATAATTTTTAAGAAAATATGAGATGCTCCATTCAGTTCCTGAAGAAGCTGCCAGCACGTGGTATTGAAACGTCGGACATCATTGCAAACAACATGCAGTCCAACGCAGATTCACATCAGAGAGCTAACACAATGATCCATGAATATGCCACCTTGCCACACAAGTGACTGCATAGCGCATAGGACACTCACATGCTTGCAAACGCAGTGCAGTTGAGTCCCGTGGAAATGTTGCCCACCATGCCAGCGGTGATGCCCGGCAGGATGAGAGGGGACAGCCTTTGATTGAACCACGTGGACACATCCGCGTCAGGCATAGCGGCCAGCGAAGGCCCCAGCTTTGTCCACACGCTGTCCATCACCACGGCCCGGGCAGAGGCATCAAACGACTTGTTTGCCTGTGGATGACAAGATCAACGCCTCGCTTGAATTCACGTAAGAACAACTCGTCATATTCCTCATCATCGCTGCCTTATAAAGAGTTCGGAGGTCACTACTGGACAGGTACAACTGTGGAAAAGCAGAAATAAAAAATAATCTGGGAGTAATTTTTCTCATCAGTGGGGGGTCTATGACGATGACATGAAATGCTTCAGCTTAATATACGGAAGAAATCCATCAAAGGACTACAAGATAAGCGAATAAATTACCACCTTTAATTTTGTTTCAACAGGGGGTCAAACTGGTGACCTCTGGTCAACAATGCCAGTGTGTCCAGCTTCTACAGCACCACACTATAGCTCTAACGCGCGTCCCGACGCACTTACCACAACGTTAAAGCGATCCACGAATGTTGCCATGTTGTTGATGCCGTTGATGTTGGGGAAGATCGCTGACAGCAGGGTAGCGTTGTTCTGCACGTTGGGCTTGGCAGCGTAGTCCGCCAGTTGTACAAGCGATAGAAGGTTCAGGACTTCAGCCTAGAGCCATCGGGAGAAACCGTCATGAAATCAGTTGCACAATCGCACTACGTGCTTAAGTCACACGTCCAAGAATTCACACTTTACGAGTTTCAACAATTGTATGAAATGTATACACCGATGTTGATTTTATGGAAATGAAACAATTGAAAAAAATTCGACTTTAAATTAAAACAATCCAAATGACTGACTGAGCGAAATGCCACGAGAAAAAATGTATTAAAGAATTGTATCTTGTTCCCAAAATGATGAAATTTAATCAAATCCCAGAATTGAGGAGGTTTTGGTGGAGGAGGGATCATTCCATACATACGGAGTGATTAACTTGCTATCAATTAACAATCAAAAATAACGTGTAAAGGTGTATCCACCTCGAGTACAAATCATGTGATCACCAGTTTTAATGTAAAATGCTCTCAGCCTTGTCTAGACCACCAACTAAAAATAGAGGTGTTTGTGAGAACACCTTTGCATTATGTTATTTTTCTTTGTTACAAGTCTGCAGGTATTTTCCTATTTTGATAGTTGTTATCACGATGTACACAAAAAATCTGCGTTTGAAAAGTGTAACGCATCACATTCCCAAAGTCAAAAACCATCATACACATAGTTCCTCTCCTTAACGCTAACATTAAATGAAATCGGTTTTGTTTGAACACGTGGACAGTTTACGCATGTGGTGTGTGACATTACTTACGCCTTTAAAAGATGGGGAAACTTCAAAGTCAGAATAATTGGCAAGGGCACTGAATCTTCCAAAATAGGTGTTGAGCAGCGTGGAGCTGTTGATGTTCTGTGTGCAGCTCTTGTTCATCATTGTCACATCTGTGGGAATTGACAAGATGGCTCGGGTTCATTGTTGTAATTTAATGGAAATGAGGTATAAATAAGTAATATTTTTAAAAAACACGCTTTCATGAAATGTACCGTACTATTGGAACCTCATTTGCCAGTAAAAATATGATAATTTGTTTTTACCCTTCTATCTGGCAACAAAACTGACACCTTTTTACAAGGAGTCATGTTTGCATAGACCGCAATACCTGCAGTCATAATGCAAACAAAAAACACAACTCTGATAATGTGCACTGTCCTTGAAGTTGATTGGTCCACACCCGAGACAGCTTTCCTTAGAGCATAGTCTCACATGGGTTGGACCAGATGACGCCAAAAGGCGCATTTGGTGTCACCAGATGCGCCTTTTGGCGTCATCTGGTCCAACCCATGTGAGACTAGGCTCTAAGGAAAGCTGTCTCGGGTGTGGACCAATCAACTTCAAGGACAGTGCACATTATCAGAGTTGTGTTTTTTGTTTGCATTATGACTGCAGGTATTGTGGTCTATGCAAACATGACTCTTGTAAAAAGGTGTCAGTTTTGTTGCCAGATAGAAGGGTAAAAAACTAATTATCATTGTAACGTACTAGTAATGGCAGAACGCCACGACTCCAGGAAGTGGCCCCGAATCTTGCCATAACGTAAGGGACCGTGGGCAATTACAACCAACGTCAGTTGACCCGTGAACAATTAGACCGAAGCCGAAACATAACATGAAATATAATGTTTAAAAGTTGTATATTTTTTTGATAGAATATAGTATTGTCATCAGTGTGACATAAATATACCAAGTTTTCAGTCGATATCACATTGGGTAGTGGGTTAAAATTGAGTTACAAGCTTTGAGGATACAACAACAACAACAACAGACAGAGTTAAAAGAAAATGTGTAATAGTCATGGATGTATCAGCTTATTTTAAAAATATGTAAATTAAGCATTTGACCCACCTGCCACAAGGAAATTGTTGATTTTATTCAGTGCTGCAAGTTTGATATCGTCACTGAGATTTCCATAAACTCCACTCAGACTCTGTGAGCTGTGCAACAAGAACAAGCAAGAAAATTTTATCATAAAACAGTCAAGTAATTGAATCAAATATTAAAGAAAATGTTACGTTGTGTATTCATGTAGACGTTACAGAGATGGAAATGAGCGAAATGTAATCTACATTTAAATTGATCTCTTATATTTTAATGGAAATACAATGACCTACTGTATGTTCTTTTTAGGTAAGAAATCAAAATGTATTTTATTTATTTCAGCATGAAGTGCCCAATAAGCTGTTAGGCTCTGTTTAATGGGCACGATGTTATGGTACAGATGCCACTTTGTTCTGTGAATGCAGTTTCATAGAGTACTGATGCATTAATTCACGCTATAATACAGTTTCACAGCGAATGTGCACACTGACACAAAATATATTCAAGTTATGCAAAATGTAGAGAGTATTACATGAAAACGCGTGAGACATTAGAACTGCCTAACATCTTGGAATACCACCCTCAATCTGCTATGAAGGATCTTTTAATTACTGCGATAATTTTTTTAAAGACAATATGAGATGTTCCATGAAGTTCCTGAAAGAGGAGCCAGCACGTGGTGTTGAAACATCCGACATCATTCCAAACAACATGCGGTCCGACCCAAATTCACATCACAGAGCAAACACAATGATCCATGAATATGCCACCTTGCCACACAAGTGACTGCATAGCGCATAGGACACTCACATGCTTGCAAACGCAGTGCAGTTGAGTCCCGTGGAAATGTTGCCCACCATGCCAGCGGTGATGCCCGGCAGGATGAGAGGGGACAGCCTCTGATTGAACCACGTGGACACATCTGCGTCAGGCATAGCGGCCAGCGAAGGCCCCAGCTTTGTCCACACGCCGGCCATCACCCCGGCCTGGGCAGAGGCATCAAACGCCTTGTTTGCCTGTGGATGACAAGATCAACGCCTCACTTGAATTCACGTAAAAACAACTCGTCACATTCCTCATCATCGCTGCCTTATAAAAAGTTCGGAGGCCACTACTGCAAAGGTACAACTGTGGAAAAGCAGAAATGAAAAACAATGTGGGAGTTATTTTGCTCATCAGTGGCGAGTCTGATGATGACATGAAATGCTTCGGCCTAATATACAGGAGAAATCCATCACAAGACTACAAGATGAGCGAATAAATTACCAGCCAGTGTGTCCAGCTTCTACAGTACCACACTATAATTCTAACGCGCGTCCTGACAGACTTACCACAACGTTAAAGCGATCCACGAATGTTGCCATGTTGTCGATGCTGTTGATGTTGGGGAAGATCTCTAACAGCAGGGTAGAGTTATTCTGCACGTTGGGCTTGGCAGCGTAGTCCGCCAGTTGTACAGGGGAAAGAAGGTTCAGGACTTCAGCCTAGAGCCATCGGGAGAAACCGTAAGGAGATCAGTTGCACACTCGCACTACGTGCTTAAGTCACACGTCCAAGAATTCACACTTTACGAGTTTTAACGGAGCAAAATGCCACGAGAAAAAAAGTATTAAAGAATTTATTTGAAGCTTTTGTGACTGCAGGAATCCATATTCTTTGGTTCTTTCGGTAAAATCACGTAGGTATAAAATAAAATAAATCACGACGTTTCGGGCACAACAACTGATGACCGACGATTGTGTTGCGTCGTGATTTATTTTAGTTTATACGTACGTACTTTACCGAAAGAACCAAAGAGTATTAAAGAATTGTAACTGTTCCCAAAATGATGGAAATTCATCAAATCCCAGGATTGAGACGGTTGCATTGGAGGAGGGTTCATTCCATACGGGGTGATTAACTTGTGATCAATTAACAAAAAAAAACGTGTAAAGGTGTATCCACCTCGATTGCAAATTATGTGATGACTAGTTTTGATGTTAAATGCTCTCAGCCTTGTCTAGACCAGAGGTGTTCACGAAAACACCTTTGCATTATGTTATTTTTCTTTGTTACAAGTCTGCAGGTATTTTCCTATTTTGATAGTTATCACGATGTACACAAAATATCTGCGTTTGAAAAATGTAACGCATCACATTTCCAAAGTCAAAAACCATAATGCAAATAGTTCCTTTCCTTAACGCTAACATTGAATGAAATCGGTTTTGTTTGAAAACGTGGACAGTTTACACATGTGGTGTGTGACATTACTTACGCCTTTAAAAGCTGGGAAAACTTCAAAGTCAGAATAATTGGCAAGGGCACTGAATTTTCCATAATAGGTGTTGAGCAGCGTGGAGCTGTTGATGTTCTGTGTGCAGTTCTTGTTCATCATTGTCACATCTGTGGGAATTGACAAGATGGCATCAGGTTCAGTATTGTCATTGCATGAAAATGCAGTACAAAAAGTCGTGGATGTTTCAGCTCATTTTTAAAAGATGTAAATTAAGCAATTGACCCACCTGCGACAAGGAAATTGTTGATTTTATTCAGTGCAGCAAGTTGGATATCTTTACCACTCAGACTCTGTGAGCTGTACAACAAGAACAAGCAAGAATATTTTATTATAAAATAGTCAAGTAATTGAATCAAATATGAAAGAAAATGTTACGTTGTGTATTTATGTAGACGTTACAGAGATGGAAATGAGCGAAATGTAATTGACATTTAAATTGATCTCTTATATTTTAATGTAAGAGATCAACTCCACTCAGGCTTTGCGACCTGTGCAACAAGAACAACGATACACCGATACTTTATTGCATACGTTTACACTGTGTTTATGTGTTTTGACAAAAATATTCCACTTTTTGAAAAAAATATAGTCAATATGAAACGAAGTTCATTTTCACGAGGTGACCACGTAACTCAGATGTGATAGGATTTAGTCGACATCGCTGATATCCTGGTAATTAAACTGGATTATCAAGTGCAATGAGATTAAGGTCTCGGCCCAGTCACTGTACAAAAAAAAACTGATATCAATATATTTGTTTCTGAACGAATGTTGTCTAATTCCAGTTCGTGAGAAATAAGTATCAGCTTGACGGTCGTTTGAATATCATTATCATTGGCAGAGCAGGTGGGAAATGGTCCCCTCTACTGTGTGAACTAGAGGTCATTTGAAGGGATTTCAGAGATAGCTCCGTGATAAGTGCTTCCGTGGGTCGTTCTGCAACATGAAAGGTTGCGTTGCAACTGTGAGAGATCTGAATGTATTCTTCGTCTGATGACAACACGTTTGTCCTAAAGAAATTCGTTTTCAATCTAGATTTAAAAGTGCATAGCTCCAGTGGCTTCCTCATATCGGAAGGAAGAGTGTTCCAGACGGCCACAGAAGCGTATCTGAAATCGCACGATGCAGCGACCGAGCAAATTTACAGCATTAATTGTAGACAATTCTAGCAGATATTAAAGTAGCATTAATGTAATGCTTATGGGTGCACGGATTGGGTTTAGTGGTAGCCCATCACCACAAGCTGACCGTGATCCAAATCCCATTCCAAAAGTATCCAACCCAAGATTCTCCGGATCCAATATTTTCATCGCGTCGATCTGATTTTAATGATAACGTTCATGCCTTGTGGGGGGGAGGGGGAGAGTTTGGTAAGGGGTGGGGTGGCTGTGGCACACTGGTTTGCGTACCACACTATGAACTTGGTAACCCGAGTTCAATGCTCTCGGTCATGGCTAACATCAGTGGCCAGTGATATCTTATCCATTGCCGGGCAACCCCCCCCCCACACACACATCACCAATCTGTTCTGATCACTAAACAACCCCATGGCTGACACAGCGCGAATAAGTCTTCATCCAGCATTGTATTGACAACTAAATGTCACGAATGCTATTTTTCTCCACTCTTTCCTTGCCTCTAAACGACATTGAGCGACACGTGCCGCGTGCCAGTAACGATGGGCACGTTGCTGTGAATCTGGTTGCGCAACACACCGAGGATGTTGCCGTTAACGGACGTGGGGGTTATTTGTGAGCACGCACATTGTGACGAAATTGACGCAGGACACGTTGATGGGGATGTCTGCTATCTCCACCGCGGTGATGGACGGGAGAAAAAGGACGAGTCGCGTTTGAAACCACTGTGTTCCCTCGGCATCCGACAAAGTCGCAAGAGACGGCTTCAGGGTGTCCCAGATGCTGGTCATCATGGCCGTCCTCACGTCAGCTGAAATCGTCTGTGCGCAAACACACGCATACACACCGGACAAAGATCCCCCGTGTAACCTACACAGGCTGTTGGGGCAAGTGCTGTTAGCGAGCAATGTATACGAAGGCCAGTACAGCGTACGAGTGGGTTGCGTTGCTGATGGTTGCGCACCGCACCAGGTACTCGTTTAGGGCTGAGACAACTCAGGGAGGACCAGGACAAGCGTAGATGTTAGCTGTGGTGGGGCATTGAACTCAAGATGTCAGGTTCAGAGCGTAGTGCACCAACCACGATACTACCACTCCCCACATGCATATGCATGCACATGCACACATATGCACAAATACAAAGGCAAGCGCTGTATAGCAAGCACTTATTCGGACCGGCAGAGCACATTAACAGGTGGTATTGTCTGGATCGCTGCATCGCTGATTCTCACTCCTCAAAACCCATACACACATACAGATATTAATTTTCAAAAAAAAAATGCATTCACAGTGGAATATCCATTTCCTACAGAAGTATTTACATTTTTACATCTGAATTTTCTCACAATGTAATCTCAATTGCCCGCTCGGTATCATGTCATGAGATAAAAATATGCATTCAGATTCCTCACAGAGACAGGCAGACACTGCCCGTTAGAGAATGTCCCACAAAAGTGGACAACACAGACCTAACTCTTGTACGCCTTCAGTGATCTCTGGTCCACGTGATCGTAGGGTGCAGTACTTTCCCACCCGTTTAAGGTTGAGATGAGAGGGAGAGGCAGGAGAGTGTGTGAAGGGGAGTGGAGTGAGATGAGAGGGGAAGTGTAGGATATTGCATGCAGGGGAGTAGAGTGAAATGCGAGTGGAGCGTTAGGGGAGTGTGTGGAATGGAGTAGAGTGTGATGCGAGAGGAGAGGTAGACACCATCATGGATGAAACATTTTCCACCAGGCGGACGCAGATATGGGACCGAGCAAGCGAACTAACAGTGTATGCACATCAAGCAGAGGGACATGTTTAGATTGGGGTGCAGAGTGGAGGCCACACACCATGTTGATTCCATCCAGAACGTTGCCCAGCACGGTGAGGTTCTTCAAGTTGATCGTCACCGATCGACTGACAATAGCGCTGTTTAGAAACTTTGACATGTAGAGCTGAGCGAGCTGGTCGGCCGGGATAAGTGACAGTGTAGAATCCTGCACACCAAACACAACCGACGTGCGGTCAAACATCTCTTTACCCCCCCGCCCAAACCCAAAACCGAACCCTGCCAAGCCATACCAGGCCAGCCGAGCAGGTTGTATTATTTTCCACTGCAGTAGCCGCTCCTAGACACGAGTGTCACAGGCAATAGACAAGTCGAGACGAGTGGAGATAACGCCGTGACCTCACACTGTACTGAAGTCACACGCATTGACTGCATAATTAGTCCCGCCTCTTGGCCCTGCTTGGCCCCGAGCCAGATTTTATGTCTTGTGAGCAGAGGTCGCAACCGGGTACCCGATACCCGTACCCTACCCGATACCCGGCTACCCGTACCCGGCCGGGTACCCGTTTGCGACCCTGGTGCGGCCAGGTACGGGTACGGGTAGGCAATGAGTCACTGGTGAGTTACTGTTTGTCACTCATTTCCCAACGTCTTGTCTCTTCTCACAATTCAAGTTCCTGGTGCGGCCAGGTACGGGTACAGGTAGGCCATGAGTCACTGGTGAGTAACTGTTTGTCACTCATTTCCCAACGTCTTGTCTCTTCTCACAATTCAAGTTCCTAGAATCAACCCACCCGCGCTTGCAACATGGCTTCATCCCAGAGTTTTGCAATCAGTTACCCGATATCCGTACCCTACCCGTACCCGGCTGGGTACGGGTAGGGTACGGATACGGCCGGATACGGGTACGGGTACCCGTTTGCGACCCTGGTGCGGCCGGGTACGGGTACGGGTAAGGAATCAAAACCCGTTTGCGACCTCTGCTTGGGAGGGCACGTGTGTAAGTGAGCACTCATTTGTTTTTGTTCCGCTATGAAATTGGTTAACATTTGGATGACAAACTGAGAAGGGCCACTTTGAAAGTGTTCAGTAACTGCGATCTACCAGATAATGCAAAATGAATACAGATGCAAGGCTGGAATATACATATTAAATACCTGTGGCATCTTGGTGGATTGTGGGTTATATATTGGGTAACAATGTGATGTAGAACTGTTAAAGTACAGCCCTTCTGTCAATCCACTTCTGGAAGAGGGATTCCCCATGCCATGCAGGCCACGGGGATTACGTGACCACATGCTGTGTGTGCAATTAGCACGATTCGTTACGAATAACGAAAACTTATTTTCATCAATAACTCTTCTCTCGAAAGTGAAAATCATATCAAGGACAATGACACAATTTTTTAAAATGTTATAATGTTCTTCTTTAGGGCAATGCTATTGAAGAATGTGATGGCATTGCTTTGCGTGTGTTTTGTACACCACTGCAATTGGAGTTTAAAAACAATATTAAGTTTTTGTTTGCATACATCGTAGATGGACGTACAAGTAAAATACCATTAAATTGTGTACACGCAGCAGTATAAATGTATACACCGCAGCCTAGTCGATTGACAGTTCGCGTGTGGTGGGGGTTAGGTAGGGTAAGGTGCAGTTTATTCCCAGCCTCTCACGAGGCGTCTGGCCATCGTGGAAGAGTAGGCCTAAAGCCCTCTTATTAAGAGGGGCTTCTCTCGAGCTCCCTCTCATGGAGGCCCTTCTGCCAGCAGGGGCCGCCGAGTATAAGCAACTACGGTGGCTGCACCTTTCACCTTCTCCGAATACAACACCTGGGACTTACGTTCAAGCAGGCGAACTCTTCTGCTGTGAAATTTTCCAGCTGTGCGGCGGTGATATTTACGCCCAACAACGCATTGCCCAGCACAGTCCTTTATAAACACATATAGACACACACGGCGACAACAACAAATGTTAACATTGAAACCGATTACGGTCGCTGGCATCGGCATCGCAATTAGCACGTCGTATTTGTAAATATAACAAAAAAAAGTGTGTTCATGCATGTCTTGAATGGTAAAAAAAAACACTTACACATTTCTGCCTGTACAGTTGACAACTGTTTGAGAGAATAGGAAAAGGCAAAGGCAACGCGTCACTTTGACACGTCACTTTAACACGTCACTTTAACGCGTCACTTTAACGCGTCACTTTAACGCGTCACTTTAACGCGTCACTTTAACGCGTCACTTTAACGCGTCACTTTAACGCGTCACTTTAACGCGTCACTTTAACGCGTCACTTTAACGCGTCACTTTAACGCGTCACTTTAACGCGTCACTTTAACGCGTCACTTTAACGCGTCACTTTAACGCGTCACTTTAACGCGTCACTTTAACGCGTCACTTTAACGCGTCACTTTAACGCGTCACTTTAACGCGTCACTTTAACGCGTCACTTTAACACGTCACTTTAACACGTCACTTTAACACGTCACTTTAACACGTCACTTTAACACGCAATGGGCTTTCGCGAGCAATTTTCATCCATAATAGAGGTCTTTGGGTTAGATTGCGTGAATATATCAATGTGTCGTTAAACCCGCCACCACCCGACACAGGCTGTGGCCTGATGATGCTCGTTGTAATTACTGGCGAAACGTCGTACTCGAATTGTAAATGTCGTGGGTTTATTTTCCAACACACAAGCGGTTAGTGCTGAACTTGTAACAAATTGGCATGTTTTGTTCACGTGACAAACCTTACTAAATGGCTGTGTAGGGTGGTGGCAGGTTAACAACGCATTTATATTTACGCTATTGAACCCAAAACACTCTATGATGGACAACACATCACATGAAGGACACTTTGTAGGGTGACTTAAAATTTTCAAAATGTTTGAACGCAACAAAACTAAAAACACCACGACAAAGAAACTTCAACAGCATTGGCCAGCCAACATCAGAGGCTCTCAGTGCCTGCGATTAAATCAGTTTCGCTCCACGTTCTGGGAGATTTTTGTTGTTGTTGTTGAACTTGACTATGTGAATCAAGCTCCCAGCTTGTGGAGGAGAACATCGCACATGTGTCACTGATAGACTAAACTATAGAGCGTACGTGCACCTAACTTCATGTCGCCTCTTGCTCGCATTATAATCTTATTTGTGACTCGCAACGCAGATCTCCCGTGTCAAATAGCCGGGGAAACTGGCTGAACGGGATAATCCGTGTAACAAATAAAAAAACACATCGACATCGTGCCAAACAAGAGGTGGCACAAGCGGAACGCCCATTGGAGGGGGGGGGGGGCTGAACGGCACAATCACGACATCCCACGCAGGAGGATTACGCAACGACTAGGGAGGCCAGAACCAGCCTTCCCAGTCAACATGTAAAGTTGGGCAAACATTAGCATGTGATTGAAGCCATTGGATCAACGTTGTTGGATCAACGTTGTTGGCCCAACATGAGAGATTAGTAGGCAAATATGAGTGGAGTACAAATAATTGGTCAATGGAAGAAGAGGTTACCGCAGAGAAACAAAGAACAGCACCGAGAGATGTGTCGATAGAGATTGGCTGAGATTTAAAATGTCCAGATGCTGACCCAAAAGACTAGCCATTTCGTTTAAACGTGTTTAGGACATGCATATCGATTTGTGTGGACTGCGTTTTATCACATAAAAAAAACAAATCACATACCTTCCGAACTCTGCAATACGAACAAAGACAACACAAAATTAGATGTCAATAATAACAACAATGTAAAAGAAACATTCAAAAGTCACACTTTTTTCACAACAATCCGTCCCATCACAAATGAAACAAAACGTCAGGACTGGCGCAACCGATTCAATCATCAATTCATATCCACGCTTCGATCGCTGTGACCACGACCAGCAGCATGACCACGTGGCCAACCTCTCCATCCTCTTAATTCTAGATTTGAAGCTTTCGTGACTGCAAGGATTCGTATTCTTGGGTTTTTTCAGTAAAGTCACATAGGTAAAAAAAAATTAAAATTAATAAAAGTCTTTTTATTTTACTTTTATAAATTTTAATTTTTTACCTACGTGACTTTTCGATAAAGTCACGTAGGTAAAAAAAATTAAAATAAAAAAAAGTATTTTTATTTTACTTTTATTAATTTTAATTTTTTACCTACGTGACTTTACCGAAAAAAACTAAGAATACTCTCCATCCTCGTGGACTCCACCGCCCACGCGGACTCAGTCCGATGGCCATCGACTCTCTCGTCTGACCCCCACACCGCGTTCAACCACCACACTGGAGCAAGGCACCATTTCTGTGAAACGTGCTTTTTGTTTTGCGTTTAAGTTTATTCTCCTCCGCCCGCACCTCAGATTAGTGCAACTGGCAACGTGCGGTGAGAAAGTCCGACATGCGTACAATGCGGGTTATCTCACTCTTCCATTCACCTGATGTGACGTACGCTTGTGTTGCGCCCGAAACGTCGTGATTTAAATGTATTAATTTTTTTATCTTTTATTTGTATTTTTTATTTGTATTTTTTTACCTACGTGACTTAACCGAAAGAACCAATTCCCTCCCATCATCTAATATTCCCAAGATCTTATTGAAAAAATACTTTTCCACGTTAATAAAACGCGTTAAACTCGTATCTATTGCAGCTATAATGGTGATGTTTGTTACCGACTGCTTTGAATGTGCTCGGCAAAGGTGATGTTTTTTGTTATTGCATTTTTTGTCGTGTGCGCTGTTCTATCTCGGTGTTAATGTAAATCTTTGAATACAATTTGCCAAATCTTTGAAAAACCGTCACGCGAACACCGTGCAATGCAAATACCGTGGGCGTAAGTACGCACATTTGTGAAATGTTATCAAGTTCATCAGCAAATAGTTACGTGCTTAAAAAATACCCCAGGGTGTCCTTTAAACATTGTATCATCAATAACAAAAAACAAGAACAGAGCTTGAGTTAGGGTGATAAAATCACACGCAAGTACAAAAAGAGAAAACGCCCCCATATCGTCTTTTCAAACTGTTAGGAAAAGTCCTCTTAGTGAGCACCTATGAAGGCCAGAACGACACCCGAGGGGGTGGGTGGCCAGCAACCATGCCCAGCCGCCTTTGTCTCCCTATTGGCGATGTTTACACATCGCACCAGGTACTATTTCTAGACAATAGTCGACCTAGGGGAGGCCCAGGACCGGTTAAAATAATCGTCACTGGTATTGGCCGTAAGCGGGAATCGAACTTGTGCCACAGGGTTCGTAGTGCAGCGTGCTGACCGCTACACTACCACTCCCACGTACATGCAGGTACAGCACCACGCACTTAATCTTAACAGCGGTGACGACCGCACGAGCCTCGTTCCTCTACGCCGCCGTGTGACCGCCTGCATGTCGATTCGAGACTCCCCAGTGATCACCGGTGGTGAGGTGCAAACCATGAGGCGTAGATCACGATGACTGCCCAACACAACAAGCGTTTCGATTTAAAGCCTTCGTGACTGCAGGGATTCATCTTCTTGGTTCTTTCGGTAAAGTTACGTAGAAGGGAAATAATAAAATAATAAAAATAAAACGCGTCTGAATGACTCGTTCAGATGCTGTATTTCCGACAGACCTGTTCTTCACCTGAGGACGGCTGCCTGCGTTGTGGCCGAAACGTCTTGAGAATGATTTTATTATGTTTTATTTTTATTATTTTATTAGTTCCCTTCTACATGACTTTACCGAAAGAACCAAGAAGACAACAAGCGTTGTGCTGGCTGAGCAAGTCGATTCAACTCAGCCACTACCCCGGATGCCGTAGAATGGCTCACGTTAACAATATATATTGGGCATTTTTGGCAGTATCATAATGGTGAGAAAATCACTGCTACTTGCATTGACTTTGCACTGTTCGCTTTTAGGCGTTCTCCGGTCTAACACTGGTGAGACAATGCCATGACAAATGCTGTATCTGGTGTAAGCTAATCAGTTTCAAATACAATGCATATGTTATCAGAGCATGTTCTTTTGTATGTTTTGCGACAAGTGTGTGTGGTTCATGCGGACTTGATGCCTTGCAATGGGTATATATTTGGTGTTTGAACATAGACGAAACCTATTCTTATTTGCCAGAAAGGATATTCTTATTTTCTCAACATTAGCAATGCAATTGTAGTGCTGCTGCTTTTTCCTAACGACATTTGAAAGACGCAGATGACTGGCATGTCGCCTGCGATAGTTTCGACTGCTTCGGCTGCGCGATGTCAAAGATCGCTAAAGCCCTTCAGTAAAAAAAAACGTAAGTGTACAAGAAACATACTTTTCAACCGCGCAGTGAAAACCGATGCCTAAATCTATGAATAAAGCGTGATGTGTGTTTGGACAGCCTGGACATTCCAGAAACAGGTACCGAATTCAAACTATTTTAAAGATTATTGATTAGATTGTCTTTGGCATGCCAGTCATTTTTTGCCAATGGTTTTTAAATAAAAACATGAATTGTAAAAATGCGAGTGTCCATGAATTTGAACCATGCATAAAATAAAGCAAATATTTACCTGACCAGCCACATGATGTGAACCTACAAATGCAAAGAAAAAAAAAGGTTAATGTTTTACTTCATCATCTGGAGCAGCCAAGGGTGTTTGTGGTGACGTATTCTGAAGATGCTGTCACAGTGGTGGTGTGGTTAGAACGCTGGAATTGAGGTCGCCAGTTCGACTCGATATCCCGGAGTGGCAGCTGAAACAATGGCACAGGATTCTGAAACTCCCCTCCGCCTCTGTCCGCCCAGGAGGATGAAAGGGGACACCGCTGTTAGTCCATTGGCATCTAGCCAGAATGGAAGAGTAGGCCAAAGCTCCCACCAGAGGGGCTTTTTAGAGCTCTTATGCCAGCAATGGTGTGAGCATTGCAGTTTCAGCTTTGTACCTTTATCTTTACCTCATTCTGACGACAGACAAAAAGCCATGCTTGGGTTACTAGCATCTGGGGTCTCACCCCTTGAAGAAATTAAGGAAGTTGTTTTTTTAAACTCTAATGAAAAACTATGCTCCTTTAATCCACTTATTGACTTCAATCTTTCAGGTCTAACGAGGACGACTTGTGACACTTCATGGCTTCAAACACACGTGCGTTGTAGAACCACATGACCCTCGATGCAGCTCAGTGGCTGGGTGGTAGATAGAGCGAGTGGAAGGTTGCGAGTTCAAATATTGGTTGGTGGTGGGGTTACTCTGCCAGCCCAGCATCTATCCGGGGTCGATAAATTAAGTACCATTTTGTGGACAAGTCAACAGTAGTTGTCTGTACAGACCACCCCCCCCCCTGCCCCGGCCAAAGAACTGTGGAATTCCCACTACTGGTTTGGGGGCTGTAAACAGGAGATGAGCACCAATGGCTCAACGCCAGATCTCAGAAGCCATGTCAGTTTGAGCACACGAGTATTTGTGCCACCAACCACCGATTTTAAATACGGTGCTTTTCAAAGAAGACAACAACCATATTGCTATGTCCCGAGGTATCAACAACGAGGATATTATAAACGTCTTTAAGCAGCCAGTGCGATTGCCTTAGGCCCGTGATGCTGTCGGGGCTTCATTGGAGCCAAAGGCAAAACGTCAGTGACGGTTGACAGGCTTGCGAGGTGACTTCACCCACCTTGAATGATTGCCAGAGCAAATCCCAGCGCCGTCAGCAGCGCCACTCGACAGGTTCCACCCATCGCTACAGCTGCACGGGTTTCCTATGCAATAGAAGAAGAGTTCACACCATCAGCTATTCAAAAACTCACCACATTCGTTTATAACACTGGCTTAAAACGGCCAGAAATGTTTATAATCGGCGACGATTTAGACATTGATACAAATTTGGACTTCACACCATCAGCTATTCATTGCAGGGTTTCTTTATTTAACCCCATGCACGCAGTGCCGGATGAAGATTGTACGGGGACTCTAGCATATGTTATAAAGGGGCCCTAAATAAAATAAAAACACGTAAATATTAAAACACATACATTTTAACTTGCATAGTAAAGTAACTGTATTTCTTTCATTTGCTATACAGCCAGATAATACGACAAATCGCTAACCTAAAACACCCAGTCGTTCATAAAAGTTGAAGGCGGTATAGTACTATAGTAATAGAGAAAGTGCAGAATCACTGAACTGGAATTGATAGCTTGAAAGCATTTAGCGCGGGGCCCTTGAAAGTGCGGGGCCCATAACACATGCTACTTTTGCTACTAGGATAACCTGGCACTGCATGCACGGGTTGGTTTGAATTCAATATGGTTGATCTCTTCCAAGACGGCAAGACAACATGGATGAGTAGGCCAAACAGCCACGTGTAAGGGGGGGGGGGGGAAGGTTCTCTAGAGCTCCCTTTAGCGGAGGCCTTTCCGCCAGCAGTGATGCGAGCGAGACATAGCAGGGCTTCACCTTTTGTTTTTTGGCATCACCCTGTGTATGATTTAGTTCCCACCACTCCGTATTCACTTCTTCACTTCATTTTCCCATTATCTTCGTCGAGTTGTATTGGTGGGGGGGGGGTGAAGGGGGGGGGGGCTGGAGGGGTGCTGAACACCGCCCCTTCCACCCTCCTAAACTAAAACTAAACTTTTTATTTTATCAGTTGAGGCCCACTGAGCTCTACAGCTTTTTCAAAAGCGACCTGACCACAAATGATAGCTCAAGGGAGCGGCGTATCGTGTGAAAATTGATAGCAACCAAATTGCTCGAAATGCATTTTCCTAAACGTGGAGGGGAAAACCGGAGGACCTGGAGAAAAATCCACGCGGCCACGGGGAGAGGAGAGCATGTGATTTTCAAATATACAGGGATCAGGGTTCGGGATCGAACCTACGACTTCCTGCATACCACGCGAGGTAGATAACATCTCGCCACTGCGACGCTGTTAATCGTAATTTACGAGTTAATCGCCGCGTCGATTCATTACCAATCAATCCATGGATCCAGTAATGATGCGACACGTCCCCTTCATTTGATTGGCTAATATCAGCAAGATCGGGGATTCCTTCGCAGTCCACTTTGATTCTACCACAGCGCTCCTATTGAAGGCTCAGCCCCCCCCACCCCCCCGCTTTTCACAACAGTTAACAAAGTAATAATGATTGTTCACTCACACGGTGACAGCAGCTTTTTCTCACATTCACAGGGGCTAAACCCTGGGGTAGATGTCACAAAAGGCACAAACGTTGACAACTCCCCTGCCTTTATGTTAACCGTGTAGTGTGCCCCACCCTGCTGTATTCTGAAAGAGGTCACGCTACAGGTGCGTGCAAAGGTGTGAGTTCAATGTGATCACACACAATTCACTCCACTATCGATGAGGAAAACGACTCAATACATCGGTCTATATACCACCTTGGCCTCAAAAAGAAAAAAAAAATAGGATATGTTTCGGAAAATGGCCCATGAAGAAAGCCCCATTCGTCCGAAATGTTGCCATATATATGTTATATATGTTTACTGTTAAGGCAACAGTGTTATTGGCAAATGTGTTGAGTTGTATTCGTCAATTGTGCTTGTGCATCACTGCGGACGCAGCAGCAGCACCAAGTATGTGTTTCATTCTCGAGTTAGTTCCAACGTCCCCTTTGCAAAAGTGGCGCAGTGCTTTGGAAAGCCCAGATTTCCTGAGCCCAGATTTCCTGAGCCCAGCTACAACTTGGGTTCTATTCGTTCTGATTATTACAACTCAAATTGACAACCCAAAGTCAATCCACTGCTGGACGAAGCCCCTCCCCTCCCCCCACGGTACGTCGGTCATGTCGGTTGTCTGACCATACTTCACCACGCTGGTCAATGCAGGTTGGTGAAGGGGGGGGGGGAAGGAACATGGCAGTACAGGTTCGGCTGGATTAAAAGAAAAAACTCCCCACTGACGTTATCCATGGCCGGGAATTACGGTGGGACAATCATGACGGACGACAACTCTCATGGGTCGACTTAGCCTCAAATGCGGTAGTGCTTCTTTCGTTTGTGCTGTGGGGACAAAGGATGCAGGGTGTGGCTCTGGGCACATCAACTGCTGTGCCGCCGTTAAGACGCAAATAGGTCCACACGAACTGCTCGCGCACAACGATTCGTTGAGTTTCTCAACCAGGGCTGTACCTCCTCGACCGTTTGTCATTGGACAGCTACTCGCACGACGCGTTACAGGAACATCGTAAAGTAACTTTCGGGAAGTGCTGATGATCATGACGATGGTGATTGTGACACACCAAGTCACCTCTAATTTGTCGAATGGATTTTTTTTTTATTGGGCCATTATAACAACATGTGCACTAAAATGTTCACGAGTGAAATTCAATGGGCAACCGAACGATGATCTACCATTTGTACCTGTAGAGAGACAATTTTGTCAATCCACTGCTGAACGAAAGACTTCCCTGAGACTGTGTCGGTCATGGGGTTTACCTTCGACCATACTGCAGGTGGAATAATCGTAAAAGCAATACAACGTGCCATCTGCTTCAGGGTGGCAGTTAAAGATCCAGTGATGTCGTTCGCGAGAGTTAGCCATTGCGTGCCAGTGGCACGATCAAAATCTGGCCACATTTGACAAATATCACCTGAAAAATTATTCGAGTTGAAATCGACACGGTAATCATTGTTCCGACTGTAAAAAAACGTGGCGGGACCCTGCAAAAAATTAGTCAAGAGACTCCGTAAGGTTTTCCTGAGTTAACAAGCGTAATACATGAACACACATGTTCATAAACAATCTCTACGTGCTTGAATTTTAAATAGCAAGATCATTTGCTGGAATCGACACGTGTGAACAAGGCTATAGCAAATACATCACCAAAGCTTCGATTTGCGCTTGTATATGTGACCGTGAGCCTGAAGCGGGGAGTGGTGGTGCAGCGGTTAGCGCACTGCGCTGCGAACCCTGTCACCCAAGTTCGATTCCCGCTCTCGGCTATCACCAGTGACGATTATCTGAGTCGGCTCTGTGCCTCCTCTAGTTCGACTCAGCCTCAAATAAGTACCTGTTACGATGTGTAATCATCACCACTCGGGAGAAAAAGGCGGCCGGGCGTTGTGCCAGCCATCCACCCCCTCGTGTGCAGTTTCGGGCCTTCAAAGGCGCCCGCTAACAGCACTTCCCTTCCCTCAACAGCCTGTTACGACAATATGGGGGCGTCTTTGCCTTTGTTAGACAGAAATAGAGACTATTATGTTCTCATCTTACACTTGCACTGGTTTTGACTCGCGTGTGTTTCGTTCACGACCGTTAAAAACCTCGCGCGCTAGTTGGGCAATATTACTTTAGGACCCTGCTGTGATGAAGAAAGTTCGACCGTGCTTCACCGCACTGGTTAGCGCGGGTTGTTGAAGTAGAAGTGTGACCCAGGACCGGCTCAAATATCGATATGTCTGTGTGTTGAACTTCTTTCGCACCGTACGTAGCCAACCGTCCCAATCAGAGGATATATCTCATGGCTGGTGTTAGCCGTGGCTGGGAATCGAACTCAGCTCGCCAGGCTCAATACAGGGCAGTTCGCTCACCGCTACATCACAGCCACTTTGACCACGTCTCTCTCCTGTTCAGCGGTGCTTCAAGTCAGAAGCGTCTGAATAAGTGTTTAGTCACAGCTCGTGCACAAGAAAAAACAAGTCGGATCCAAAACGTTCAAACCCTTCAGATATGAATCTGGATGACGCTGGATTGTTGCACTGCATGTACATCGCTGGAGGGTAAGACATTATTTAGATCTTACATTGATTTCTTATTTTAATTTCAATACAGCTATGATCGTACACGTTTTTTTATTGAAGGGTACGTTGTATCTGACTTAAGGATAGGTTTATGTTGGATCCAGTGAAACGCATACAGATATATGCATATAACTAAATCACACTTAATGTGCCCGGATCTCTTCATATCTCAGAAGCGAAGCTTTACCCTAGATAGTGCTTGAACCCATCACGTCTGGCAGAAAACGCTGGTTCCAAAAGGTCTCATCGGCTGATGAACTAAAATGTTGCATTTCGAATTTGACGTGTTCAAGGAAATCCCTGTTACGCTACTTAGTACATTAAGAATAATAATACAATAATATTGTACGGCTCTTTTCCATCAACTGCTGGATGAAAGGGGTTTTTTGTTACCATGCTTCAAAACGCTTTTCTTAGTACGGCTTGGTGGAGTTGGGGGGGGGGGCCAGAAACAGCCCTGGTTCTTGACATCACTCGCCACTGATGTGAGCCGTGGGTGGGTACCGGGCTCACAGAGCACCACGCGCTGACTGCCGTGCCACCACTCCGCACCGAAACGCTATACGAACCCCACCAAAGCAAGATACAAACAACATACAATCTCTCGCAAAGGGGCACAACACAAATTTAATTCTTACCTGTCGCCGAGCAAGAGTTGAAGGTCTGGAAATGCGCGATCCGAGAAATTCAACACCTTTGGCGTGTATGTTCAGGCGTTGAATGAGACGATGGGTGATCTTGAAGGTACAAATACAGGTGGGTGGGTGATGAGGTCGTCAAGCACGGGGGAGGAGCCCCGTTTGAACAAGTGTTTAGGCAAGGCTCGTGGACAGGAAAAACAAGTTTCATCCAAAACGTTAAAAAACCTTCTCACATTAATCAGGGTGGCAATAGATTTGCATACTGCATGCACATCGCTGGAGGGTAAGATCTTACACGGATTTATTATTTTAATCTAAAGACAGCTATGATCGTACATGTTTTGGGTTGAAGCAAAGGTAGATTGTATCGGACTTAATGGCACGTTTCTGTTGGACTTAGAGGCCGTCCATAAATGACGTCACGTGATTTTGGACGATTTTTGACCCCCCCCCCCACGTCAGACCCCCACCCCGCAAATATGGCGTCACAAAGCTCTGCCTCCCCCCCCCAAAAACATGCTTCAAAATCACTTTTAACTATTGTCATTGTAGTGCGTATTTAATCTGGCGCTGCACTGATGTTGTAGGAGAATACATGTATTACAAAGTCTATTTAATTAAATAGAACGTGTTGTCTATAGGTATTTAAAGTTGCGCATTTTGATGTGACGTTAAATTTCTCACCCCCCCCCCCCCCTCTCGTCGCTAAATTTGATTAAACCCATATCTTAAAGGTGTGGTATTTGCCTATAACGTCTGGCAGTGCACCGATGTAAATTCTAGGAAACATGACGCTGAGACGCTGTATGTCAAAACCGGTCCAAAGTTTGCATGGATAGCCCTGGTTAAGTGCTGCAAAAATTATGCACTTTCAGAAAGCCGCGGGCCAATGAGTAATGTAAGAAATACTTTTCTGTATATATATGTACATTTAATGGGGAGGCAGATATTCGAAGGAGACATTTTAACACAAAGGCTTTCGCGACCAAATTATCTATAAGAGAGGTTTCTTCAGGATTCGATTGCGTAAATATAAATGTGTCATTAAACCCGCCACCACCCGACACAGCCAATTTGTTAAGCTTCTCACAATAACAAAGCATGTAAATTCGTTACTAATTCAGCACACCGGTGTGTTGGAGAGTAAGCCCATGTAAATGTTGTGGAGAGTAAACCCATGTAGATTTTGTGGGTTTTCTCTCCTGGTTTAACGACACATTTATATTTACGCGATCTAACCCACAAAAACCTCTCACGAAGGCGACATGTTATCTGCATATCCATCTTGTTCGTTATATTCTCCACAATTACCCAAATTATTATTTGTAGACAGTACTTGGATTAGCGTGACAACCACGTTGTCGTAGGAAGCCACAGGCCTGCGCTCCGTTTGTGAATCGCAACGCAAATCCAATGTTATATTACGCTTCGATGTTCTCCACTTTGTATTTCATACCTACGTGACTTTACCGAAAGAACTAAAGAGTATGGATGCCTGCAGTCACGAAAACTTCAAATCTAGATTGTTCTCCACTTTCACCAACCTGTACTGGCCACCAGCATGGTGAAGTTTAGTCAAACAACCGCCCAATACCCGCACGGCATGGGGAGACCCTTTCACAGAAGTGGATTGACAAAATTATCTGTGTCCATCGAGTATTGTGTGCATTCCATAATAACTGTGGCGCTACCCTTATCATACCGCCTACAGTCATCATCGGTGCGCGACCACAGACAGCGTTTAAACACCATCACGACAGTAGCGGTGCAGTGGGTCACGCACTGCACTCTGAATCTGGAGACCAGAGATCGATTCATGGCCAGTGCTATCTGAACCCATCAGCGGCCAGTGATATCTCAGCCTGTCGTGGGTGGTCGCTTCTCACCAACCCATACTGGTGAAGTATGGTCAAACAACCTATAAAAGATAGGTTCTTAGCTGTGCCTTTCATCATTACTATCTTTATTGCTGCAATATTTAACAAGGTTTGTGTTTTGACTACCCACACACACACAATGGACACAGCCTCTCTACGTATTAATTAAAAAGTTATAAAACTCCCAGAACTATTTCCGTAAATGTTGAAAAGAACATGGCATTTATTTCAAACGTACTTAATGTGTTGTGTAACACATTAGTACACCCAGAAGTAGCTGTCTGCTATTTTCAATGCAACATTTAAGATTGACATTTTCCAAAAGTGAGGACGTGATACCCAAATAATTGAGTCAACCCAGAGTACGAATGGTACCACGTCACAAGGCTTCACCTATCCCATGGTTTGCGCAACCCTCCACGCGGCCGCATGCACGCTTATTTCGAAACACACGCCACACACAATTTATTCGTGAAATAAAAAATAAAAACAGTGATACTGTATTGGCAGTGGTGCACAACACAACAACAAAATGGCATTGTTTACATTCATCCACTATACTGCTTTTAGACGGAAACATAAATGGGTATCATGTGGCATTTTAGGCATTGATCCTTCTGCTGTCTGCTATGAATGAAACGTAAACCAATTAAAAAGCCGTTAAACAAATAAAAGTAAGGGCCCTATATAGGCCCAGTACGTTTATATAACCTCCCAGCTCCTTCACCGACTCAGCCGACACCGCAGGCTTTGCGGACACAAGGCTGGTGGGGAATGGGAGCCGTGGCTTAGATATATCGGTCGCCGATATATCTATGTTGATCCTCCTCTCGATGACTAGTACCTGACTGGCACCAGTTCTCCTACCCAGTACAGCCACTGAGGTGTAAATGCTCACATGCTTCTTTGCCACATCAAGGAAGTGCCCCACGGAAGAAGATTAATTATGAACATAATAATGAATATTTCTTTTGCAATGATTCTTACCTGCCTAATTATTCCGAAAATGAACACGATGGATTCAAGTTCCCTTCCGTATGCTCCTAAAAGGCTCAAGACCTCTGGTTTTGTCGGAATGCACATTCCGCACATTTTAATCAGCTGGGGCTCAAAATGCGTGAAGGAATGTTTGCGCATTTTTATACGTATTTGTTATATTTCCAATGTGCAACATATTAAGCACTCGTAATATATATACTTATACGTTGCTTGCCCTCCGGCAGCAAAATAAAGTACAGGGTGATCCATTTATAGAAACTCCAATGATGTCGACTAACCTCTGACTTCTTTCTAAACACTTTGTCCAGCTCAAACAGCTGCGTTTCACAAAGTGTGTCACAGGAGTGTCAAAAGATTGAATGCGTACATCGAGATCGGTGGGTGACGCGTACAGCCTTTAGAAAATATGTTGCATTTTCTATAATAAAAGCCATATTATTTTAGTGGTGTGGTATCTATGAATGGCATTTGAAACAAAGGTGTAAGTTTATAAAATCCCCTCTTGCCTCTGTCCATCCAACAATGTAAATGGACACAATCGCAATGACTCAATCGCCAGGCCGCAGTTATTTCAGACTTCTGCTAACCAACCTTTGATTGAACACACAAACTCTGGGGAGCAGTTTCGCCCTCCTTTAGGCTCATCATCACTGGTAAAGTGCCCTCTTTGCGCACCTTTAATATAACAGCCGTTCCTCCAAACCGACAAACACGGCAGTGGTTCGCACACCGTGCCACGGACTTAGCAAGCCGAGTTCGATTCCCAGCCGTGGTGACCGCCAGATGTGGGTGAAGTCTGAACCTTGTCCTGGCCACCGACCCCCTTCGCCAACTCAAAACTCGAGTTGACCAGCGCGGCTGAATATACTCAAATTACTCCTGTGACTGACATGACGTGGGGAGGGGTCCTTCATTCAGCAATGGATTGACAAAGGGCCGTAAATGTCAGCTGTGCCTTTGAATTTGGAAAGCTTTGTGATTTTATTTAGTTTTTCTACAGTTTTCGAGGGGTATGCTTCTTAGGCTACCCGGTTAGGTGTGTGGGGGAGCAACAGCTTCTCCATTCCTGTTTTCCCACATTATTCAGTGTGATGACGTGGTGTGGTGTGAGCTTAGTTCGCAAGGGGCACAGAGGAGCGTGGCAATTTTCTTTTCTTTAAAGCAGCGAGTTTAAGACATTGTAGGCTGGCGGCCTCAGATGTACCACGCGAGGCGCAGGTCAGAAACAATATCGCGGAGAAATGTTGCTCACGACAGCGTTCAAATTGGCGCATGTGACTCTCAGATAAAACAAGAATTCAGCCTTGCACAACTCTCAGCCCGGCATAACCATTTTAACAACAAGTTGAGTGAAATTCGTAGGCAGCAACCAGTGCTCATATTCTCAAGAAATATTTACATGGAGACCCCAATCCCCAACGAAGGGAAGGTGGGAGGGGGGGTGGGTACGATGCAGCGAATAACCAAATCGAGAAATGTCGCCAAAACTCGGAAGCGAAGCAGGCACGACTCTGGATAGCGCTTAGACGGGACGACCGCCGTGCATGGCCGGGTTGTCATAGGCAGCTGCGGGGGTGGAGAACATTGCAAAAAGATTTCAACGTGAAACGCTCCCCGCCTCCACGAAGCCGAACTGTCTGGCGTGGTGAAGTATTATCAAATAACCGCCACGGCCCACGCATCTCAGGGGAGGCCCTCGTCCACCAGCAGATTGAGAAAAGGGACTTCGCGTGCACACGCACAGGCGGTCCTAGAAGGGATATGTCTGGGGCGTGGTGGGTCACATTTGAAGTTCAGCACTGTGGAAAACCGGCTTGGTGAATCATCCCGGAATGATCACTCGTGAAACTCTAAACCTCCAGGGCTATGAGGGCGTGGTGGTGCATGTCACTCAGGGGAGCACCGCAAAGAGCTTTGCTTCGCCTCCATTTGTATGGCAGCAATGGCAACGTCACGTCAAGGCGAGCGAGCCAGGAGTAGCCTGGTGAGTGCCTGACCTGTCGGCAAAGGATTGGAATGTCATCGCTGCTTGCCGAGTGGGTTTTCTCCTCGTACTCTGGCATCCCATACGTACCGTCAGGCCACGTGGCGAGCAACTAGCAAGTACAAGCCCTTTTATCCTTCGCCAAAAGTCGTCTTCCCTCGTCGCCACTGCCTTTCAAGCGTTCCATTTCCTTTGGTCAACGTCCACGTTTCTGCTCAATTTGTCACAGCGCGTAATGGTAATTACATGCTGGCTATAAACGTGTTCTTTTATCGGCCACAAAAAAGAAACGCAAAATCGTAAAGGTTGGCTGCGTCGAAAAGCAAGTGTGCTTGGGTATTACACGCCACTGGAATGGATCATGGCTGGTGGTCAAGACTCATGATGGAGCAGCTGACAAAGGAGGGATCAAACTCGAGAGCAAAACGTCAGATAACCCAAACACATTTCGGAGATCGAAAGAACCAAACCGCGAAAGCCTACACAGCCTATTTGACCATTCTTCAACAAGCTTCTCAGTGTGTGTGTCGATGAAGGTGGGAAGCATCGACAAGAGAGCATAGAGAGCACAGTAGAACAAGGGATTTGACATCGTTATTTTAGATTTGAAGCTTTCGTGACTGCAAGGATTCATATTCTTGGGTTTTTTTCCGGTAAAGTCACGTAGGTTAAAAATTTTAATTAATAAAAGTAAAATAAAATAAAAAATAAAAATCACGACGTTTCGGAGGCAACACAAGCTTCCGCCTCCGAAACGTCGTGATTTTTATTTTTACTTTATTTTACTTTTATTAATTTTAATTTTTTACCTACGTGACTTTACCGAAAAAACCTAAGAATATCGTTATTTTACTCCCATGCCAACGACAAAGCAGTCGTTATTTGGAGCCGCAACAGCGTGCTGGGGGTTAAAACCCGCGTGGCAGGTGTAAGTAATAAGCCACGTTGATGTGCACCTCACTCACGAAAGAGGTGCTTTGAGAAATGCAACCGAACCTGTCTGAGCCGCACCCTGTGGCTCTCTCCACATTGGAGGCGTCATGCGTCGTCAATGCGAACCATCGAGTTTTGTCGACCCCTTGTCCGGTAACACCATCTCTGGCATTTCCAGGCAACCGCCTTTTTGTGTGTGGGTTATTCTCTTTGTCACAGGGACACACAACGGGCGAAGCGGTGTTTTGGTCAAACGTGCGCGTGGAATTGGGCACTCTTAGCGGTGGGTTTATGGTCAAATCAGCGGAAATTCGCCTCCTCTCGGAAGATGAGTTTGGGAATGGGCCCGGAGATTGCTGGGATGGGTCGGGCATCACCAAATGCTCACAGGTCACGTGTGTAATAGGCATTGCGGGCAGCACAGCGCCCTGCATAAAAAAAACTATTGTTGTCCTACATTCTATGTTCAGCAATGTGCGCTGGTGAAGTATGGTCATCGCGGGGAGGGGGGGGACTCATACAGCAGTGGTTTGACAAAGAGGCTTCTATAGGTATGTCTAGAATTTTCAGCATCAGGTTGTTATTTTTATCTGACATAATGAGGTAATTAACTTTTTATTTTTAATGGCCCAATAACAATTCCATTTAACAACTGAGTGCATCATTATAATCGTTGTCATAATTATCATCGATATCCTCAATCGCTGACCGAAAATGTTTGAGGAGTCCGTCTAAAGCTTTGTGTGTGCGTGTTCTCTGGTAAGGTAAAACAAGTTGAGGTGGGAAATCCATCAGTGGATTTACAACTCGAGAAGGTAAATGCATGAATACACTGCTGAAATGTGGTTGCTGTAACTTTTTAACAAGACATTTTACATATCTGTCAACTCCTTATCAGTGCCTATCTTGTTACAGACCAATTCAGAACGTATTGGTCGACCCGTGCCCCTTATACATCTCAGTGTTCAACCTACAAAGTCCCATCACAAGGGAGAAACACAAACAAATGGAGGGTTACAACACATTTATAAATAACGCGATCTAAACCCAAAAACGGTGATTATGAAAAAACAAAAATATGTCCGTATTGAAACGGCTGTACACCGTCTCGACCTGACAACTCAATTTCCCTGTACAAGAATACGGATAAACTGTATGGATTGACAGCTATGATTTTATGTTATCAGATATTCCATCACTTTAATCCGAGCTATCATGGACATGGGGGTACAGTGGTGGCAGGGTGCCTCTGTGAACACGGTCCTAGTCACGGCTGACATCAGTGGCAAGTGACGTCCAAACCAGTCCTGGGACTGTGTAGAAGAGTAATCGAGAGTAACCAAGATATAACAATATTTAGCAAATCGGCCAATAGAATTATCTTGAAGCTTACAATCGTACAATATGTCGGAGTACCGATATCTCGTGGCAATCCTAGTCACAGCGGAACAATTCTTGCAACATCAGATATCCAAACGTAAGTTTTTTTTGGCACAAAGGCAAGCTTGTGTGTGTGCTGGCATTTGACTCACAGTTGTTGTCTTGATGTCATGTTGCAACAGAGAAGAAACGCTGCGTCCCTCAGCATGGAGCATTGTGTGCCAGGTGCAGTGAGTCCACACTGTGCTGAAGGGTGGACTATGAGAAGAGGTAACAGCCCACACGAATTCAGTTCCTGAGGACGCTCCCAGCGTGTGGCACGAAACGTCGGACATCATGCCAAACAAGATGGTGTACAACCCAAAACCACAATGGAGAGCTCACCTGCAAGGTTCACACAAGACCAATGCCCCTGGACATTTTCTTGGGTGCGAAATGTGCACATTAGCGTTCTGTATTCTACAGAACTCGCATCCATTAAGAACGCTTTGGCTTTAAAATAAAACAAATATACCAGGAAACATTTTGGGCAAATGCCCTACTTTACAACACATTTAAAGAGTTCATAATTAAAGCCAATTGCCCTTCTTCGTAGCACATGTATGTGCTTTCATGAATGATTGTGTACCTTAATGAAAGTCCTAGAATACTAGCAGCATAAAGTGTGATAAAGTGTTGTTTCATGTGTGATGGCAAATATCCGTCTTTTCAGGTGTGAATACCGGGTTTTCACCTCTCATTGATAATGCTGTTACGTTAGCATCACGTGCATATATTAACATTACAGGTGATTTATGGATTATAACACGTACTTTCGATGACTACTCTTTACGTGTCCACATTACTGGAACCTTGCATGACATCTCCACATCATGAAAAGTACTCTACTTACACAACATCGCTGCGATAATAACACACGTTTTAACATATTCTTAGCCAATGCATTCTATCAGTCACGTTCACATGTTTTTTTAAATCCTTTATATTAAGTTCACTTGCTTGCTTACTTGCGCGCTTACGACCGTGCAAATCTTTCGGTCGTTTTTTAACCCACTTCCCGTGATCAAATCGAGCTGACATTTTGCACACAGACTCGTTGTGCGTGACAATTTATTTTCGTGAAATTTTTTTTCCATAACTTTACACTTTTTAGGAAAAAAAATTATATTTCATTACCAATTGCTTAATGGTGGCAGGCAATCATCTGACCCATAGGTGGCAGCCATCTCAAGCCAGAGGACAAGAGGACTCTAGCCGCCACGCATATAAAGAATTTATAGTGAAAAACTTTGTTTTTACGGGTTAATTTTTTTGCCCATGATGTGCAGTGAGCCTGCACATTATGCTAAGTTCTAACGTCATCTTTTCTAAAAGCAGCGCGCAGTCTGAGAGAACATCACCCGTATCGAAATCGTAACCTATTTAAAAGTACGCTATTTTCTATGTCAACGGTTCCAGAGCTGTGTGGTCCTTGGAGAACCGGTGGTCCACAAGGCTGTGGGGAGTGGTCCGGGGAACTGTTTGAGACGATTTCGAGTAGATTTCATTCAGAAAAGTGCGTTATTTGTTTGCACGGTGGTCTTCTAAAAATGGCGTGAGGATTGATAGAGGTCCGTGGGTCCAGAAAGTTTGAGAAGCGGCGTTCTAGGTTAACTTGTTTAAGATAAGTCAGCTCTCTGAGTGAACCCAAATAATCCCGAGAATCAGTTGCACATAAAACAAAATAGATCATTGAATTGTGGGGGTAGCATACGAAATTTATTCATAAATTCACTGAACATAATCACCAATTCATGCAAGATATTTCATTATACACACATCAGATTTGCTCTACTTCATTATGTGCATCACGTAAAATCATCACCTATACACAGACAGCATATATATATGTAGTTTAGAGTGTGGGTATACAATGGACCACACGTTGGGGGGGATTCTTTTTTCGACATGACTAATGATCTGACAAAAGCACATTATGACAATAGCTCTCTGGCACGAGTGCATCAAACTTGGAAGCGGGCAATGTATTCAAGCGTTGGCATGAATGCGTTGCCAGGTGTTTCCAGTTTTTAACCGAGAAAAACGCACCGATCAACAACCGTTCCGTTACGGCCATTAAGCATCGAAGTCACGAATGGTCAGCAGGGTAAACAGCACGCGGTTTGGTTGTGAAGGCCAACAGCGGTATTGCAGATGCTGAAGGGTCAAGGCGAGGTGAGGTTGCCTGCGACAACGAAACTGGCAATAGCGATTGAACGAGCATATCCCCTTTTCCACTGACACATCCGAGCCGAGGCAGTGCCAAATCCTCAAGGTACGGGTGGTTTTTGTTCCACTGGCTATTTATCGAGAAGAGGTCTGAGTGACAGCTTTTAAAAGCACCAACGTTAGTGGCTGATTTCATAGGTAACGACGTGCTGAGCAGAAGGCAAATGAAGGCGATACGACCGCGTAGGTTTTTCCTTATTGCGCCGTCCGACTCTCTGATGTGGTTTTTTTTCAAGGTTATACCGCGTGTCGTTTGGCAGAGATGCCTTGACGCTTCACTCCACGTGAAGTGAGGAATTTGTGAAGTTCCTGGAAGAAGCTCGCAATGCGTGCAGTGAAACATCAGGTATCGTGCCGAATTATACGCGGTTACCAGCCGGAAACACATCGGAGAGCTATCGATGAGGGTAAAGTTATTTATTACTTTGTACACTTTTCAACGTAACTCGATACGGTCGATACGGTCCCTTGCGTTTTACGGGAAACTGTCAATGTCGGAGCTGTGTAAGTTTTGATCGCCGTGCCTTCGACAGCTCAGATGAAACACCTGCTCCGAATTATATTCTTCTAACCAGAGGCATGCAGACGCCGAGGTCCGTGATCATTTTAGACACAACAGTGGCGGTTCGTCCACTCGGGGCGTGGGGGCGCCGCCCCAACCAAGCAGCTGGAGATGAGAAATTATTTTTCTAATAAAAAATAAACTTTTGGATAAAGTTTTGTCGTGTTTAAAAAAAAAAGTTAATATAATGATTCTTTCAACGTGAATTACCTAATGAAGATAACATTTTAGGTTGCTCGTATCAGAAAACGCTGCGACACCACAGTCTGATTTGTGCCTTGTGGAGGTCTCGGGGTGGCCGAGTGAGAGATTTCTCTTCGTTCATTGCGATTAGCTTCTAGCATTGTAGCCACGCCGTCAGAGACCCATTCAGGGCGGTTGAAAAAGGCGCCCATGGCTGTAATGAGACGATGTCACAACGCGAGGTTGCGCTGTGCAAGTATAGCAGGTCACGGCCTGCACGCTCTAGGAGGCAGTGTGAAAGGGGTTGTGGAGTGTGCACTTGAGAGGCATGGAGACAGCATTTGAGTGCTTTGTTATTTTGTTTCGTATTGTTTATAAATGCCTACCGTTGGTAGATAAGACAGTTATATCACTTTCACGGGAAGGTCATTAAGATGACGATGTTTTTGTTAATTAGACCACCATATTATCAGAGGCCACTCACAACAGCCCCACCTCGTGGAAACGTCACGAGCCGCCACTGCCTGAGCACAGACTTTTGCAACGTGTTGTAGAACTTCTTTCGCACCGTACGTAGCCAACCGTGCTCCTCGGAGGTAATGAATATCCCCTATTGTAGTTTACCCAAATACAGATTCATTTATAATCCCGAGTATGATTAAATCAGTATATTTTTACGACCAAAAACCTTTAACGTAAAAAAACGAGAGAAAATGTGTGAGGGTGGCTGAGCTTCCTGGGGATATAACGGACGATGTTTGGATGTTTGGGGAAAGCGTGGGTTATGAAATGGGAAGGTGTGAGTTCCATAAACAGGGGTTGGTGTTTCTGCAAAACCATAACGTAGAGCAGGGGTCAGGTTTAATCAGCAGGTTCCACCGATGTGTACTTACAGCCCTTTCGACAATTCACTTCTGAAAGAGGCCCTTCCAATGCTGTGCTGGTCATAGGAGCCGTTTCACCAGACGTCAGCACACTGCTCAGTGCAGGTTGGTGAAGGAGGGGGAACATAGAAGTACAGTACAGCTACGGGTTTAGTCATTTTGTTAGAAGACTTCAGTATTATTGTATTTCAGAAGGGTTGTGTGTAGCTTTAAGGTTCACGTATTGAGATTGATGTGCAAAGAGTGTGTCAGTTCAGATCCAGATGATTAAGAGTGTCGGAGTTCGTGTGTGTTGCGGTGTATTTTGATTCACATGCGGGTTTTTTTGTTGTTGCAAGGCTCTTTTATGCCAACAGCAGACACAGAGATGGCAACACCATCACAGCCACCAGCGTTTTTACGGCCATATGCAGACCTTGGGCAGCTGTACAAAACGGCACATAAAAAACAGTAGGGCACGGATCAATATTATAGTACATTCTGCAATGGCAATGGTGCATAGGAATATTTAACCCAAAAAACTCAAACCATTCGTGAATAACACTGCCTTAAAAATAAGTATTTCAGGCAATGTTTTGGGCAACGCCCCTTTGTTCTTCGCTACATGCTGTGCAAAAGGGCCCATTGCCTGAAACGTCGACTTCTTATATACGTTTTCCTTTGAAGGCTAAAGTGTTATTAACGAATGTGTTTTTTTATTCGCATACAGGGGTCTGGGTTCTTATACTGAATGAAAAGTAGCATACACCCCTCATTTACACAACCACAGTCAAACTTAGTATATTCTAACCGTGAATGTCAACTCTAGCAAGAACGTATAGTGCGAAATGTCGGACTAATATTTTTCAACCAAGGCCTGGCAGACCCCTAAATGTTTAGAGGGATGCTGTACAGAGTCTGTAAAGTGACAATGGAAAATAATGCAGTCGTATTAACTTTCGGTGCTTTGTCAATTCATTGCTGGATGACGGGGTTTGTTTGAACGTACTTCACCATTAGTGTCATTTGGTGAAGTGAGGGTTCCCAAGGACTGCCACTGATGTTAGCCATAGCCAGTAAATTGCGGCTGGGAATCGAAGTCAGACGGATGGGTTCATAGACAGCACGGTGCGCTAAACACTGCTCTACCATACTCTTTGGTTCTTTCGGTAAAGTCACGTACTGTAGTTAGAAATAGAATAAAACATATCACGACGTTTCGATCGCAACATCAGGCAAAGGTGATGATCGCTTGTGTTGCGATCGAAACGTCGTGATTTGTTTTATTTTATTTCTAACCACGTGACTTTACTGAAAGAACCAAAGAGTATGGATTCCTGCAGTCACGAAAGCTTCAAATCAAGACTGCGCTACCGCTCGACCAAATCTTTCCGCCTCGTCTTATCCGTACGTTCATAATCAACGTTTTTGGGTTTAGATCACGTTATTTATAAATGTGTCGTAACCCTCCACCACCCGACACGGCCAATCAGTAAAAAAGTGGAGGGTTACGACACATTTTTAAATAAACCCAAAAACGTTGATTATGAATAACATTGGTTGCGAAAGCCTACGTGTTAAACTTATCCGTACGTACAAACAAGATACATCATGCAAACGCATGGTTTCTTTACCGCTTTCCGACATGCATTTGTCCTTGGAAATATTTAATCAGTGCATGACGTGCGGCCTTATCTTGTGACATCGCACGTGACATCATCAGAAAGGAAGGCGAGAGCATGGCATTTGACATTGCCGTTTTGGTTAAAATACAAGTTTACATTAAGATATTCTTAGGTTTTTTTTGGTAAAGACACGTAGGTAAAAAAATTAAATTAATAGAAGTAAAAAGCTTGTGTTGCCTCCGAAACGTCGTGATTTTTATTTTATTTTTATTTAACTTTTATTCATTCTAATTAATTTTTTTTACCTATGTGACTTTACCGAAAAAACCTAAGAATATGAATCCTTGCAGTCACGAAAGCTTCAAATCTAGAATTTACATTAAGATTTAGGTTACATTGGATCAACTTCACGAGAGTTATGGCTCCCCCCTCCCACCCCACCCTTCTACTGACAAAAAAGAGAGATGGGCAGACAGAGCAAATAAATTATTAACATACTCTTAGTTCTTTCGGTAAAGTCACGTAGTTAAAAAATAAAGTAAAATTAATAAAAATAAAACAATAAAAATCACGACGTTTTGGAGGCAACACAAGCTTCCGTCTTCAGGTGAAATCACGACGTTTCGGAGGCAACACAAGCTTCCGACTTCAGGTGAAGACGGAAGCAACACAAGCTTCCGTCTTCAGGTGAAGACGGAAGCTTGTGTTGCCTCCGAAACGTCGTGATTTTTATTGTTTTATTTTAATTAATTTTTATTTCATTTTTTACCTACGTGACTTTACCGAAAGAACTAAGAGTATGAATCCTTGCAGTCACGAAAGCTTCAAATCTAGAAGGGATTATTGACACCTTAAACATCGACGGTCGGCGGTACTGACCTGCGACCGCAGAGGGTGGTACGTTGACGAGTCCAGGGCCGGCCGAGGGTAGGATGATGTACGTGAGAAACGTGTTCGGAAAGCGGGTGCTCAGGATGTCCCGAGCAGCCGGGCTCAGGGAGTTGTACTGCTGGGTGGTGATGGACATCAAACTCGAGAATCCAAGTGCTCTAATTGTCTCCGGGCTGAGAGCCTGCACCAGGCAGAGGATGCGGGGAGGATCGAGGCGCATGGCGAATGATTTACCGTGTGAAGTATGAGGTGGGGTAGCCAGATGTTAAAAGTGGTTTGAAAAGGTGGCACACATTTTTATATGGAGTACTCTTGCCAATGACATCTGGCAATCGAGTAGCATTTGCTTGACAGGCCTTCTGATGAAACCCAGTAGCTCGTCTGAGAATTCGCTTGCTTAAACTCACGCCACTTCATAATATTAGTCGAGAAAGCCGATATAGAATTGTGGATTCGTTTTTTTATTATTATTTATAGGTGGAGAGAGAATATGAGTTATACTTTTATTTCATTTTATTCAGAGTTTAGGAGGGTATTCATTATTCTCGGATTATGCTCTTGCCCATATGCTGATGTAATGTTTTAAGCGGATGCATGCGTTACCGAAAACACTTCTAGCGGGATGAGAGGGATGGCCGCTGGTTTAATCTCAGCTTTCTGTGCCAACGTCAAGTTGTTGATGTCGTCAGCGCTTGCTCCAGCTGTGAATGAACGGAGAAAATGTGAGTGGGTAGGCGGGGAGGTTGAGGAACAACATAACCTAAAATGTGTAACAATTGAGCAAAATGACGATTGTTATTGTTATGCTCAAAATACACACGTAAAATCTAGCCTGCAACAATGGATGTTTACAATTTCTAATAACAAGCAAAGGCACAGGAGTAACATTTGAATGCAATTTAAATGAATTGTAACACCTTCTTCTTGGTTCTTTCGGTAAAGTCACGTAGAATGGAAAAAAATAATAGTAATAAAACATAATAAAATAATTCTCACGACGTTTCAGCCACAACACAAGCAGCCGTCCTCAGGTGAAGAACAGGTCTGTCACCTGAGGACGGCTGTTTGCGTTGTGGCCGAAACGTCGTGAGAATTATTTTATGTTTTATTTTTATTATTTTATTATTTCCATTCTACGTGACTTTACCGAAAGAACCAAGAAGATGAATCCCTGCAGTCACGAAAGCTTTAAATCGAATTGTAACACATTCGGGAGCACACATTAGACGACATTCAAAGTGTAATATTGAAATCTCAGAGCTGGTTTTAGCCACATTAAGTGCAAAAACAAATTTGTTGGTCACGTGTTATTTCCGTGGAGTCTTTAAAGTATTCTTCTCCAGAACCCAGTTTAATCCTGGGTGGCTAACCATCTTCAACCATTAGATATCAACAGTGACAGCTCAGCATTATGACCCGAGCCGTCAACGTAGATAACTGATTCAAACGATTCTTCAAAAAACAGTACACTATTCGCAAGCTTACTGGAAATTGAAGCGCTGAGTCAGATTAGTGCTACAGGTGTCGTTCATCGTGAAGCATGATTGCTGAGCGAGAGAAACAGAAATTCTTTAAACACTGCCTCTGGAGTGCAGCCTGGCAAATCACTGCCTCTGACAAAGATCCGATGGAATGACACTGTCTGACCAGGATCGAAGTTGATCGGGTTTTTTTTATGTGCCAATCCCTGCGCTCTATCTCATGCCACTCTTTAGAGACGATGTAGTTAAAAACCTGATCAGTTTTGATGAGTTAGTATGTTATTAAAACTTTATGCTGCAGCCCTGCAATTAATTGCTCACGTCACTGCTGTTGGAAGGGCCTCCGAGAGAGGGAGCTTTATGGAGCCCTCGCGAGGAATTTTGGCCTACTCTTCCACCCTGACCAGACATTTACCCCACCACACGCAACCTGCCAATCAGCTAACCGTGGCGTGCCCATTTATACCACCCAGAAATCGAATCGAACCTGCGGCCTCTGGATTGCAAGTCACGGTTGATGACCATCAACCCACACCAGCATCCATTATCCTTTGTCGGAAAAGAATGCAATTTCTAAAACCTGTTGTGCGTACAAACCAGAGTGGTAATCATTTCAAAATCTTTCAAATATTGAAGACGAGGTGGTTTTCTAACCTGTTTGTGGCAATGTGAAAGAGCAAACACGTAATATCTCGGTCACTCTCACTGTCGGCGGAAAGGCCTCCGCTAGACTAGAGGGAGCTCTGGAGAGCCCTTATAGAATTGAAACGCACCGACAATCGTTCCCAACTGTGAGATGGTCCCAGTTGCCCATTGTGAAGGGGTCCTTTGGAATGAGTCATTCGCTTTTTTCCAGAGTGTCCGGAGCTGAGGAAGGCTGTACTTGTCAATGCTTCCAAGTGCCTCTGCTGCGTCCCTACACGACGGGTGCCCCACATGATAATAACACATCATCATCATCACGATTGCTTTCAATACTACCAACACTTTCACCACCACCATCATCACAATTACCATCGTCTTCACCACCACCACGCCAGCCACCATCATCATCATCAGGATCCTCATTCACCACTCTCACTGTAACCGCCATTTTTTCTACTTGTGCTATAATTTAGAGTATATAAAAAAACACAATTATACATGTAAAAGGTGCGCGGATGTTGTTAAGTGCAGGGATTCACTTGAAGGCTGCAGGATCCAAAATTGAAAGGTCCGAGAGACCGGTCACGAAAACGCCGAGAGACCTAAGGTCGGTTGCCGTCAATCCAGCTATGGTTTTCCCATTCATGAAATTTTTCGTTACGGCCTGGATCTGCGAGGAGAAAAAAAACAGTCAACAGATCGCTCTGCTTTCAAAATGTGCATAACGATGTAATGCGCCTTATTTAAGGCAGGTTAGATTCAAGATACAAAATAGGTCTATGTTATAACGATTATATGGCATGATATGTAATTATGTATATCTACGTATACGTTATATATTTGAATATGCAGCACAATGTTACAAATCTGACTCCCTGCGATATGAGGTATAGGCGGATATGTGAAATGTTCAGATATGTAAACATTAATACAAAATGACAATTACACATAAACAAATGGGTTAATGAACAAAAACAAACCCGATCAACAAGAGCAGCATCACCACTAGCAGCGCCAATGCCATCATCACAATAAACAGAAAAACCACCACTAAAACCATTAGCAGCAGCACTACCACCACTACCACCACTACCACCGCCAACAGCAGCAACATAAACACAACCATCATCAACAACATTAGCAGCAACATCGTTACAATCACCAACACCAACAGTAGTAGCACCACTGCAACCACCACCAATAGTAGCAACGCAATCGTCTTGACCATAACTACAAACGGCAGCACCAACACCATCGCCATCCATGAGCAGCAACCATCCACAAGTGCAGAACAACAGCACCACCAACAGCAGTGCCAATACCATCAATAGCAGAAGCAGCAGTAGCACCACCACCATCATAACAGCATTACCATCAATAGCAGAAGCAGCGAATAATTCACAGCTACCACCAATCGTGAGCACGACCATTAACAACATCGGCAGCTTATGCCACTATCGCTGGCAGCACCGCGATCACGGTACCTGGTCTGCGCTCCAACCCTGCGTCTTGGAAAGTTTCCCCACCAAGTCGATGCTGCTGAGGTCAAGCTCCTGGATCTCGGCAGGAGTGAACGCCAATGCCAAGTTGCCGATGTTGGCCAACGTGTCCGTGGATGTCGGCCACTTGAACACCTGTTGGAAGAAAAAGCGAGAAGGTCGCGGGCCTCTTCGTGCGCACGTATGATCCGTGGGGGTCATCTGGCCGCTCTTCGAAACGCCCATCAGTAGCGAGTTGTGGGGCAATAGTACAATGGAATTTTTCCATAATACAGGGTTTTTGTTGGGTTAGATGGCGAAAATATAAATGTGGTGTCGTTAAACTCGCCACCACCCGACAAAGCCAATTGGTAAGGTTTGTCACGTAAATAAAACAGGCCAATGCGTTCCGAGTACAGCACACCGGTGTGTTGGAGAGCAAATACACCACATTTACAGTCTGAGTACGACGTTTCGCCAGTAATTACAACCGACATCATCAGGCGGCAGCAAATAAATCCTCCTGTTTCGTTCCTTAGAGTGATAGATGGGATGACGTCAATTGTGAGCCCATCTTGTGCGAAGTGGGCGGGGGGGGGGGTTAATGAATGCACATAAATTACAATGGGTAAGCATTACCGATTGGGTTATTCATATGGTAATCAACGGACATTATGCATGCAAATGTGTGCATGTGCAGTGACGTTATACAGATCACTACGGCGCTTTGCGTTGTGTGTGTTGTGGAGATAACTAGCAGGGTACAGTACCATGCACGTGACGGGCATTGGTGAGGCATAGGGGCACGTGAGGACAAGTCGGGTTAGGGGCCATCCATAAATGACGTCACGCGATTTTGGACAATTTTTGACCTCCCCCCCCCCTCGTCACACGGCGTCACAAAAAGTCAGACCCCCCCTAAAATATGACGTCACAAAGCTCTGCTCCCGCCCCCCCAAACAATAGTTCCATTTTGAAAATAAAACATTCTTCAAATCGCTTTAAACTATTGTCATTGTAGTGCGTATTTAATGTGGCGCTGCACTCTGATGTTGTAGGAGAAAACACGTATTAAAAAGGAGGCGTTGGAAAGCTGAAATTTAGCATAAAATGCACTTGAAAATATTCAACGTCTAACTAAAACGGCAGATGTTCAGAATATTATATTGAAATTATCTCATAATTATAAATATTAAAAGTAATTATACCTATTGAAAAATACTTGAAACGTTGTAGTAGAACGAAGCAAAATGTAGAGTACAATTATAACAATCATATATTCATTACACAGAATGAAAAGCCCTGGTAGAATCATTAGAATCAAAATGTTTAATAACAATCATGAAAAAAATGTTCTAAATGTATGCTTCTCCATTCTCCCATGGAGAAACAAAATTCTCCTTCATGGAATAAATAAAAGGTGACCTTAGTAAATTTTAATAATCAAATAGTTAATAACGAAAATGTATCAAAATTACTGTTGATAATTGTTTTTTTACCCTTTTATCTGGCAACAAAACTGACACCTTTTTTTACGAGGAGTCATGTTTGCATAGACCACAATACCTGCAGCCATAATGCAAACTAAAAACACAACTCTAATAATGTATGCACTGTCCTTGAAGTTGATTGGTCCACAACCGAGACAGCTTTCCTTAGAGCCTAGTCCAGGGGTCGGCAACCAAAATAACAAAAAGAGCCATTTCTTTCCAATTCGGTACAAAATTCAGTATTTCAAGAGCCGCAATGCATCTGAGTACATACTGTACATACGTACATATCGTCAAGAAGCAGCCCGTAAAGAGCCGCATGCGGCTCCGGAGCCATAGGTTGCCGACCCCTGGCCTAGTCTCACAGGGGTAGGACCAGATGACGTCAAAAGGCGCACAACTCAAAGAGAATCCTGTTCGTCACCTGGGGCTGCGCTCTCGACGTCGTGGGTCAACAGCACGAGGGCTGCTCTGACCAGAGATAGTTATCCCGTCCGAAGTGGTTTAGGGGCCGTCCATAAATGACGTCACGCGATTTTGGACGATTTTTTACTCCCCACCCCCTCGTCACACGGCGTCACAAAAATCAGACCCCCCCTCAAATATGACGTCACAAAGCTCTGCCCCCCCCCCCAAATAAAACATGCTTCAAATCGCTTTAAACTATTGTCATTGTAGTGCGTATTTAATGTGGCGCTGCACTCTGATGTAGGAGAAAATGTTTATTAAAAAGTCTATTTAATTAAGTAAAACGTGTTGTCTATCGTCACAAATGTCTGAACCCCCCCCCCCCTAGGTGCGTGACGTCATTTATGAACGGCCCCTTGACAGCACGAGGGCTCTTACTATAGTACTATACCGCCTTCAAATTTTATGAACGACTGGGTGTTTAAGGTTAGCGATTTTCCGTATTATTTGACTGTATAGAAAATGAAAAAATTACAATTCACTATGCAAGGAAAACATTTGTGTTTTAATATTTACGTGTTTTTATTATTATTTATGACCCCTTTATAACATATGCTACAGGCCCCGCAGTAGCTTCATCCGGCACTGGTGATAACCTGTGCTTTGCATGGTAGTCGTCGTGCTTCCAAGCGCTAACCGGGCTGAACACGACTCCGCTTTCCGAGTTCTGACGGGATGGGCCGCATTCAGGGTGATTTGGTCACAGGCAAGGTGGGACAATGTTTCCCAGAAAAGTGTAAACATGTACGATGATGACACATTGGGAAGGACTTAATAAAATCATATCCAATTGTATGTCACTGTCTAAATGTAGTAGTATATTTGGTATTGATATATATTATGCCTCTCATTTCAGCATCAGTTCCTTTGAACACAGGCATTGATGTGCTGCCAGGGCCATTATTTGCAAATTCTAAACATAAATGCTTTAAAGCGTAATAAAATCACTAGAATAAATACCGGTTCATTTAAGTTAATTGTACCGTTTTTAATAATAATAAAAACTCATACTTCTGCACCCTTTATAGCCCCGCCCCGTTTTACATAGCCATGCCCATTATGCTACTATCCCAACCCACACAGCAAGGCACCTCTATCTAATGGGGAACTGTGGTGGCGAGATGTTAACTACCTCGCCTGGTATGCAGGAGGTCGTGGCTTCGATCCCGACCCTGATGCCTGTACACGTATTTGGAGTTTGCATGTTCTCCCCGTGGTCACGTGGATTTTTCTCCGGGTCCTCCGGTTTTTCCCTCCACATTTGTAAACATGCGTTTTTGAGTAATTTGCTGCTATTAATTGCCACTTCACTGAGCTATCATTTGTGGCCAGGTCGCTTCTGAAAAAGAACTATATATATAGCTCAGTGGGCCTTATCTGGTAAAATAAAACGTTTTGTTTTAGTTTTGTTTATGTTGGCTCCACCTGTTTCTTTTCGGTCCCAACCACTCGCATATCAACCGCCACCTTTGCCCATATTAGGAGTCGAACATAAAGCCATGTATTTTATTTTAAGTGGAAAAAAACATCCTAAGTTTAACAAAATATTCGGGTCGCTGGGACAGTCATTTTAAAATCACCAGCACTCTCTCAACCAAACCGGGACGCTACTCTTTGTAAAACTTCACAAGCCCTCGTTTGCATTGTTTTGCTTGCACACTAGGATTACCTGGTTTTTAAATGAATCTATTAACAACCAAGTTTCCCTTGAAAAATATATTGTTCTTTGGTCTCATTGTGATCTTAATAACAACAGCTATCTTCTTATACAATCATTGGGCTCTTATCTAACTACAAACAAAGACCATCTATGATGTGGTACAAGTTTAAGTAAGGCAATTGTCAGAGTGGCAAAAATCATTTTCAATGCACCGCCTCTTCATATCTGATCTTGTCTGACTACATTCCACTTCAAACCAACTGCAAACATTGAGGGCCAAAGAAGAGAACAAACAACATCTCACTGAGCAAAGATTGAACGCCCAAAGTTGCTAGAAAAGAGATCACAGGAATGTGAATGAGTGAGATTAGAAGGGAGAGATGGGGGAATGTGTTGACAGGAGTTGAGTGCAATGAATAGAGGCAAGGAGTCTGGCATTTGGAATTTGGAATCCTCCATTTCCTTACCGACTTGATCTTCGCCTTGAAGACAGCCAGCTGATCGGAGGAGAAGTTGAGCTTGCCGAGGTCGTCCACGCTCTCGATAAACACGGCGTCCGAGATACAGCCACCCAAGTCTGCTGTGCTCATCTGTGCCAGCGCCTGGCCTTGTTTGAGGATGTCCTGCCGGGTCAGCTGGGCACCGGAACAAGCTGCAGAATGGGTTCAGTAGTGTCAGCCCTTGAGTGTCCCGAGGGCTGTAGGGGCTAACCAGCCCCCCCCATCCCCTCCCGTGCATTATGCTGATCCTGCATAATGCACGGGCATAATATGACTTTGAAACCCCCCCGCCCACCTCCTACGCATTTCAGAAGTAGTACTAATCACATACCTGCATTTCCCATAAATATGCTAAATTCCTCTTGATATGCAAATTATTTTGTCAAGGCGCACCTTTCCACCTTCCAACCCAGCTTAAATAGTCGCTCCAAGCGTGGTGTTGTTTCATTCAGACGCTGTCTCCCTGACAGACCTGGTCTTCACCTGAGGACGGCTGCTTGCATTGTGGCCGAAACGTCGTTTAGAATTATTTTATTATGTTTTATTTTTATTATTTTATTATTTCCATTCTACGTGCCTTTACTATATTTAACACCAGTTCAATGGCATCAAACCCAGACATTGCAGTAGGGGATAATGACACATTGTAAGTACACGCTGTGCTTGCTGCTCTAACAGACAGCGAATGATCTGCTGTGATATGGTTAATTTAATTTGCAAGCTTCACTCAATATGTGAAGCTGTCTGCATTAGTTGAAGGGCACTGGGCAAACGCACAAACATTGGTAGAATTAAATCATGGTCATGGCAGCCTTTTCTTATGTACATAGGAGGTGAGAGCTAGAGAAGAATGCACAAAGAGACAAAACCATATCCTACCCTTACTCATTCTGTTTAGATTTTAACATTTGTTCAAAGTTTGTTTCACACTGACTGTGCCTAGTCCCTCTGAATATTGTGCCTTCCCTTTGTAAAAAGATTACACTTCAAGTTTGGGTGCTGTAAGAGTGGGTACTTAAAATTGTCAGATTAATTTATACGAGATTCATAATTTAACTTAAAGAAGACAAATGGCTCGATTCACGCACAAGCCGGGACACGTGGTAGTTTTGCCATTCTTCTTGTTGTGTCCTGCCACCACAGTCAAATGTTTATCCAGCATTGGGCCTGAAGCTCCAGCGAGGTCCTCTATGTACACGCATTCTCCAGGAGGCAAAAAGACCAACATATGTCCCATGGTCCATGTTTCACCACAGCCGCATGTGCCAGTGTAGTTAGAGTAGCCCCACTTCAGCATGTTGACTTTTGAACTCCCGACTGCCGGCCTGCTTTACGAGTTTGACCTCATTTTCGCTGGTGTGACGCAACACACACAAAGCGGGACGACTTACTGGCGCGCTTCTTCCGTCTGCCGCTGGTGCCGGACTGCGATTTCAACCTCGCTTGGATATTTGTCAGGTCGGGAGAGAAGCGGAGTCGCTCTGGCGTCACGTCCATCACCTGTGTCTGTGCGGTCACGTATTCAATAAGAGCGCCCAGCGCCGTGGTCTAGAGGGGCACGGGGAGTTTGGGAGGTCGGGGGGGGAGGAGGGGGGGGGTTAGAGCTTAAAATTGAAAGTACACGAGTTCAAATCCTGGGCAGCAGTTGCATCTGCTAATTAAACATGTAACAATTAACGCATTCAATATAGGTAGGTAGAGCCTTCCAGATGGCCACAGAAGCACATCTGAAAGAGAGCAGTGACCATCTTTGTTCGAGTGGTTTATCACGTGGAAATGTATAGCAGCCAAATACTTTATGTTCGTTTCTAAAAAGTTAAGTCACTTAGGATTAAAAATTCTACCACAGATGTGACCACAGTATTTCAACGTTTTGGTCAAACTTTAGCACGTAGCTTCTCACAACCACACATGATAAAAATGTAGTTTTCTGGATTCAGCTGTGTGTTGAGCATTTCATCTGTCAAGCTTTCACCACAATGTACCACCGGCATCTCCAGCAATCACAATTAAATTTCGATTTAAAGCTTTCGTGACTGCAGGGATTCCATCTTCTTGGTTCTTTCGGTAAAGTCACGTAGAATGGAAATAATTATTTTTATTATTTACTTATTTCCATTCTACGTGACTTTATCGAAAGAACCAAGAAGAGCAATCACAATTGACAGGAGGTGAAGAATACTTTGCGGCAAATAAACAATCTTCTTTGATACCCCTTCATGGCAGATGAATAGGATACCCTTTCCGTGACGAGTGACGAAAACGGTACACACCAGGGAACTGATTCCAATTTACAACAGCGGCTTTGGCTAACCATCAAACAAAGACGGTCACTGCATCACTCGCTTTCAGATGCGCTTCTGCGGCCATCTGAAAGGCTCTTCTTTCCGATATTAGGAAGCCACTGGAGACTAGGCTCTAAGGAAAGCTGTCTCTGGTGTGGACCAATCAGTTTCAAGGACAATGCATACATTATCAGAGTGTGTTTTTTGTTTGCATTCAGACTGCAAGTATTGTGGTTAATGTAAACATGATTTCTTGCAAAAGGTTTCAGTTTTGTCGCCAGAAAAAATGGGGAAAACCCTATTATTATATTTTGGTACTGGCAAAGGAGGCCTCATGATGATGATGGAGCTATGCCCTTTTTAAAATCTAGATTAAAAACTAACTTCTTTAGATTTGCTTTTAGCTTTTGTTTGCCCCCCCCCCCATCTCCAATAAGCAAGGTTGGCTACACACGATGCAAAAGAGGCTGAACATTCTTCCACACGTACCTGGCACAGGGTGAGTTATATAAGCGAGCATCGTAAATGATCCAAAAATATGAACTGCCCATAAAAGTTGAAACATCTGAAATGTTTAAACCTGAAACTCAGAACAAAGAGACACGGGTAAATGTCTTGGTCCATGCTTACTGATGTTATGCCAGTGAGCGTGTTGCTGGAGAGAGTGGTCACCATGTCGCCCATGTCCCGGAGGTTCTGATACGTCCACGTGTATGATGCGCTGTGAAGAGAAAGACGGTGCAAACATTCGTATATTGCGTCTCGACATTTAAATTTAAAAAAAATCTCCATCGGCCAATCAGCTTTCCAGACCGATATTATTCAGTGGCATTTGTTTAAGCAAAGAGAAACCCCTGCAACAGTTTCAGCCTTCTGGGTCTCATCAGCAGAACTATGGTTGATATACAAACGCTGCTGGGGTACCAGATGTTATTGGCAAAAGCACTCAATCTCAACTATGGGCTTTGTTCAACAACAACAAAAGCTATATTGTATACATCTAATTATATGTTTCTGTGAAATATATATTCGAACTCATTCACCATTATCATTATCAATATTTATTTTTATTCAGTATTTCCTTTTCACCCCATTGTCAATCCATTGCTGGAAGAAGGCCTACCATGCCACGTTGGTCATGTCAGTTGTGTGACCATACTCCACCATTCTTGTCAGTGCAGGTTGGTGCACAATTAGAGGATATGCAGAGTAAATTACTCATTGACAGACATTCAGTTGGATGATAGGTTGCACGATGCATGGACGCACATTGACTACGTACATTGGCTGATAAACCGAATTAATTCATAAACGGAGGACATATTCCTCAATCATCCAGCGGGTGGGCTGCTTACGAGACAACTGAATGAATGCTGTCGCGAGTAAAATGTAAAAGTCCAGTTCTGCATTTGCTGGCTAACACTACTGCTGACAAAAGGGCCTACACTGGAAGGAGTCCGAGATAGCCCCATCCACAGGGTTCTTTTGGGCCCAAGATGTCCTAAATCACATGGCATTCATTTAACTGCGGTATACCCATTTATGCTACCGTTTGGGCAGACTTGGAGGATTTAAGAAACTTGTCAATTGTATCAACTGCTCTACCAGGACAATCGTATCAAACCAGCAACCTCTGCATTGCACCCTAGTGTGCTAAAAATGACATTACTGCACACCACAACTGTAGATAATACACACCCATATTTTGAGATGAGCTTAGCCTCGATGCTGGTGGCTTGAGCAGCCGTGTAGACCTTGCACTGCTTGAGATTGTCCAGGATGCCGATGTCGGCGCTCTGAATCTGTTCACCGCTCAGCTCGCACGACAGATTCCCCAGGACTGCTACATCACTCGCCGTCAGACTCAGCCCTGTCGGTTTATTCTGTGAAAAGGAGGAGAGAGAGAGAGCACGGTGCAACCTTAAACACAGAATAATGTGTGCATATATACGGCAGATCAGGGAGCACAGGTGGTGCATTTACCGCACGGTTGGTTACGTACAGTGCGAAAGAAGTTCAACATACATACCAGTCATCTTAGTTAACCCATAACACCTAGGTCTGTCCCATGACCTCTTTCCAGCAAGCACAGTGGGGAGCACAGGTGGTGCTTCTGCTCGTCATCTTAGTAAACCCACGCACTGGGGTCTGTACGTGACCTGTCAACGAGCCTTCGACACTTCATGTGGCTTAAAGTGCACCTAATTTTAAATGAAAACACATTTGCACAGCATTTGCAACTGTGACATCTAGTATACATTATATATGAACTGGTGGTGTATTTATGTGGCTGACTAGGTGTGTCGAATTTGCCTCCCTCCCCGTGGGCACCGAAGTGCAATACCCCTGGTTTGTCAGCAGAATGCAATACAGCAAGGTGTCGACTCATATCATCTGTCCCTTGTGTATGGGATAGAGCGTTGCCCCCTCGCATGCGTGGGTTTTCTCTGGGTGCTCCAGTTTCCTCCCACACGTTCAAACACGTATAACTATCTGAATACAGCTTAACATTCAATCTAAATTTGTTGTTTTCGTGACTGCACTAATCCATACTCTTTGGTTAGTTTGGTAAAGTCACATAGGTATAAAACAAAATAAATTAAATCACGACGTTTCGATCGCAACACAAGCAATCATCCGGTGAGAAAACCACAGCGTTTGGCATTGCTGCTGCATTGGTGTTGTTGCTTTATTGCTAGTGCAGCGTCTTTGTTGTAGCTCCCCCCCCCACGCATCCCCAGCTCTCTCATCCTCCCACTTCCAGCCCCCCCCCCCCAGTTCCCCCCGTCCTAGCTCCGCGTCTCCCTCTCCTCGCATCCACGCAACGCCCCCCCCTCCCTTGCCCCCCCCCTCCCCCCTCTCTTACCTATATAACCTCTTGCCACGGTATCTCTCTCCCACTTCAGCAAAAAAATTCTTGCTGTGGTTTTTTCCCACCTGATGATGATTGCGTGTGTTGCTATCGAAACGTCGTGATTTTATTTATTTTGTTTTATACCTACGTGACTTTACCGAAAGAACCAAAGAGTTCATCTTAACATATCGAGAGCTGCAAAACAACTGTTGGCGCCGGCTCATCATCTGGCAGCCTTCCAGCTTGTCTGTGCTTCCTTAGTGAGATGCAATTTGTATGAACGACAGGATATAAAAGCCATCATTAGATTTAAATTTGTGATATATACACAGCAAATGGGAACACAAAAGTCAACCTTTCGGCACCTTTCCCCAAGGCGCCTGGCCAGTGTGTAAGAATAGGCCAAATATAAATTTCGATTTAAAGCTTTCGTGACTGCAGGGATTCATCTTTTTGGTTCTTTCGGTAAAGTCACGTAGAAGGAAAACAATAAAATAATAAAAATACAAATTAAATATAGTAAAAAAATAATTTTATTATGTTTTATTTTTATAATTTTATTATTTTCCTTTTACGTGACTTTACCGAAAGAACCAAGAAGGCCAAATATACTTTGAGAGGGGCTCTCTATGGGCCCCTTCCGTGGAGGCCCATCTACCAGAATTAGCGTGAGCATGCAATTTCAGGGCTGCACCTTTGCTACACACTCGTAAAACTTCACGACACGAAGCACGGCCACCTACCAGGCACGACAGGGCCCTGGTCAGCAGACTGGTCCTCGACTTGTCTTTGGGCAGCTTGTTGATGTCGGCCTTGCCCAGGCTCGTGAACAATGGGACACACGCCGGTTGCTCAATGGTAAACTTTTTGGCGCTGCAAATCAAGGAGACAAAAATACAGCAGCAGTGTCCGTCATGGATAGTGAAAGGGACAAGATTTCCTATGAAAATAGGTTTTCGAATGGTGGGGGGTTTTTTTCCAATAATAATATTGATATGTGCGAGATGGCGCAATTTAGCACGGCGGTTTGTGCACTGTCTAAATGTTACCGTACATCAAGATGCTCTCGATAAAGAGTGGACATATCCTATTTGTTTAATAAAGATAGTTTTAGCTATTTATCAACCCTGTAGGCATCAGAATCAGAATCTTTTTTTAGACTTCAGAAATCCGATGGGTTGTGAAGCTCTTTTTTTACACATTTCTAGTCGGGGTGGGTGGTCAGCAGTTACAACGAAAACAACACAAAAACAATTTTAGGAGTGCAAAATCGAAAAAAAGGCAAGCAGGTCACTAAATTTCGATTTAAAGCTTTCGTGACTGCAGGGATTCATCTTCTTGGTGGTTTCGGTAAAGTCACGTAGAAGGGAAGTAATAAAATAATAAAAATAAAACATAATAAAATAATTCTCATGACGCAAGCAGCCGTCCTCAGGTGAAGACCAGGTCTGTCGGGGAGACAGCATCAGATGCTGTCTCCCCGTCAGACGCTGTCTCCCCGACAGACCTGGTCTTCACCTGAGGACGGCTGCTTGCGTTGTGGCCGAAACGTCGTGAGAATTATTTTATTATGTTTAATTTTTATTATTTTATTACTTCCCTTATACGTGACTTTACCGAAATAACCAAGAAGAGCTCACTAAATATTAATAAATAAATGCGTTATATAAGTCCTATTTTTCAACAACCTTCCTATTGTGAGCTGCTTGCTCTACCGCTGAGCCACTCGGTACTTACTCCACATATATGAGCACTGAACTGGGGACATCTTGATCCAGATCCACGGATGAGAGGCCACTGGCCAAACAGCTCGCCTGCATTGTGAACAAACCACAGCAATCACACTCATTTATGAGAGCCACCAGAAAAAAAACACAATTATAGAACTTTCTGTAAATGAGAAAAAATCCATTGGGCAAAAAAGTGCTTGTTGGCTTGAAACAATGAAGAGTAATAAAATTAATCATACAAAAGCGACGTGATTGTGAACACAGGATCAGGCCTCTCATCATGCGTTTCATGTCATGTAACACCAACACATTTTGTGTATCCTGGACACAGCATTGTTTTAGACCGTCCGCTCAAAAGTCAACATTTCCAGCGAGATTATTTGAGAGAGCAGAGGCAGAATAGCCATCATTCATAGCCATCATTCAATATTTTCATGCTCAAATGTATCACTGGGCCACTGGTGGTGCTAAGTTTGCGGTGAAAAGCCGACATTGCCACCTCAGTGGGCTTCCACTTGGTTTAAGTCCACCTGGTTTTAAGTCCGTATGTTTATTTTCCACAAATTATCCACCCCATATGAGATTATAGACTGAGTAAACCCATAATGAGGATTTGCAATATTACAATAAAATATTAATTTGCATCTTCTTGGTTCTTTCCGTAAAGTCACATAATAAAATAATAAAAATAAAACATAACTAAATTCAATTTTATGTTTTAATACAATTTTATTATGTTTTATTTTTTTTATTTTATTATTTCCCTTCTACGTGACTTTACCGAAAGAACCAAAAAGATGAATCCCTGCAGTCACGAAAGCTTTAAATCGATATTAATTTGCAGTAAAGCTAAAAACCCGTGTGGCAGCTGCAACACGAATTTTTTTGTTTGTTTGTTAATTTTATCGTTAAAAAAGAAAACTATTTGTAGTGTAATGGACATTTCTTTTTTGCGATAACTTTATTGTTGTTTGTGCCTTTTGTTTTGGTGCCATTTCTTTATTTGTTCATTCATTTTTTATTTTGCTAGGCAGTATGGTTTTCATTTGCTGTATATAGCTTTTCGTCATATAATATATAATTTATGTACAGCATTATGGGATGGAATTAGCATCAACGGCGCTATATAAAATTTCAGTATTATTATAATTAATCCCAAGTACGAGCCACACAAATCTTTCATTTTCGTTGCCATTGACAGAAGAACAGTGACGAATGTCAAACTGCTGTGGGATCATCATGTCTTTAGACGCCACCTGAGTTGGAGAGAGCGAGCCGCCGTTTGCGGAAATTAGGGTCACGAAGGATTTCGCAGTTTCTTCACCCGTGAGGTCACTGCACTGAAATCCAGGCAGCAGGTTCGGGGCGGTGCTGGAATGTAAAATGCAGAGCATTGTCGTCACATGCCACCTCACACACCACCTCACACACGCCACATCACACATGTCACCTCACACAACACCTGTGGGGTTCAGATTGTAGTTCTCAAACTTTCCGGTACGGTGCCCACCCCCCAATCAATAATACTGATATGGATCAATAGTGATCCCTATGCCCCGTCGCGTAGCCACACTCATGGCTCTTATTGGTGTACACGAGTTGCTGGGACATATCGAACAAACTGATGTGGATATCATAACGGGTATGTTCCCTCTGGCTTCAAAACCCAGTTAGTCTCGACAACTGGCTGTCATACTCTCTGACCACGTTCGCTCCTCGAGCCCACTTACTTTTCTTAACCCTCTAAATTAGATATCCCTTAATCACCACCATCATGACAAGAAGAAACAAATATACAATTGTACCACATAGTACCCTCCTGCAGGCTAATGAAGCCCTCTGTTAGTAAAGTCACTGGCGTGGTTTACCCCAGAAAGGAATGAGAGCTGCTGAATGAAGGCTTAGATACACTCTGCCAGAGTTCGTTAAGGGATGACCCGAGGGTAAGATGTAGTGGCCTGCTGAGCTGCGACTCGCCAGGAGATGTGGCCAGCGGAGACAAAAAGAGGTACAGATTTTTTTGAGATGATAGGGATGGGAGAGTTGTTGGCAAGAGTTACAAGTTTTAGTGATTTGTCTTCACCTGAGGACGGCTGCTTGCGTTGTGGCCGAAACGTCGTGAGAATTTTAGCTTATTATGTTTTCTTATAATTACAATTTATTATTTCCCTTCTACGTGACTTTACCGAAAGAACCAAGAATAAGGGTTGAGAGATGAAGACCGCAGACGCACTTTTGTGAGATGGGACATAAATAAGAGAGAGATGAGAGACATGAATGCAAGAGGTACACATCAGTTGTCACATGTACAGATGCTTTGTGACATCTTCATCTCTGTACCTCTGACATGACGTGGCTCGTCCCATGAAAATGTATGAAGCTGCAATCATATCATCTCGGATTGTTCATTATTCCTCTCCCTGCCAGACCGCTATTTACAACTGTTCTTGTATATTTTAATGTGGAAGGCACACAGGAGTTGCGCGATTGACAACTTAAAACTATCATACCAATGGCCTCGTGCAAAGAAAAAAAAACATTCAATAATGTACTTGCCGAATTATTTCGGTCCAGTTTGCGGTCTGAGTCTTCACCATGTTGCCGACCAAAACCAGAGCCTGCAGAGATAATGAGGGTATACATGTGTCATCTTGTTTAAGAGCAATTGTGTTTACAAATACAGCTGCAAAAACACACACTTCAAAAGCAAACTACAGGTAACAGCGATGTCTAGCGGAGTCTGAGGCCACTGTGTAAGTCAGGGCTTTTATTCCCCCAAGTGGATTGTTTAAATTGATTGGATTATTCTTTGTTTGATGATTCATTGACCGAGTAAGATATGAGACGGCGTTAAATGCTCTCAACATTGGTGCCTGCAAGTTGCACCTTGCATGATACTTAGCCAAATAAATAAATACAATCCTGCCATGGTGGAATGGTGAGCAAACGCGATTTGCAGTGCAGGGGTCGCCAGTTCATTCTCCAAGCGTGGCAGTCGAAACAACAATGCAAGCTTCTTAAATCCCCATCGACACTTGTCCATCCAGCAGCGTAAATAGGAACACAATCGGCAGGTCGCGTTACGTGTAGTGGGGTAAAGAGTGGACATTCCCACCCTTTTCCGTACATCTGGCAGGCGTAAAATGCCCTCTGGTGGGGCTGGCTGGCTCTCTGTAGGCGCTGCTAGTCAAGACCCTTCTGCCAGCGATAGTGTTACCAAGATATTTAAGGTCTACACCTTGACCTCTCTTTTCTTTACTGTATTACAATGGTAGCACTGCACGGTCAGATTCACCAGCCAAAAGATTGTGGGATTATTTCGGCTCAAAGATGTGCTGCAGGAGTCTGGGTTCACAGAGGCATGGCTCATCCTTACCTGTCCTTCTGACCACTGCCCTTTCGCAAGGTCCTTGGGCATCAAATTATTCACAACCTGCAGTCTATCTGCGGGAATGTGGGCTAGCAACGATGGCGGAAGACTATTCATCAGTTGCGCCATAGGTTGCTTTATCAACAGCTGCAAAGAGAAATAATAATACATGTTGGTATGAAAAAATATATGAAAACAATAACTCTCCAATGCGTCACCAGGCTGTAACCGCGTGGTGTTCAGCATGATGACTGACGTTTGGCTCCACGTGCTGGGAGCTTCTTCAACACGTGGAGCGAAACGTCGGACAGGAGGTTGAGAGAGTCAAAGACCTGCCATATGGCAGAGGACTAAATAAGAAAAAGAGAACTTGGCCCAATAATCTTTTCATGAGACTTGACCTTTAATACAGTTGGACCCACCTTGTTGACGATAACCGACTGGACACCATCAGGAATGGTCGCAACGTTATCGGGGTTGCTTTTTGTCGCAAAGGCTAGGAGCTGATTCGAGTCCAGATTGGTGAAGGTGCTGCTTGGTACTCCAGACACCAGTCCCCCCAGCTTGGTCAGGGCATCTGCATTGTTCAGCTTGGGACACACGTCGCGTGGAGACAAGCACAAGCCAAAGTCAGACCGTCTCTCGGATATTAGTGGTGCTCGTCACATAGCGCGGGCCGGCCTGTCGCCAAAGATAACTACATCTGATCCCACTGCCCCTGCTTCACGTCGCCACGCTTCGCTCTGCACCAGAGTTCTTGAGTTCGCCAGTTGGATTCTCTCTCTCTCTCTCTCCCGGAGTGGCAGTCGTGGAAAGTTTCTAAAATTCCCACGGCCTCTGTCCACCCAGCAGTATAAACGGGTACTGTAAACTTCCAGTTGATCGGCAGGTGGCGCGGGGACTCCCCCCCCCCACCCATTCCCAGATGTCTGGTCAGCATGGAAGAGTAGGCCTAAACACCCTCTAGAGAAGCCTCTCCGGTGCCCCCTGCAATGGAGGCTCTTCTGCCAGCAGTTCCGTGAGCAAGAAATTGCAGCCCTGCACCTTTACCTTCCACATTTTTATCCCGATCAACAATGGGTATTTTGCTTCATATTCTTAGGTTTTTTCGGTAAAGTCACGTAGGTAAAAAAATTTAAATTAATAAAAGTAAAAAAAAAAATCACGACGTTTCGGAGGCAACACAAGCTTCCGTCTTTTTTTAACTTTTATTAATTTTTATTTTTTACCTACGTGACTTTACCGAAAAAACCTAAGAATATGAATCCTTGCAGTCACGAAAGCTTCAAATCTAGAATATGTTGATTCAATCTGGCCCTTTTTCATGCCAGCAACATCTTTGCTGTACAGTTAAGGCCGCCACCTGTCCTGGTTTTCCCAGGACATCCTGTTTTCGAAGTAACTCTACTTAGTAATCTTTCAGTCTTCCAAGAACAATAAAAATCCTGGATTTGTATCAGTTGCAGCACACATCCCTCCTTCTAAAGACAACACATTAAAATGTAGTAATTTTTTTTTACATATTCAGCTTCCCATGCAATGTCCCAGTTTTTTTTGTGTCCCTCTGGTAGCAACCCGAGTGTTGAAGTGGTGGTCGAACTTTACAGATCCTGTCTGTCATCTAACCGATACCCACTGGGAACCACTGGCGAGTTTTTACCCCCTAAAATTCCAAAGGGCGACTTCATTGTCTCTCAAAGACACCCGCTAGCTAAAGCGACCTCATTCACTGCCTTGAACAAAAAGCATACCGGAGAAAGTTGTGCTGGCGGGATTCTCACACGCAACTAATTTCCAACTCACGTTGAAGTTCGCAGCCTTCAGTTTCCTCACGATGTTTTGTGCCTGTCCCGGGTTCCATCCTGTTTGGTTGCTGAGAGTGCCCAGCACCAGCAGAGCGTTGGTGCTGCTCAGATTCTTGTCGATGGCATTTAAAGGAGCGTAAACGACTGCTGATCCCAGATTTTGTATCGAGGCTGGTTGCAAGTCTGTGTATGTGGTCAGAAGATTCAATGAAACCTGAAAGGATTGAGAAAAAACAGTTGGTAAGAGTCAGGGTTTCATTTCTCATGGAATATTTTCCCAACTCCCCCCCCCCCTCCCCCCACTGCATACATATTTTCCAGAGCTCAGCCCCAACAAGCGTGACATCAGAAGTATAGAGGCCATTATTTAAAACCACGCGAGAGCCCATTTGAAACTAAAAGTATGTTCATCTTCTTGGTTCTTTCGGTAAAGTCACGTAGAATGGAAATAATAAAATAATAAAAATAACACATAATAAAATTATTATTTTGGAATTTTTTTAATAATAAAAACAAAACATAATAAACTAATTATTAATAATAAAGTAAAAAAAAATCTTATTATTTTATTATTTCCATTCTACGTGACTTTACCGAAAGAACCAAGAAGATGAATCCCTGCAGTGACGAAAGCTTTTAATCGAAAAACAAAAGTATGTTATTCAAGAGAGACCTGGGTCAAAAGAAAATAAATACCAACAAATACAAAAAGCAATCAAATATATCACACCATATGCAAAATATGATTCAAATCAAATTGTCTGATATTCACCCAATTTCATCTATTTCGAAGCTAAGCTGGTTTGAACCTGGATAGCGCTTTGGATGGGTGCCTACCATCACAAACAGATTGTTATAGGCTGCCGTAAAACTATGTGGTGGGCAACAGAGGGCAGTGATGCAAGATAGTTGTACTATACTCTAAGCTCCCCTTGTCTACGTTCTGCACCTTCACCAACTCACACTGACCAGCGCAGTGAAGTATGGTCAAATAACCCCCATGACCAACGCAATGTCAGGGAGAATCTCATCCATCAGTGAATTGAAAACGGGGCTATGCAGTATAGCCCTCTTAACGACGGTAAATGGTTCCCCGAAACCGGTCGTGAAGTGATTTGGTTGTTAAGCGAGTATAGGAAATACATGTTAAAGGTGTAATTCGTTCCGATAGCATCAAATGGAAACAATGCCCCAACGCTCATGAATGGACGTCGCTGATTGGCAGTGGCCTGGTCAGACACTTTGGAGCTCTCTGATTGGCCGAAATTGGCGGTCGCGTGCTCGTCGTCAGCCCGTTGTTAACAGGGGAATGATCGGTAACCGAACACATTGGGCTCTATTGAGGCCGATCGTTAAGTGATTCGTCCTTAATAGGGGTGGTCATTAAGAGAGTTCTACATGTACATGTAACAAATCAAATACCGTAAACATATTAAGTGCATAGATTTATTTTTAAGATGCATTTTGCAATGACACGTAGTTCCTACTTTTTTTTACTTTAGCGTGTAAAATTTTATTTCGATTTGATGACCGCGACATGTTAATTGCACTGATGCAATGCCAAAAAAGCTGTGATTAAAAAAACAGTGATTCCGTGTAAATTTGAATAAGTGATTTAGAAAAACATACAATTTTTCTCATCAACATTTAAATTATAGCTAGTTTCACAGAAAAATAAAGCAGCAACAATGACAATTTGAGTTTATCTAAACTATGTTTAATTTTACCAGGTAAGGCCCACTGAGCTATGTAGCTCTTTTTCAGAAGAAACCTGGCCACAAATGATAGCTCAACGAAGTGGCTTTTCAAGTGGAAATTTATAGCAGCCAAATACTCTAAACTCATGTTTCTAAATGTTAGAGGGAAAAACCGGAGGACCCGGAGAAAAATCGACGCGACCACAGGGAGAACTGCAAACTCCAAATATACACGCGTGAGGATCCAGATCGAACCCACGACCTCGTGTATACCAGGTGAGGTTGTTAACATCTCGCTACCACGGCCCCCTAAATGCAATCTCAATGCACTCGCAGATCAGTATGCTTTACAAAGGGAATACATGAAGGGGGGGGCGGTGGCGAAGGGTGTCAGGGCCAGGAAACATGTGAGCAGAAGCGAGATAAAGGAGGCAGTAACTGCATAGCACTGCCCAAGGGACTACGCAACCACAGTCCAGCGAGTCCATCATTGTCAACAACGATGACGACAACAACAATACTCTTTGGTTCTTTCGGTAAAGTCACGTAGATAGCAAAATAGCGAACGGATCACGACGTTTCGATAGCAACGCAAGCCATCGTCTTCAGGTGAAACAATACAGCAGGCGGACTGCTGAGGCAGGAGGAAATGTAGCGAGAGAGCTGCTGCAACCAGAGGTTATAGACGTTTCATTGAATCTTCTGACCACATACACAGACTTTTTGTGGTGTGTACAACCCAAGGGTAAGTGGGCGGAGCTAGAGATGGAATTTGCAAGTCAATGTAAGGCTAGCAAACGTAAGGCTAGTAGACGTCAACTAATTAATTTGACAGAGGGAACAAGGTGATTGAGAGTAAAAAGAAAAAAAGATAACAAACTTAGAAATGTAATGCAACTCAGAGAGGGTTGTACCCACCACAAACCTATATAACCTCTGGTTGTAGTAGCTCACTCGCTACATTTTCTCCTGCCTCAGCAGTCCGCCCTGCTGTATTGTTTCACCTGAAGATGATGGCTTGGGTTGCTATCGAAACGTCGTAATCAATTCGCTATTTTTCTATCTACGTGACTTTACCGAAAGAACCAAAGAGTATTCATTCCTGCGGTTACGAAAGCTTCAAATCAAGACGACAACAATCCCAAGAGGCAGCCGAGGGAAAGCCATGGTAGCAGCAAGTTGACTGAATGTCATACTTGTGTAGTATGCACTACACCTATATGCAGGTGAAAAGTACCTTTTCTTTATCTCTGGGAAGTGTGATGGAATTCAAACAGTTGCTGAGATAACTCTCCAAACCTACAAACGAAGCAACTGGGAGGCTGCTGCCATATTCTCCAACGTACGTGCACAGAAGTGGCTTCGGCACGCTGATCCGGCAGACACACACACATACACACGCACGCGTGCATGAAGATGCATATTCAATGCAATAACAAGCAGTGCATATGTGATGAACATTATTGTCAGCAAATAATCCCAAAAAACCTTTAATATGAGTTATAAATAAACGCTGATGGTGATTTGCCATGAACTGACACTGTTGGCCTTTGGCTAAACTATTTAACATTTAATTCACACGCACATTCTACAATCATCCATTTTCTTGGTTCTTTCGATAAACTCACGTAGAAGGGAAGTAACAAAATCATAAAAATAAAATATAATAAAATAATTCTCACGACGTTTCGGCCACAACACAAGCAGCCGTCCTCAGGTGAAGAAACAGGTCTGACGCTGTCTTCTCGACAGACCTGTTTCTTCACCTGAGGACGGCTGCTTGCGTTGTGGCCGAAACGTCGTGAGAATTATTTTATCATGTTTTATTTGTATTATTTTGTTACTTCCCTTCTACGTGACTTTACCGAAAGAACCAAGAAATGAATCGCTGCAGTCACGAAAGCTTTAAATCGAAAAATCATCCATTTCTTTACCGCTGAAGATATTTACACGCAAGTGTGACTTAAGTCATCGCCACAGTTGCCACACACAGCCTTGTGGCAAAAGCACCTCCGATTCGCACGGTTGGCTATGTACGGTGCGATAAAAGTTCAACATGCGTACATACAGAGGCAACGTTGTGAGGTGTCTCACCTGGAAAGTGGCAAACTGCTCTCGTTCATCATCTGCACCAAGTAGCGCCTCAACTCCATGTCCATGTTGTTCGGTGTCTCGAGCAGCTTCAGCGTGCTGGCGTCGACAACAAACGTTTTCCGCTGCGCAAAATCCATTCCATGTTAGTTTGCTGTGTGCAAGAATGTGCGCCAAGTGTGACGGTGAGCGTATCTGACTTGCAATTCGCAGATGACTACAGGAGTTCGGTTTGATCTCCTGGTTGCGACGATTGAAGCAATGAGGGCATTTGCCGTATCTGCCTTCCGTCCACCCAGCACCTCCGATTAGCACACTTGGCTACGTACGGTGTGAAAGAAGTTCAACATCTTTGGTGGAACGGCAGGTCGTGCGCGGTCGCCTAATGTGTGGGTATGCCCACCTCTTCCACGACGCCTGAGCAGCATGAGATAGGTTAAATCCCTCTATAGGTTCTCTCTCGACCTCCCTTTAGTGGAGGCCACGATGCCAGTAGTGATGCAATTAAGCCAGTAGGCAACTGAAACTTTGCTGGGTTTTTATTATTATATTTACTGCAGGGGTAGTGCGGTGTCACAGCTATTGAGTGCAGTATACTAAGGCAAAGCCAAGTTCGATTCCTGGCCACAGTTAACATCAGTGGTAAATTATATCTCGACCAGTCCTGGGTTTTCCCCCCTAACTGACTTGCATTGACTAGTGAGTTAAGTATGGTCATTGGGAATTCCGCATCCAGCAGTAAATTAGCAAATGAGCAAACACTATTCCATTGTATCTCCTCATGTCACGTGTGCGATCTGTACGGGATATAGCGGTTCCCCTCCGCACGTGTGGTGAGTTTTCTCCAGGTGCTCCTGTTTCGCCCACATGTATAAACGCCCACCAATTGGCTAAAACATATTCATATATATAGAGCACTGCAGAACTTGGATAACTGTGCGTGCCGGCTCACCATCTTGCTGCCCTCCAGCTATGTTGTTGTTCCTCGGCAGTTGTGAGATGCAATTGGCATGAATGACAACACTATATGTGAAACTAAAATATCTGTAATATTATGCAACAAGATGAGGTGAGCTGTGTATCTGCTTTTACGTGGTTGTAATTGCAATACTAGATACATTTGTATTGTTATTACATTACATTATATTGCTTCGGGTACATCGCTTTGTTTATATATTCAACTAAATGTTTTGTATATTTACACGAGGCTAAGTGTTGGGCATTCACTTCACTTTATCCCGTGTAAAGTTCTCTGAGAAGTCTTCAAATTGGTGTGAAAAGATTCTATGTAAACATCCATTAACTGATCGTGGAAAGTTACCTGTGTGGTGTCTTGGACAAACCCGTTAAAGTCAGATAGCTTCGAGAGCAGGAAAGACTGCCCCATGTTGTCAACAATCCAGCTGTTCTTATTTGCAAAGCATGGTGGCGGCGTTCCTGTTTTGGCTGTGGAATCACAAGTTACGTATCATTTGAGATGGAATCATGGTTTCATTTCTCACTCCATATTATCCGGTGACAGGCTGGCCTGGAGTAGAGATTATCTGAGTAAGGTGTTTGCTTCTATAACAGTAAAAGGAGCGCTGATCCATAACAATCAGAACTATTTTATATAATTCTGTATTCCTAGAATCATATAAAAAAATACGTGTCATATTAACGCATGGACATGTAAGCAAACAAAACATATTTAAAAGCAAATACAAACTAATTTTATTTTATTTCATTGCCAATGCAATTCAAGCAACAACATTGCGGGACAGTTTTGGCTGAAATTAAGCACGTGACATCGTATTCAGTGCAGCACTTGGCAAGGGGAGCCACACTGATCCATTGATCTAAAGCATCAAACTGTTTGGCAGCCTCAGATATAGAAACATGTAAAGTGTACAACTCAATCTTTCTCAGATTTAAAGTTACCCAATCTATCTTTCCGATAAAATGTTTGCATCCTCCACATGCACCGAACATCAACAATGTTGAGTTTATTTTCTAGCCGCTTTGTTAGGGTCCATCAATGCAGAGATTCCTCCTGCCTCTGACGCTTATGTCATTCAATTAAAGTTGACCTCTTTACTCTCCCGAAGCATCTTCTTGGTTCTTTCGGTAAAATCACGTAGAAGGGAAGTAATAGACCTGGTCTTCACCTGAGGACGGCTGCTTGCGTTGTGGCCAAAACGTCGTGAGAATTATTTTATTATGTTTTATTTTTATTATTTTATTATTTCCATTCTACGTGACTTTACCGAAAGAACCAAGAAGATGAATCCCTGCAGTCACGAAAGCTTTACATCGAAATCTCGCCGCTTTGTTTACGGTCCATCAATGCAGAGATTCCTCCTGCCTACGACGTTTATGTCATTCAATTAAATTTGACTTCTTTACTCTCCCGAAGCAGTTCATGTAATATATAAAAACTCCATCCTGTGAATGCAATACGGCTTAAGTATGGCTTAGTTAGTATTACAATTGAATGTATTTGGAAAATGTCAACAGCATAAATAATTTCGCCAAGTCTGAACTTTCAGTGGAGTGGTGGCACGGTGGTTTGTGCAATATTATATGACCTGAATTCGATTCCCGGCCATGGATTATTTTAGTTGTGAGTGATATCGGAACTCACCCTGAGCCTTCCCTAAGTCGACTCAGCTTTAAACGAGAACCCGGTGCAGATGTGTAAACATCATATTAATGCATGAACATGTAACCACCGTGCCACCACTGCAGATGTGTAAACATCAGCACGGGAGAGAGAAACGTGGCCAGGTGTGATGCTGGCTACACTTCCCCAACACTCTATATGGGGTGGTCTTTGGTGGTGGTAGAAGATTTGCCAGTAATTATAGTAAGTAGTAGTGTAGATCATGCATTGGTGAATGTGCAATCGAGTGAGAATTATTAACGTTCAAAAATCCATACCTTTAGTTAGATAACTTATTATCCACTGGTAAGTCGCCTGTTTGGTATCGTTACTGCTCAACCCAGCATCCAGTTTTCCAACACTGAAAATAAGATGTGTTGCCGTTATCATGAGCAGCAACAGCAGCAGCATCAACAGCAACCACACCATCAACATAACTAGCAGTGGCAGCAGCAGCATTATCATCATCACCGTCTTCTTCATCACCAATGATGATCACTTCGCCCATCATCAGCAGCTGCAGTATCATCATCAATGGCAATCACTTGGTCAAGAATCAAAAGTAACAATATTGTTTCATCATCAGCAGGAGCAACAGCAGCAGCAAACATCTTACAGCAACGCCAAACAAAAGCGTAGAAACGCAGCATGCATCAGACACCAGTTCCACATATGTTAGCGTGCATATTCATGTTCTTTAAGTTACTCACAGAAAATCAAAGTTATCGCAGTTCATCGCGAGCGGAAGATCAGCCACGTTGGCGGCCGTGATTCCCGGCAGGATGAGTGGAGACAGCCGGTCCACAAACCACGTCTTCACGTCCGCATCGATGAAGGATTTCACGGCGGAGCTCCTGTTCATGTTGTTCCAGGCCCCTTGCATGAGGGCGGCTTGAGAGGCCTTGGGCACCGTCTTTCCTGCCGCCTGTGATCAAAATGATCGGCTTCAGGAACCGAACAAGGCTCCCACTACGCGGAGTGAAACGTTGGACATCATACAATGGTGGGGTACCGAACCCCTCGGGGGGTAGGGGAATGGGGGAGTGGGGGGTAAAGGGGGACCGAACGATGTATGTGTAGTTTCTAATATTTATAATGAACAGGAAAGGTTATTCAGGGTTTCATCTTCTTGGTTCTTTTGGTAAAGTCACGTAGAAGGGAAATAATAAAATAATAAAAATAAAACATAATAAAATAATTCTCACGACGTTTCGGCCACAACTGAGGATGGCTGCTTGCGTTGTGGCCGAAACGTCGTGAGAACTATTTTATCATGTTTTATTTTTATTATTTTATTATTTCCCTTCTACGTAACTTGACCGAAAGAACCAAGAAGATGAATCCCTGCAGTCACGAAAGCTTTGAATCGAAATTTATTCAGGGTTTGTTTGTTTTTTCCATTCACAAGTGGAGCCCGGCCTTACCAGATCCTAATCTCGAGCTGCCACTGGCCAGGTGGATCGGTGTAAGAGTGAGCGGCTCACAATTGGAAGGTTCTGAGTTCAAATCCAGGTTGGAAGTGGGGGGGTTGACTCAGCCCATTATCCTATTTCATCTAGAGTAAATAAAATAGGTACTATATTCTTTGTGTCTTTCGTTAAAGTCAAGTAGATAGGTTGAAAGAAAATAACAAAAAAATGCGACGCTCACTTGTGTTGTGATCGTCGTAGTTTTTTTATTTTCTTTGAACCTATCCACGTGACTTCACCGAAAAACCCAAAGAATATGTGTAAGTCAGCTGTGGTTGTCCTATGGATAGACTCACGCCCGCCATGGGCATGTGGAATCCACTTCTGAGGGCTGTAAGCAGGTGATGCGTGCTGCCTCAGTGCTCATTTAACCAAGACATTCCTTCTGAATGTTTGACTGGTGGAGATAATTCACCTTAAGGTTGAACTCGTCCAGAAACTGTCCGAGAGCGTTGAGGTCAGTGAGTTTGGGGAAGATTGCTGCCAGGCTGGGGGCGTCGTTCAGCACGGTGTCCGTCGCAGCGTAGTCTCCCAGCTCCTTCGGATTAGCGATCTGACTCGGGCGTTGGGTGGTCAACAAAAAACAAAGAAAGGGCATCGCGTGAATCATAACCTAAAATATCTCTAAATTCAGATCAAGTGGTTCTGAATAATATTCTTAGGTTTTTTCGGTAAAGTCACGTAGGTAAAAAAAAAATTAATTAATAAAAGTTAAATAAAATAAAAAATCACGACGTTTCGGAGGCAACACAAGCTTCCGTCTTCAGGTGGAACCGTCACAGCCACGACAGCTGTATCACGTAAATTAACGTCGTGATTTTTTTTTTATTTTACTTTTATTAATTTTTATTTTTTTACCTACGTGACTTTACCGAAAAAACCTACAGAATATGAATCCTTGCAGTCACGAAAGCTTCAAATCTAGAATTGGTTCTGAATAAATTCAACTTATAGAGATGACAATGGATGGATAAGTCCAGTCCCAACTGGGATTTGGAATTGGTGATTTAACCATACTGGTGGGCTACCCAGTCAGTTATCATTTTAAAGGGTGCATTGAAATGTGTGGATATGACTATCATGAATACAGTATTAGCATTTTGCATAGTTATCAACATCAGAGGAAAAGCACATGCACAGGTAAGGCAATACTTAAAACTGCAAATGAAAGTTATTATTCCTGGACCATCGTCCATCATCTCTTCTTGCAACATGCCCTATCCAAGTCTCCCCACGCGGCCTCCACATAATTAAGCCCACTTGCTTTTAAGAATAGTTTGGGTGATATCATTCATCTGCGTATGTTTTCTACTTTAATTTTCCTCTGTCTCTCGATTTAATTCCACATGCTTCGTTGCACACTTTTCAGTTGTGGTTTTTTTCATATTTGACCATTTCCATGCAGCTGAAAATCATATTATAAGCTACAATTGTACTTGTGCAATAAGCAAAATTTTTAAAACATTTTCTTGGTTCTTTCGGTAAAGTCACATAGAAGGGAAATAATAAAAATAAAACATAATAAAATCCCTCACGGTAGAGGCGGTTAAATTTCGATTTAAAGCTTTCGTGACTGCAGGGATTCATTTTCTTGGTTTTTTCGGTAATCCCTCCTCTACGGAGAGGGATTTTATTATGTATTATTTCATTATTTTATTATTTTATTATTTCCCTTCTACGTGACTTTACCGAAAGAACCAAGAAAACAAAACCCTGCAGCCACAAAAGCTTTAAATTCGAAATTTTTCAAACATGTAACGAACTGTTAACAATGGTAGATTATACAAAGGCTGAGCGTATCCGTTGTTTGAAACTACAATGCCTGAAGTTAGGAATTTTTACCGCAGCATATGAAGGTAAGACTTCCTTGAAATCAGCATCCGTGGCATTGTCTCTGAATTTCCCAAAATAATCAGTGAGCAGATTGCTGCTCGTTATGGCAGGTGTGCACTTGGAACTGGCGACAGCTGTTGAATAAATGAATGATTGATTATTAAACAAATCAGTTATGAAAACACAACCGCTCTTCGCAAAAATAATTCGTGTTTGTTCGCAGAGTTCTCTACCTGGCTTCACAAAGTTCTTGATCTTTTTAACCATTTGTGGTTTAACGGTCTCGTTGAGTTGAGAATAGACGGCACTCAAGCTCCCAACTCTGCAAGGGTAAAACAAAAGTCTCGTTACAAAAATTACGAATCACATTTTTTTTTTCGCGAATGCTTGTAGGCCAAGTTGGGGTGGTCCCGATTGACCTGGGAATGTGTTCTTTCAAGCCCACGCCAAACACGACTGCAGGCATCTGCAGGAAATGACATGAGGATCCCCGCGGTCGTGCGTCGCATGTCCATTGGTTAGCATTTATTTTTTGAGTGGGAGGGTCATTTTAATTTTGATGATTGAAATCTGCGGAGAAGCTGTGTTGCCCAATGTCCCATACCGCACTGGAAGGACTTATGATATATGGTCTGAAGTTCAAAGCTCTCATCAAGTTGAGAATAGAACATTAACTCACAGATCTGCAGGAGTTAACTATTTGGCTCTTAACAAAATAATTAGTGATACGAATACATTCCATCCTTAATAACTGGTCTATGACTGGTGTAAGTTAAGATTGGCCCTGCTCAAACCAAGGAAAGCCTTTTGCTGGCATGTAAATAAAGGATTAGTTATTTAGGTAAAATGCTACATCTGGTCAATTTTGCTGTACGGAGTAGAGACGTGGACACTGACAACAACAGCAACAAAAAGGCTCGAAGCTTTCGAGATGTGGCTGTATCGAAGGATGCTGAAAATCCCATGGACAGCCAAAACCACCAATACACAAGTTGTGCAAGATATGGGCACTGACAGGCAACTGCTGAAGACCATCATTAGCAGGAAGTGTTACTACCTAGACGACATTGCCCGAAACGACCACAAATACCAGCTGTTAAAGCAAATCCTGGAAGGAAAAATCGAAGGGAAAAAACGACCAGGACGGCCAAAAACGACATGGCTCAGTAGCATCAAAACATGGCTACAATTAACAACAGCACAAACTCTACACGCCGTGCTAGACCGGGACCAATATCATCGTGAAGTCGCACACGCCGTTAGGCAGCACTAAAGAAGAAGATTTAGGTAAGGGTAATTAAATAGAATATTCAGCGCCCCCTATGTAACATGAGATTAATTGAATAATCAGGAGGTTGGTGCTGTATGTAACGACTTGCATTTACACTGAAAACACAATTTGTCTGAATGTTAATTATTGTGTTTGCATCTTCCTCCTAATTGTGACCTTGTAGTGTGCAGTACATTTACAAGTTTAATATTGAAAAAAAAACTTGGATGTCAGTGTGAATGCCATCATTTGCACTGTGACGCTTACGTGACGCTCATGTAACGCTCGTGTGATTCTCACATGGTAGTGAAAGCCGGGCAGGAAAGTGACACGGGGATTGTGTCCACGTCTACGTTGCTGGTGCCGGGGAGAACGTGTGGAGAGAGCCTGGCCACAAACCACTTCCTCACGTCCTCGTCGGACAGTGTGGGCAGGGTGGGACCCAAAAAGAGCCAGGCAAATTGCATCAGAACATCTTGGGAAGCCTTGGGCACCGTCTTTCCATTTGCCTGTGATACAAATGGGCACAGGTTGCATTATTTGTGGTCATTTAATGGTAATGTCCACGGCCTCTATTTAAAGCTTTCGTGACTGCATGGATTCATATTCTTGGTTGTTTCGGTAAAGTCACGTATAAGGGAAATAATAAAATAATAAAAAATTACATAAGAAGATAAAATTCTCACGACGTTTCGGCCACAACGCAAGCAGCCGTCCTCAGGTGAAGAACAGCGCTGTCGGAAAGACAGCGTCCTAATGAACTAATGAACTTAGGACGCTGTCTTTCCGACAGCGCTGTTGCTCACCTGAGGACGGCTGCTTGCGTTGTGGCCGAAACGTCGTGAGAATTTTATCTTATTATGTTTTATTTTCATTATTTTATTATTTCCCTTCTACGTGACTTTACCGAAAGAACCAAGAATATCCATGGCCTCGTGGGACAAAACGGTAATTCAGGGGCAAGTTTCCGAAATATCTGGAACTCCCTTCCCTCCGGTCTTCACACTGCGAGCTTTCTTCTCCTAACCAAGTCCAGGTTTCAATCAAGACCTTTCAATTCTCCTCCACATATTGAGTTTCATCATTATCCAGAGAGGTTTCTTCATCATCTGTTGTTGCAAGTTTATTTTCCTCCCTTCTGACCCCAAACATGGGGAAGCGTTGGAGCAGTGGTTAGCGCACTGCGCTATGAATCGGTTGGCTAACAACGGAGGCGGATGACATCGAACCAATCCTGGACCACCCCATGCCTTCACTAACCCACACTGCCCATCGTGGTGATGTCTGATCAATCAACTGCCATGACCTACAAGGCTTCCAGAAGCCTTCATCCAGCAGTGGATTGACACAGGGCTGTAATCTTTATATATTTAAATTCGCATTTTCTCGCAAAAAAAAATACCTCCTCTTTCCTCCAGTAAAAAAAACACTCTTTCCTTTCGTAACCCCCGAACAATGTGCATGCTTCCCATCTTTGTACAATGCAGCGGTGCCATCGCATTTATACCTTCACGTTGAACTCGTCCAAAAATGGCCCAAGCGTATCGTAGTTAAATGTGTTCAAGGTACGATTCAGTTTGGCTGTGTTATTCAGCACATTGTCTGTGGCAGCGTAATCGGCCAATTGCACGACAGTGAGAGAACTGAGAACTTGTGTCTAAGAAAACGTAACACACACACAACAACAAATGCGCATAAATCATTGTCAAAATCACGTACAAAACCTGCGTAGGAGTTGACGATTGTGTCGTATCGCGTCCCGTCGTGTTTTTGGGTTGTACCGCGTGTTTGTTCGGCACGGTGTCCGACGTTTTTCTCCACATTCTGAAAGCTTCATAGGGAAGCTCATTTCTTGAGGAAGCTTCCAGAATGTACAGCAAAACGTTGGACATCATGCCCAACAACGCCCAGTACTACCTGATAACATTCTCGGGGAGGATGTGTGAACGTAACGTGTTCGATCGCAATGTATTTTATAATGTTATAAAAAAATGTGTAGTTCTATTTTGGCCTTTGTTTTGTTGTCACCTGTTTTGTTTGTTCCATGATGTTGCTGAAAAACTCTGACATCACATTATTCACATTATCGGCAGTTCACCAGCATTGATTCAAGCGAGCCTGACTGCTTATGAGACACCTCCGATTAGCACGGTTGGCTAAAAAATGTAAATGGTCATGTTGAGCAGATTCTTATGCTGATTCAATGTGGGAATTACAATACTTACGGCGTCAAATGATGGTAAAACATCAACGATTTCGGCATAGGTGATATTTTTCGTGAATGCCATAAAGTACCCTGTTATCAGTTGGGTGCTATCAATTGGGCAACTAGCAGCTGTTAAAGCAAAAATAAAACACATGTTAAGGGCATACATGATTAACATTGCCTTATAATACAAAAATATACAGCCGGATAATGCCTTTTTATAAATGGCCTTTCTTCATAGGGATGAGGGCAGAGAGATTGGCTGACTACAAGTTGAAAATCATACTTTAGCCAATGGTTCCCAAGAATACTGGGAAAAGTTAAGAATGTGTAAAAATTACCAACCTATAAATGCATCATAGCCCCAGCACAGCTCACGTGAACAGTGGAAAATAACACCATTGGAACCTCATTTGCCAGTAAAAATATGATAATTGTTTTTTTACCCTTCTATCTGGCAACAAAACTGACACCTTTTTACAAGGAGTCATGTTTGCATAGACCACAATACCTGCAGTCATAATTATCAGTGGAAAATAAGTTCAATAATCCACCGGTTTACATCAGGGGGGGCGGGCGTACATTCATGAAAGTTGTGGCGACCAATATCGAAACGACATCAATCGAAGCGATTTACAGAGTAAGTAGGATGGAGGCGAAGGCCTCAGAGGTGACGAACAACGAGACAGGACGGACGAAGCCGTCAGCGACGTTTGCGTGGTGTTTAGGCGACCAACATCGGATAGTGGTATTCATAAAGTGACGACGTATTTGCAAAACGACGTGACAGCGTCGTATTACTGTAATAGGCGGAATGTTTCGGACTCCCCCCCTCCCCACAGCCCATTCTGGCTCCTCCTCCCTTTCCCTTAGCCAGTATTTAAGGTCGTGTCCTCTTGGAGCTCCCTTCTCCTGTTACAGTCATTTTTGCTGTGACGGTTCCACCTGAAGACGGAGGCTTGTGTTGCCTCCGAAACGTCGTGATTAAATGTATTTGTTTTCCTTTTTTCACCTACGTGACTTTACCGACAAAACCAAAGAGTATGGTTCCTTGCAGTCACGAAAGCTTCAAATCTAGAAAGAATGTTACTTATCGCACATGCACAGTTTGTGGTGGAAATTCAAACGTGACTTCCTTACATGATTTCACAAATTCCTTGATTTTGGTCACCACCGCTGTTTTGATGGTGTCGTTAAGTTTGGCATAGACTCCGTTTAAACCAGAGATTCTGAGAAAGGGAAGAGCAAAACGTTATTTCAAAATTCAATCAATAAATTACAACATCAAATCATTAGCAATGACTGTAGACACAATATCATATCAATAAACAAATACTTGGGTACTAAATTAAAGCTCAGCCTGGTATTGACTGAACTATATACAGCACGTTGACAAATGACTCAGTAACTGATTAATTACCTTCTGGAAGGGATATAAAGATGAAATGTGTCGCAAATATATTGGATTTATAACAACAATTGGAAAATCATACGTCTTTGATTTTGGGCAACTGAAATTAATTTGAGAGAAATTGATGTTTTTCCATCAGCATATGAAAATTTCCATAAGAATCAGAATCTGTATTTTTATTTATATATACTGGAGGAATCTGATGAGCTATGAAGCTCTTTTTCACATATGTCGAGTAGGGGTCGGTCAGAAAGTTTCACAAACAAACAATAAAAAAAACGATAGGAGTGCAAAGTATTGGAATATTCTTTGGTTCTTTCGGTAAAGTCACGTAGAAATAAAAGAAATTAAATAATAGAATACGACGTTTCGATTGCAACACAAGCAATCGTCATCAGGTAGAAAGCAAACCTAGTGAACTTAGAAATACAATGCAATACAACACAGAGAGTCGGTGAACACAACAGCCAGCACTGTCTCGGGTGTGGACCAATCAACTTCAAGGACAGTGCATGTCATTATCATTATCAGAGTTGTTTCTTTTTGTTTGCATTTTGACTGCTTGTGTTGTGGCTATTGCAAACATGATCCCTTGTATAAAGGTGTTAGTTTTTGTACCAGATAAAAGGGTAAAAACCTATTACTATATTTTGTTACTGGTAAAGGAGGTATCATAGTGATTACGTTCTATTTAAGGCCTCGACACAGAGGCGTTGGGTCTCTGTGTGTCTATGTTGTGTGTCTCTCTGTGCGTCTCTGTGTTGTCTCTCTCTGCTTGTGTGTCTGTCTGTGTGTCTCCGTGTCTATGTTTTGCCTCTCAAATTTAGCAGTCTTTGGGTGAACGTAATCAACCAGGTAAGGTGCTGACTGTTGTGTTAGCCGACTCTCTGTGTTGGATGATTGCATTGTATTTCTAAGTTCACTAGATTAGTTTTCTACCTGATGACGATTGCTTGTGTTGCAATCGAAACGTCGTATTCTATTATTTAATTCTTTTATTTCTACGTGACTTTACCGAAAGAACCAAAGAGAAATTCCTGCAGTCACGAAAGCTTCAAATCATATCGGAATATTGCATATTTCTAGATGGCATATTAAAAAGCAAAATGGTCAATTCATACCACACCTGCCCCTACCCCCCACAATTAGGAGCGGTAAACATTCCACCTTTGCTGGTCTCCGAGGACGCAGACTCGAATATATGTGGCTTTAAAATGCGAAAGCCAACATTTTTCTATTTTTGAATCCCCAATTTTTATGCGATATAATTGTGAACTGTTTCAGTTTGCAACATGTGCCTATAAATCTTGATTTAAAGCATTCGTGACTGCAGAAATTCATATTCTTTGGGTCTTTCGGTAAAGTCACGTAGGTAGGTTATTATCTTTCAAACTATCAACGTGACTTTACTGAAAAGACCCAAAGAATATGTGCCTATAAAATGTGTATGTTGGGTTTCTGACATCCTATCCTGGAATTCTGATGTCATATTCTGGGATTTTAACATCATATTGTGGGATTCTGACATCATATGCTGGGATTCTGATATTGTATCCTGGGATTCTGCAAGTTATATGTTGACATTGAATACAAATACATTTGAAACAACCCCATACTCCTGTAGTTTTCGAAAGAGTGTGATGCTAAATATGAGATAAAGCAGACAAGGCTTGTCACCAGTTCATAGATAAACATATACTTATTCTAGACTTACAATTAGAACTGTTTAAATGTGAGCTTTAACTTGCATGTAACTCGCATCAAATTAAAAACACCATTAGTCACACACACACGATGCAATACACGTTTAACTTCATACATAGTTGCATCCTTCTCATTGCAATGACTGAAATACGTCCACCTGTCTATTTTCGTTGAGACATTTACACAAACCCGGCCACGTGGCTCAGCGGTAGAGCGAGCAGCTTGCAGTCAGAAGGTTTCGAGTTCAAATCCTAGTTGGAGGGTGACTCAGCCTATTTTCTCTCGACGGTCGATAAAATGAGAACTACTTTAGGGTGAAGGCCCCCCCCCCCCCCCCCCCCACAGTGGTTGTCCTATGGACTCAGCCCCGTCATGTGAATGCGAAGTTTCGACCGCTGGCTCAGGCTATAAACAGGTGATGGACGAACACATCTCAAAGATATCCTGTGCGTCAAACGAGGACCCATGTCGTAAAGCGAGGGATCCTTGCCTGTAAGATGGGCAGCTCACCGGCATTGATTCAAGCGAGCAATGACTCTGCTAATGGCTATGTACGGTGCGAAAGAAGTTCAACACACTGTAGTGTACGATTTAGGGATGTTTAAGAAATACTTGTATTTGTTATGTTGCAGAGACGTAACTTTTTTATATTTTAGAGTGAATCATTGTAATGATTTTGTCCTCAGTTCCACGAGTCGAGGTGCACCGATCTTTGTTATCATTGTTATGAGTACATTGTGTGAATGTCACTGTTATATTGCTCACATGCTCGAGAAAGCCAGGGCAGCTTATTGATACAGGAATGGAGGCGACATCTGCAGCTGTGATGCCCGGCAAGATGCTTGAAGACAGCCGAGTCCCAAACCACTCTGACACTTCAGAATCAGCCATTGTTGGCAGATTAAGGATTAACTTGTCCCAGACTCCTTGAAGCAGGACAGCTCGAAATGCCTCAGGCAATTCCTTAGCCGCTGTCTGTGAAACACATGCCAAGTAAATTACTTTACACGCATTTGCAGATATGTTTGAAATCATGTTTAAAATGGATAATTTGAGGCTCTGCGCGGGTTATAACTTCTTCACCAAGTGACTGAGTGGTCAGAGCTCTGAGCTGCCATTGCTGATGTGCTGGCTTCGAATCCAGGCAGCCGTCCGTGATTAAACTGGGTTCTGAAGTGTAGTAAGGAGATCGTCTCAGCTCGGTCACCAATGACTTCGCAAAACAACTAGAAAACATTCTAGATTTGAAGTTTTTTCGGTAAAGTCACGTGGGTAAAAAACTAAAATTAAAATAAATTAAATCACGACGTTTTGGAGGCAACACAACTAAATCACGACGTTTTGGAGGCAACACAAGCTTGCGTTGCCTCCAAAACGTCGTGATTTAATTTATTTAAAAAAAAAATTATCTACGTTCCTTTACCGAAAAAACAAAAACATAATTGGTTTTGACCTGAATTCTGATAGATTCATGCTCAGATAATTAATACAACAGTTTGGCTGTCATGCGATGAACAAATACTTTCACGTGCAGAGCGGCTGGGAAAGTGCTGCCCTCTGTTTTGTGGACCAGGGATCACAGGGTATCTCTGTGATATCCACTTCTGTGGACCATTCTCCAACACAAACGATTGCACTGCATTGTGAGAGATCTGAATGGATGATCATTATCATGCCATTATGCTGATGGCACAATCATGCTAACATTTAAAATAACAAAAAGTCTTCAAACTTCAAGTTCTACTCAAAAAATGTTCTTAGCCACGAACAGATATCCGTCCTTGAACACCTGTTGCAGGGATCACTATTGGTATACATGTGTGATAGTCAGCACGATATTTTAATTATCAGAGTTGGAATTATGTGCAGAATCGAATTTCATTGTATTTTTTTTATTTGCACAGTCATTCGTGACTGGCCTGAGACTACCAACTCTCTACACCCGAGAAACACATTTAATCACAGGCAGCTAAAACATGTTCTTAGGTTTTTTCGGTAAAGTCACGTAGGTAAAAAATGTAAATTTAAATTAATAAAAGTAAAATAAATAAAAATCACGACGTTTCGGAGGCAACACAAGCTTCCGTCTTCAGGTGGAACCGTCACAGCCACGACAGCTGTATCAAGTAAATGAGAGATTACAAGAGCTACCACTCCGTATATCTCTCATTTACTTGATACAGCTGTCGTGGCTGTGACGGTTCCACCTGAAGACGGAAGCTTGTGTTGCCTCCGAAACGTCGTGATTTTTAATTTTTATTTTCTTTTACTTTTATTAATTTTAATTTTTTACATACGTGACTTTACCAAAATAACCTAAGAATATGAATCCTTGCAGTCACGAAAGCTTCAAATCTAGAGCTAAAACATGTATTATAAATTAGCATTTAAGAATTGATGGCTCAGTGCACTCTTAAATGATTGATAGTAGTGCTCACCTGCAAATTGAACTCATTCATAAACGTCTTGATGGCGTTGATGTCGTTGAGGTGATTGGCAAAGATTGGCGTCAACTTAGTCACATTATTTAGTACTTTGTTTGTAGCACTATAGCCGGCAAGCTGAAGAGGAAGTGAGCCTTGGCAGAACCGTTTCCTACACACGTGCACATGCAAGCAATGAGTTTCAGTAAAAAAATATAATTTAGAATTTTAAGAATTTCTGTCTTTTTCTGATTTTCAGATCGTTTACCTAAAAATTGTCTTCGTGCTCACAAGTGTCATCAAACGATGCCACGTGACACCACTCTTGGTGGGAAAATCAACCAAGTGATGTCAGTGTAAGGATATCACTTCCTGTGCTAGCAAGTTTTCGTACCATCCGAAACTTCTTATCTAGGCCTAAATTTCAGATTTTTTTGATAATCTGAAAATTGAGAATACATCACAAATTCATACCATGGAATAATTCAACAATATATATAGTATTATACAAATAATTGAAAGTGTTATTTTTACATATTCCAGAGTTGGTACAGACTTCTTTCATTTGGTATATTGCAGAAATAAGCAACTCATTTTTGGAACGGAAACAAATAGTTTAAATTTATCTCCAAGTTATTTTGCCATTGAATGGTACTGATTTAAGATAATATATTATTTGATGCCACCAATGCTTTTGATGGGCTAAAGACAGTGGTCCAGTTAATGGTAATCTGACACTCAGCGACTCGAGTTTGATTCCAGGCCATGGCTATTAACATCATCAGTTGCAAGTAATATCAGGACCAGTCTTATCCGCCCCATTAACCCTCATTTCACCAATTCGCACTGCTGGTGAATTATGGTAAAAAAACACTCCGATGAACGACTTAGCATGGGGAAGCCTTCAATCCATTGGTGGACTGAGAATGTCTGGAATTTATGTTATTTTACTCATTTTACAACATAGAAAAATACATTTCACCAATGTATTATACTATGGCATCAAATGCACTCATGTGCAAATACGTATGCATGGTAATTGTTTGATAATTGTTTTTTTACCCTTTTATCTGGCAACAAAACTGACACCTTTTTTACAAGGAGTCATGTTTGCATTGACCACAATACCTGCGGTCGGAATGCAAACACCAATCAATTTCAAGGACAGTGCATACATTATCAGAGTTGGATTTTTTGTTTGCATTCCGACCTCAGGTATTGTGGTCAATACAAACATGACTCCTTGTAAAAAAGGTGTCAGTTTTGTTGCCAGATAAAAGGGTAGAAAACCAATTATCATATTTTGCTACTGGCAAAGGAGGTTCCAATGGTGTAAATGCTTACCCCGAGCTCTCATACTCTGATGGTGCATTGTCTTTGAGTTGTGCGCCTTTTGGCGTTATCTGGTCCAACCCATGTGAGACTAGGCTCTAAGAAAAGCTGTCTCGGGTGTGGACCAATCAATTTCAAGGACAGTGCATACATTAACAGAGTTGTGTTTTTTGTTTGCATTCCGACCGCAGGTATTGTGGTCAATGCAAACATGACTCCTTGTAAAAAAAAGTGTCAGTTTTGTTGCCAGATTAAAGGGTAAAAAACAATTATCATATTTTGCTACTGGCAAAGGAGGTTCCAATGATGGAAATTGTTTGTTTTACGTGTGGTGTTAGATATATTACTTACAGCGTTAAATGGTGGAAATATGTTACAGAATTCTGTATATATAATATTTTCACTGAAGTTTCCAAAGTAATCGGTAAAGAGGGTGATGCTGGTCATGGCAGTCGAGCAAGTTGAATTCACATGAAGAAAGTATTTGATGCCTGTGGTTATATCCGACTTTAAGGTTGCATCTAATTTATTGTATAACTTGCTCAAACTCCCCAATCTGGAATAAAATAAAATAAACTGTTCAATTCAACTTCATTAGTTTGTCAGAAAATTCACAAACATTAATATACCTGCATTGACAGTAGAAAACACTCAATAATTTATAGATACATATTTCAATCAACGTTGCCTACGTCACGTAATTAAACAATAAATCCATACTTTTTTACATCAAACTAACCTTGGTAAAACATTTAAAAGTCAGTGATTCTTTGCTCATAATGGAAATGTAGGCAGTGCTCGTCCCCTGTTTATAGTTCTAAATAAGTGGTGGAAAATCCACATTACCATGGTGGGGACCGCTCTACCTATAGAAGAACCGCTGTTGACCTCCTAAAGAGGTCATTTTTTATAGACTCCGGGAAAACGATGGGCTGAGTCAACCCCCAATCAGGAGTTGAACTCGCACATCTTCTCATTGCGAGCCACGTGCTCTGCTGCTGAGCCACCTGGCCAGGTGTTAAACATTTAATAATCAAAACATTTAAAATACATAAAATGCAGAATTTAATATTATTTATAATAAATTATGACCTAAATGCAAATTACACAAACAGTAGAAACAGAAGCTTATTACAACTCAGAGTTCCAATTCACATCTATTACGCACACATAATATTTGCACACACTAAATATAAAATTTACAAAACCATTTTAAGGAAGCCTGAACGTTGGAACACAGTGCAGTACAAGAGTATTTTTTTTCACCCTGCTGTTCTGACAACGTAGCAGCATTCGTGTAAATAGTTTTTATCTCACTAGAATATTTATTTTACAATCATTGAAGATTATGCAAAGAAGCATGCTTACTATTGCATGAAGTGGAACACATGGGTTACAGATAATGCACAGGTGATTGACTGCAACAAAAAGCAAGTGGCCTTGGGCAGGAGACCGCGTGATGTGATGATGGCCGAGACTAACAATGGATCGGCAGCAAAAGGAGGGAACACGTCTGAGAGCACACTTCCGAGGAGATGGAGCGGTTAAATCAGCTTGCATACAGAAGCTAGTTGGTTTGTTACATCGCCTGACCTTGAGATAAGGAAATGCTTTGGGGAGACCTTCATTCAGCAGTGAATTGATCGTGGCTGATGATGATAATAAGATTAAACACCTTAGTAAACCCACTTTGTCCAACACTGAGAGCAGAGCATGTGGAAGCTAGTGGGAATACCACCACTCGTGCTGCCATACTTACATGGTAGACATAGTCGTGCATGGAATTTTGATCGCAACGCTACTAATGAGGCTCAGGCAGTTGGTCGTGACGCCCGGTAAGAATAGTGGCGGTAGCTTGTTTACAAACCACTTGCTCACATTCGCATCGGTCATCGTGTCCAGGTTTGGAATCAGCACCGGACAGGCTAAGTCCATCAGAAACTGTTGATAAGCCTGAGGCATCGTCTTTCCCGCTGCCTGTGATACAAATAATCATCAATTGCATGAAAGAAACAGACATCCGAGTTGTGCTATTTCATCATGAGGCGGTCGAGTGTAATTGTAATAAACCATCGTATGCCATGTCAGTCCCTCCAGAAAAACGCGGAGTTTTTTGGTGATTGTTGCGGGCAAAAATCGTTGATTATGCGGCACGTTTTCTTAAAAAATGCGATGGAATATGCGGGATATTTATGCAATTTTATGCGATTAAATTGC